CAAATAGACCAACAACCAAATAAACCAACAACCAAAAAACAAAAATTTCGGAGGGCCTGGCCCAAACCAAAAAAAAAACCAAAAAGAAAAACCAGAAACCAAAAAAAACAAATATTTCGGAGGGCCTGGCCCAAGCCAAACACATACAAACAAAAAACACACAATACTTTGGGGAACCACGACGCGGGCCCTTCAATTTTTTTTGTTGTTTTTTGTTGGCTTTTTTGGCTTTTTTGGTTTGGGCAAGGCCCTCCGATTTTTTTTGGTTTTTGACATTTTTGTTTTTTTTGGTGTTTTTTTTGTTTTTTTTTTGTTTTTTTTGGTTTGGGCCAGGTCCTCCGGGATTTTTATTTTTTTGGTTTTGCTGGTTTTGGGGGAGTTTTGTTTGGCTCCGTGTCCAGGTCACAGTCTCCCGAAACCCCAAAATTTGGAGACATATGACCCGAACCCAGGGGGCTATATAGTCTCCCAATTTTTTCTTGTGTTTTTGGGGAGTTGCGGAGACTGTGCCCCGCAGACAGTGCGCTAGTCTCCCCAGATGTTGGTTCTTTTTTTTTTTTTTTGTGGGTTTTTGTGGGTGTTACGGTGTTTCGTATAGCATATATCTGTTTGGTTCCGTCTCCAGGTCACAGTCTCCCCCAAAACCAAAAAAAACAAACAAAAATGGAAGACTAGTCCCCCAGGTCTGGGTCATAGTGGTTTTATTGGTTATTGTTGTTGAGTGAGTTTTTTAGTAACAAAAACCTAAACCAAAAAGAACCACACACACAATATTGGGGGACTAGTTCCCTATGTTCGGGTCATGGTGTCCCAGGGTTTTGCATCTTTTGTTTGGTTCGTAGTGTGTTTATTTTCTCGAACAATTGCTGTGAGCATCCTTTCTCCTACTAGACACACACACAGAGAAAATTTTCATACATGATGTGGGTAGTTCTTCTATCCAAGAAATATTCAACATACCCTAGGGCATACCCCTGAAAAGAAATCAAGGGCCTCCCTTAGACTCCCTTATATTATCCCTTCATATAGGTTAAGGGGTATGGGTTTGGGGGGATGGTGAATGTTTCTTAGATTCTACATCTTCTTTGCATTCCATAGGAGGAAAGCCTTACAGCATTTCTTGGGAACCCAGCTTGCTTTTTGATTGTAATTCTCTTCACGTTTTCCGAAGAACATGCCCATGTTTGTGGGGCTTGCCTCCGATGGGATGCAAAGAAGTAGTACATAGTGGAACCGTTGGGACGGCGTGGGTGGGCTTGTGGTGAATCTTGATTTTCTTGCATCACTCCATGCACGCGAATACTTCCAAGTTCCCTAGCACAGGCAATATTTGCTCACTGTATTCTCGCTCCCCGGGCTTCCACATGATGTTTTTACATGTCACTCTATGCCCTCGAATACTTCTTCGTCTTATGGTTTGAGGATTAACATCCTTTCTTCTCGATTATCTGTACATCTTTTCTTGTCGTTTATCTGCATTTGAGATCCTCTTTGTGTTTCCATTGGCCTCAGTTCAGCGTCGCACCTCAGGCTCCTCTTCTGCTCTTATGGAGAGGTTGATCTTGAGGTAGGTCTTGGGGGGGGTTTACCATATATATATATACATACATACGTATGTATACATATGAAAAGATGAATATATATATATATATATGGATGCCATTCTTGGCTTTTCTTTCTTTGTCCCTGTCCTAAGGCAGCCTGGTGCTGCTGCCGAGAGCGCCGAGCTGGAGGCCAAGAGGCCCCGCTGCAGCGCCCTCCCTCCGCCCCCCCTCGTTGCGCCAGCCCGGTGCTTCCGGTGACGTCCTTCGGGTTTGGATCACCTCTGGGGTCCGATCTCTGATGCACGTGACTCACGTGTTGGGGCGGACGGAATTGTGGAGGTTCTGATGTGTTCTATTCCTCGGCCTCTCAGGGTGCAGAAGTTGGCTGCAGAGGCATCGCGGCAACAGCAGGTGCGACCAGCATCCTTTCTTCTTCTTGTGGTGGTGGTGATTTGTTTGGCAAGTTGCTGTGACCTACTAGGAGTGCCAGGAGTGCTTCGAGTCCTTTTTAGGAGTCTGTTTGGGGGGATGATGGGAAGTGACTGCGCCGGTCAGGAGATCGCGTCCCTCACATCCCAGCTCTCAGTGCCCTGCAGTCTTTGATTTGTTTGCCGTGCTGAGTGCAACTGAGGCACATCTTAGGCGGACAAATCAAAAGCCAATCTCCAAGTCTTGTTCATTCTCATGACCAAGGCAGTGAAAATCAAGTACGAGGCGATGCAGCAGGTGAGACGCTTTTTTCGCAAGTGTTCAGGGGCGGGTGTGGCCAAGGGGTTGAGTTCTGCTGTTCTGTTTTTTTTTGGTGCAAGGTCCTCAGAATTCGAAAGAGACGGTCCAGGTTCTCCATGTATTTGAAATGCACAAATTTGTATCTGGTAAGGAGCTCGAAATGGTGCAAGCCAGCCGCTTAGTCCTTTAGATGCTTTGACCTGTGTTCTCCAGGAGTACAGCGACCCATCGCTTCGGTACTTCTTGGCATCCAAGGCAGGGGCAATCAGGGGCACTAGGGTTCACTAAGAGGATGTTCGAGATGTTCGAAAGGCTGGCGGCTTTGTCAAGAAAACAAAATGTCAGCCAGGATAGTGGTAAAATTCTTTGGTTTGTTGGGGATCGTTGGGTCAGCTGGCAGTTGTATGAAGCCAAACGTGTCGGCCGGGATTGGGGTAATTAACGTTGTTGTTGCGGCAGGTTCTGGTCTGTTGATCCAGCTAGCGGTTTTAGAAAGAAGCCAAACCTGTCCAGGATTGGGTACGTTGTTGCCTCAAGTGCAGTCATGACCCCATCGAAAGCAAAGGGCTTGTTTTTCGCAGAAGCGAGGGCTTTGAACCTTGTGCTTCGAACGGCTAGCCTAGCAGAGAGGCTTGAAGCCAAAAGTCCCCTCCCCTTCCCAGTCCAACAAAAAGCATCAAGTCCAAAGATTAGCAACAACAAGTGGCTCAGTCCCCAAACCGCTCAAAGCATCATCCTGAAGCACTTTATGCCTTTATGCACACTGTCGGTGTCCACAAAAGAAAGGGTTCCGCATAGTTCCGCCGAAGGCCACGAAGGTTTATGGCGACCCTGGAATCCAAGGTCTGGCGCAGGGTTTCTTGAGGTGTGCGTAGAGGGTTCGAGGTGCTCTTGGGGTGCCGGCTGCGGGGTGCTTTTGGGACTTTGGGGCACGTTGAGCCTGCGGAATGCAAAAGAAGCCTTAGGTAGCCGCTGGGCAGCCTCTTTCTGCGGGATCGTCAGAAACCTTTTTGAGCTCTGCAAAGGCGCCGCCAACAAGACCTTCAAGTACGTGCTGCCGCACATCGCCGAGGCGCTGAAGACCGGCACCGAGGCGCAGAAATTTCCCGTGGAGCGCTCTAAGCATCCGTGAAGTACTGTGGCTTCGTCCAAGGAGTGCAGTGGCCTTTTTGTTTTTACACAAATGAAAACTCTCTCACTCTCTCTTGGAGAGAGAGGGAGAGAGGTTGAGAGAGCCAGACTCAAGGGGAAGGTTCACCGCAGGGCCGGACCTGTCCGCGGGGGGTCCCTCCAGCCCCCCAAGCCCGGCAGAAGAAGAAGAAGAAGAAGAAGAAGAAGAAGAAGAAGAAGAAGAAGGGGAGGAGAAAGAAGAGAGTCAGAGAGCCAAAGAGTCAGAGAGAGTCGCTGCTTCGCCCGAAGCCCTCTGACCCCGTGCACTGAGCGACTTGTACTACTTTGCCAGGGTTGGATTCTTGAGCTTGGGAGCAGTACTGTAGCGTGGAATACACTTTACAACTCCACAGTACTGGAAAAATGTTGTGCTGAAAGGAAGGAAGGGGAAGAAAGAGAGAGAGAGAGAGACCCGAAATGGCTAAAAAGCTGGCAGAGTGCACCCGGGCACCGACTACCGACCACTTCCACCCCGAAACAGGGGCGGGCATAGATGCCCGGGGCGCAGACCCCAAGCCCCTAGAAAGAAAGAAAAGAAAAGAGACCCGAAATTCGCGCGCTCGCTTCTTTGCTTCTCATGCCCAGTAGAAGAAGAAAGCGAGAGAGAGAGAGAGAGAGAGAGAGAGAGGCCCTCCTCAATGGAGGGGGGTTAGGTGCGCAGAAAGAAAGAAAGAAAGAGAGAGAGCGAGAGAGAGAGCGAGAGAGAGAGCGAGAGCGAGAGCGAGAGCGAGAGCGAGATTGAGAGTGAGAGCGAGAGTGACAGAGATAGAGAGAGAGAGAGAGGGAGGAAGAGAGAGCGAAAGAGGGAGGAAGAGAGAGAGAGAGAGAGAGGGAGGAAGAGAGAGAGAGAGCGAGCGAGCGCAGGTGTATGCGGCACTGAACGACACCTTGCTGGATTCCATGCACAGCATCCTGGGGTCGGACACATCCCTCGAGCCAATGCTGCTCGGGTTTGTTGGGCTTTGACTTCGAGAGAGAAGATGTTGCTGATCACCGGGTATCCTATACCCAGGCTGCCGACAATGTCCGCCTTCCTCGTCTATGGCACCTCGGAAATATCCAAAAGCTGTCGAGGGGGCGTTTGTTTTTGTGTTTCATTTTGTGGAAGCGGAGCTTTCTGTAGGGTTATTAAAGGGGGACACAGGGAGAAGATGTCATGTCAAGACCCCTGGGCAAAAGACACCATTCAAAGACTAATTAAAAACCCCATTCATGCGTTCCTCAGAATGCGGGCTTTTTTTAGTGTTTTTAATAGGCCTTTTGGAGAGGAACCCGAGCCTGTGATGGTGAGGAAGCCAACTTCGAGAGTGTCTCAAAGAGTGAGTGAACCTGACATAGAATTAGTACAAAGAATGAGACCGTCCATAACCTCTTCATGATGGACGCCTTAAAGAACCTTGTGATGGAAACTAGACCGCCAAGAGAGCACCGTCATGAACGTATCGTCTTGGTAATGGTATTGACTCGTGTATGTGTGTGTGTGTAAACGGCAGGCGCAGGTCAATGGTCTCAAGCATCAGAGATCTGTAAGAGGCCCGTGTTCGGGTTGCTACAGGGACAGATGTATTCTGCTGTAGGGACCCCAAAAAAGATGCCCCCCTAAGCAAGACAGTGACCTCTATTTTTTTATAAAATTGTACCTCAATCAACAGCCCGGGGTCCAAAGCTTCGGCACCTGCTGGAGGCATGATCTGCTGCCCGATAGGCCAAGGGTGCCAAGAGTCACGGAGGGAGGGGACGAAGCCCTACCATCGAATCCCTAGAGCTCAGCCCGAAGACATTGAAAGCGGAAAGCCGATCCCCGAAACCCCCCAAAACCCAACAAAGTACCCCAGAAAGCACAAAGCCCGAAAGGTCTAAAGCCCTGAAACCCTCGAGCCCTCCGGGGTATCGTCCGGGGTATCGTCCCAACAGCCAACGGAGAGCGGCCTCTGCGACTCTGGCCAGGCCTGATGCTGTCCTACGCCCTGGAGTGGGCCGCTTCTTCCAACGGGGGGGGGGGGGTTCGGGTTGAGGTTCTTAGAGTTTTTGGGGTTTTTGAGGGGGGCTTTTGAAGGTTCTGATCTGAGGGCTCGGGGCAGTTTCAGGTGCTTAGGGTCAGGATAACAGGAAGCATAGAACGCCTTGTCTTGAGGAGTCTATGGAGGAGCGTATAGAAGAATATGAGGGATCGAGAAGTCTCATAATGTCTGGAGTTGTGCTGATGCGGATCTCAGGTCTGCAAGCTCAGGGAGCTCTTGCTTCGCGGCGAAGCTTTGGATTCCTTCGGAACACGCTCAAGCTTGGCAGGTCGAACAAAAATGGAACTTCGGAACTCGAACTCCCGCGGGTTTTGCCGTTCGCTTTGTTCCAAGGCTTGCTACCTCCTTCTACTTGGCAGCCTGGCAAACCAGATCTGTATTCCTCTTGACCTTACCAGTGCTGGAACCATTGCGCCTTGTCATTGGCCTCAACAGCCAGAACGAAGCTCTCCAAGCCTCATCAAGCCTCAAACCGAGTTCTGCATTGCTGCGCTGGCGGTCGGTTTCGTTGCAGTGACGCAGCGTGATCCGCGCCCTGGGTGCACAACGTCTTGGTCTTCTTAGTTCTTCTTAGTTCTTTTGTTTCGTCCAATCTCATCAAGAGCGTTTCGGCTTTGCGGGGTGTGTTCGGCAATGTTCGGCAGTTGGGATGTGCGAGTAGTTGGCCCACACAAAAGTCACCTTCTCACAGTCAGGGCAGGTGCCTTTTCCGAACAGTTCCCGCAGGTGAAGCTTTCGGGGGAGTGAGCGGGATTTCTTGGGCCACCTTCGAGTCCGGTTAGAGTCCTTTTAGAGTCTTTAGAGGATCGAAGAAGTTCTGGAGAATCTTGTCCGAGGCTGAAGGAGCTGTACCAGCATTACTCCTCCGCATCTCAGCCCTGGAATGTTAGGGACAGGGTCGCAGATGAAGCACTGAAGCAGCTACCCTTTGCTACCCTTTCACAAAGCGCTCAAGGCAACCAGAACCAGGGGTCTACTCATGGCGGATCATGGCCATGGGTTCCGTAGGTTCAGGAGTCTGAGTTCTTGTGGATGAAGCGCTGATGTCAGCAATTTTTGTCCGAAAGGCATGCAGAGCAAAGCCAGAAAGCCACACAGCGCAGTACTCTTGTGATCGAAGTCAGGTTTTCGTGCTGCAGCAATCGGGCTTCTTCGGCATCTTAGTTGCCCAGCTGTTGCTGATCGCGCTGCTTGGCTGTCGCGCCAGGCTTCGGTCGTGCAAGGGCAGAACTGACGAAGCTGAGTTTTTGTTTTTATGAGTCTGAAGAGCCTCTCAGGATTGCGCTCTGCAGCGCGGCCAGCGCGGACGACGTACCCGTTGAGGCGATGTGCTTTTCTTTCTTCAAGTGGCTCCATAAGGGCCCCCACCCACAGCTGCGTCATGTCCGCGAAGGCCTCAAACGTTAAACGCCAGCAAATGTACAATCAGAACCCTGAGCCCTATCAGAGCATAACCCAAAGCTACGCAAACCCCAAAAACCTTAATAAAGCTGAAAAGTGCATCTTTCAAGGGGACCCTGTGAAAGAGCCTCTCCAGCTGAGGGGATAGCACTTGGCCGGGAAGGACACGATGCTCTTCAACATGCTACTCACAATCTCTTCTCCTGCGCAGTATTTCATTCCTCATGTATTCTGAGCGATTCCCTTCGCAAGTTTATGTGCCTTGGGGGTCACGAAGTTCCCCCCCAAAACCGCCCTTAAACCTCCCGAAACTCCCCAAACATCTCAAGTGGCCTGGCGCAGGTTTGGCTGATGAGGCAGATGTTTGGTGCAGCAGTAGATTCTGGCTCTCAGGATTCCGAACCCCTAAGCAGCCCTTACTCCCTTTCCTGCGCTGGACTCGAAGCTTCATCACCCTGGGAAAAAATACCAGAATTCCCTGCCTGGAGAGCAAGTTAAAGAATTCCAAAATGCGGGACAATGAAGCTGCGCAGGTTGTGCCAGCGCCTGGGCGAGACCAGCGGAGTCCGTTTGGGTTGCTCAGAAGCTGAAGACAACCGAAGACTCACCATCCCCACCTCTCCAAGGACCTGCTTCATGTTCTACTTCGGCCCCCTGGAGTGCAAAGTGAGAGAAGAGGGGAAAAGAGGGTGTTACAACGTGTATCAAGGTGTTACTAACAGAGGCCTGAGATGGTCTGAGCCTAGCAGTTCTGAAGGCCAAGACTCTGACCCACCAAAAGAAAATCACAAGTTGGTGAAGGAGGACAGCATGTATGCGGAGGTTGTGAAGCACGTTTTTGAGGCTTTTGCAATCCGAGCCTTCGGGGTTACAAAGGCTTCGTCTACTACCGGCTCGTGTGGACGCCGACGATGCTAGATGAGGCCCGGGGGTTTGCGACTTCTGCTGCCTGTGAGCCTCTGAGGCCAGTGACTCGCAGTTCTTTCTTCACGGCCCTTCTGAAGCCTGCGGAACTCCTGGCCCCAGCAGGTTTGCTGCCAGATCCAAAAGCCACAAAACACGAGTAATGCTGCGATGGCAAGACGCAGGGCTCACAAGGCTCACGAGCTTCCTAGCTACGAACACGTCATTCGACAAGACCCTATGGTTCGGCCGCTGTGGACGCCGGTCCTGAAACAAAGTCCGAGACCGAAAAAAGGCAGGGAGACTGTCCCGCAACACGTTAGGCACTCTCCCTGAGGCGCCAAAGACGGAATTCTTCGGGAGCATGCCTCGTGGCAAAATAGTCTAGGGTTGGCCTTTGAGCATCTTTGAGCCACGTCATTAAAGAACCCGCCTTGCGGGCGCCTTTGGGGTGGTCTCCTTTGGGATCCTGGGCTTTGGAGTCTCGAAGCCTCTGGAAAGGCTCTCATGAGGCATCGTTTTGGTATGTTAGCCCACTCTCGTGTGCTTGGTCTTTGAGGGTGAGGCTGGGGGGGTCTTGATAGACCGTGCTACGCCAAAGTTCACCCTTCGAGGATTGGCATGGACATCAGCTCCAAGATGTTGCCCTACTCGCCGGGGTCCCAGCTTTGGAGCGGGCGGGGCGGGGAGAGTTCCGTTCTGCAGCTTTGCTCGCTTCTTCACCACCAACGTCCAAGGCTCTCTGCCAGCGGCTTCGCGCTCAATCTTGCGCCCCTTTTCTGCAGTGGCAACGGGGAAAATGACAACCCGGTGTCTCAGCGCCCCGAAGGGGTCAGCTGTGTAGGAGCGTTTGTACTTCGTCAGTTTCGCGTATTCAACTACATCGGTTGCGAGTGAGCGTTGTCTTCAGATCCTAGCGCGATTCAGAAACTGGACAAACCAGGATTCAGGAAACTACGCGATTCAGGAAACTAACCGATTCAGGAAACTGAAAACGTGCGATTCAGGAAACTGCGATCCAGGAAACCACGCGATTGAGGAAACTGAAAACACGCGATTCATGAAACTGCGCGATTCAGGAAACGGAAAACGCGCGATTCAGGGGGGGGGTTGGGAGGGGGGGTGGGGGGTGGGGGGAGGGGGACTTCATGTCCGCATGAAAGTCGCCCGGAAAGGAAGCATAAGGAATGGAAGGAGGAAAACAAGCGGCGCTTTTCAAGGTTTGCCCCACTATGCGCTTTTTTGATAGGCTTTTCGCAGTCCTTTCAGGCTTCAAGGCTTCCTACTCTTTTTGGGGGTGTAGGGTTGCTAGAACTTACGAACGTCTGGTGCGGCCGGTCAAAAACTCAGCAAAGGCTGTGGAGTTCAGGGCTTAGCACTTCGCTCCCTTTCCCCTGCTCCTTCCGGGCGGAGGTTTAGGCTTTGGGGTTTGGAAGCTGAGGCTGGAGTGGCGTGTGCAGGGATTGCTAGAGGAGGCTCGTGGGCGATTGTGGGCGAGCAGATGTCAATGTGTATAGCCTATATAGCTCAGAGAACTCGTGGGCATGTGTCTCCGGCCTTCCTGCGAACTGCGCTCTCCAGCACTTTCAACCGATTTGGGACCCATGTGTGTGATCCCCTGCCGGAAGCCCCCAGAAGCCCTCAGAAGGACAACCAGGCAGAGAAGGAAGAGAAGGAGGCTTAGGCGGGGCAATCGGGGGAAGGCACTTGAGACACACTCATATTTTGACATGTGCGCTGTGACTGGGTTGCAAACAGTTTGCTTCAGCTCTGTTGCTTACTTCTTTGTTAGTTTCTTCGGACTCGAATTTCAAAGCGGACGCCTGACCAATGCGAGCTTGGGAGGCACCAGGTCAGCCGCGAGGTGCTCAAAGCCAACCTGAACACCAGATGTCTCACCCATGCTTAAATTGGTTCAAACGCGGGGTTGGCTCAACATGTTTCAACCCCTCAGTAGCTCTGGGCCGAAGGCAGCGGATGGCAGCGGACGGTAGCGATGGCTGCGGGAGTTGGAGGGACGGGTGGAAGGAAGCACCAAAGCAAGAAAGTATCCTGTGATACATTAGCTGGTTGGCTCCAAACGTGACCGTTGCCGAGCCCGCAGAATTGCCGAGTGTAGCTAGGATGTATGGCCTGGCGCCTTGGGGAAAGCCAGCTCCCCAGAGCAGCGAGGCTCCAAAATGTGGTGCAGGGCTCTTAGGGAGATGGGAGGATTGCATGTCCCGGACAAGAGGCAGCCATTGGCGTTGAACCCCCAAGCCCCTCAAAGCCCCTACCTGTGCATCATCCTGCCTTTTCCAAAACATATTACATACCTACTACATAAACCAACACACACACAGAGACAGATACAGACACAGACAGATACAGACACAGACGCAGACGCAGATACAGATACAGATACAGATATTATTGATGTTGATATGTCCAGGTTTAGAGCCACATATATCTGACCAGACACATATCGAGCGAGGCCATACTTATCGGGGGAGTTTTTTTGGGTGCCCTTGGCCAGGATGTGGAGCCGCTTTGGACCAAGGCCTCGGCCGTTGCCGTCGAGAACACCCAGGCTCTCAGAGCTGACTTTGAGTCGGATGTTTTCGGCTCAGTTCTCGGTTGAGAGGGTGGTTTAGGGTTGTGTTAGGGTTTTTGGGTTTGGGGGCTTTGGCAAAACTGTCAAAAAATCTTAGGGAGCGACAGCTTTTAGGGCTTGGGGCACCCGTGTACTCTCAAAATACACCTTAAATACACACCATACAAACCCCAGTATATAGCCCATCTGACAAAGTTAGGAAGCTTGGGGTTTCTGCTCGCTTAGAGCCATGAGGCTGTGAGGACTGTCGGGGATGAAGGGGGTGGGTGGGTGGGAAAGCTCGTTCGTGCAATGGCCGGAAGGCAGAATTGCAGAGAAGTACTTGTCTTCTTTGGTGCGTATGCATCACCGTGCCTCCTGGCTCTTCCCCATCTGCCGTGTCGGTACCCAGGCCGAAAGTTCCAGAAGCCCCCCCAAGGCCAAGACAAATCGGATTTGTCCCATGAGAAAACCGCTGAGTCTCAGCACTTGGCGCTGTACAGTTAAGGGTGGGAATGGATCATCCGAATCGAGCCTGTTGCAAATTGTCCTGCTTCGGGTGAGCATCGCAGTGTAGCCAGTTGACGTTTGTCGTTTCAGATTCGCAGCAGCCAGGCCTTGGCAGGGAGTCAAGAGATCTTGAGCCATGTTGAGCCACGTGCACGGCCATGTTCGACCTTTCGGCTGCCTGCACTTTCGCACTTTCTGCAGGCGGTGGTGAAGTACAACGACTTGGTTCTAGGCCGGGTTGGACCACAAAGATAGGTAACAGAAGAGGATCGAAGAGATGTGGAGTCTGTGCCAGGCCTCGCAAGATGGAAGGGCGCGATGCTCCGAAACGACGTGCCTTGGGGGCCCCAACGCCAAAGTGAAGGGGCGTGGAGACGTTCGGAGGGGAGTCGTCACCACAGCATCTTTTTCGCCGTGTGCTGCATCTGGCCTTCAAGAAGCGCAGTTCTTAGGTGCCGACACAATGGCGCTGCCCCAACATCGCTCTGTAACGGGTGGATAAAAGAGAAAGCTTCCTGCTCATAAGCCCTTAAACCCTTAAACCCTTCACAGCTGAAGGCGTTTCGATGATGACCGTGATAGCCATGACCGCACAACCCAAAATCTGAAACCATAGAATACTAACCAATACTGACCATAACCATGACTAGAACCATGTCGTTTCCATCTTGGCTCGCAGAATAGGCGCACGGGCCCTGGCATGGCGCACCCAGATCAGAACCTGATTTGGAAGAAAACCTGCGGCAGACCTGCGGCAGACCATCGTCTCCCAAGTCCCGCATGGCACCAAAAAGCCCAGCAGACCCTGACGCACAGTCCAGATCCCGTCCTTCCGCAACCGAACACGGATTTGAACCCCAAATGCCTCAACGAAGCTTCTAGGTCCTCTAGCTCGCTTTAGTTCGTTTCAGCTTCGAGTGCCAAGAGATGGCGGCATCGCGGCCCAAGGCCTTCTTTTCCTCCCGCGAGGCCACTCCGCTCCTCCTACTTGTAGGTGTGGCTGAGTGTAGAGGTCTGACACCTAAGCCAAGTCCTTACGCGGACGTTTGACGAAGAGCCCTCTGGCTTATGACCCATCAGATATACCTATCATGTCCTTTATTGCTGCAGGGCCTTTGATCAGGATGAAGAGTGAGAGGTTGGAAATTTGGAAAGTTTTGATCGGGATGTGATCGTGGAGTTGAGGTTTCATGGCCTTCTGGCCGGGGCCTTTGCAGAGTACCAACACATGTAGGCATCCTCCCCACAAGCTCAGGTGGCACGGCGGCAGAGTCCCACACGTAACCTGGAATTTTCACCCCTCTCTGACCTCTGGATTCTCACAACCATTGTGAGTGTGGTCAGTGCGGGAGGCCCGAAGCTTGCTCACAGATGCGTCCGAGGCCGGGGTCGAACCCAATTGGCAGTGCTACAGGGTTGGCATATGTTGGCATCTCCACGAGTTCCAGCGTTTGCCCAGGCGCTCTCAGTCGCAGAGGGCTCGCCATCTGTGGATGGCACGGTGCGCCCATACAACGCCTAAGTGAGCCCGTTGCCGAGACTTGCTATTGCTACTGTGCTTCGGGACTTCTGTGAGCCTGACTAGCCTGTCAAAGCATTGGAGGAGTTCGAGGCTGCCAAGGCCGCAAAGGCTCCGGCACTCTTGCTCTTTGCTATGGGTCGCTTTGCAGGCTTTGCGCATTGCGGCATTGCGGTGCAACGTGAAAAGCAACTAGTCCTAGGGCCATGGACCGTGGATCTGAATGCCTGTGACCCATGCGCAGGGCCTGGGCTTTGCCAGCGCCAGAAGTGGAGCTGCAGTCTTAGCTAACACGCCTGAGCCCTAGAGCATACGTTTGCCCATTGGCGGCTTCGAGTCTTGAAACCAGCTACCCAACATACCCTCCTGAGATCACGCCGCTAGACTCTGCACCTCCGATGACTTCCCCAAGAGACATCTTAAATTGCGTTCTCATCAACCATGGTACATACCGTAGTGAGAGGTAATAAGGGTACCATGTATTGTGCGACAGAACCTAACTTTGGCGATTTCCCAAAGCAAGAACTCAGTACAGCCAAACCCTTTCAGCTGATAGCCTTGACCCGAAACCCATTTTGCTGGCCTTCGAAGGCTTCTGGGAGGCAGCGGCCTCCTCGGCGTGCCTCACGCCTTCGCGGCAGCAGGCGCTACACCAAAACACCCAGAGAGCCCTTAACTTAAGGAAAACGCTGATGAGGAAACTGTACGAAACTTGAAAGCAGGTTCCAGTAAAGTTAGCGCGTGCTTTAGGCTCAGGAGGCTCAAATCTGTCCAGAGCTCCCTTTGGAGTCTGAATGTCAAATCCCAATACCCCTCAATTAAGGAGTAGACCTTCGATCAATGATGGCAGGGATCCTTATGTGAATGAAGGGGTATATTCCTTGATCATGGGGTATGGGGCTCTGTGAGAATTTCCATTTGGACCCTAAACCCTAAACCCAAATCTACATTCTCCTGCATTTTTAGACAGGCTACGGGTTGGGCCTGCTGCTCCTGGTCGTCTTCGGCACCTGCTCCGCTTTTGGATGCCATTTGCTTAGTGGGTCTTGGTGGGGGAATTGGGGTATCAAGGTACCCTACACTATCGAATCCTTTCAAAGGGTTATACGCGTGGTGTAAGGCAGAATCCTTGTTAGAGGACCTCCCCCCCCGCCCCCTCCAAAAGGCACAACCCTTTTGCAGAAATCACCCGGCAATTTTGGAAAAGAGCACTTGGGGCTTTGGCGACACCGAGGCCACCTCCTGCAGTGCTCGGCCCGAAGGCGCGGGCTCAAGACGGTCTCAACTTGAATTTGGGCCTTACATAAGCCCCTTAATCACCCGCCCAATTGAACGGAATTCCCTTTGAATTCCCTCGCCTGTGGGAGCGCCCCGCAGCCAGGATTGGCGAGGCGCCGTGCAGCTTCTACTCAGCCTGCCGCCCGGTGCTTTCGGAAGCTGTTGATTGCAGTTTACCAGTCTAGTCACGGTAGTTAGGGACCTTAAGGGGTGTTTATGGGAGAGGCAAAGTGCTGTTGAACTTGCCGGGCGCTTGTGTCGCTGGCGGCCAGGTCTCGAACGCAGTCGCTCCACGGTGGACGTGGCTCATTGCAGCCTGGCTTGTTGGAGGGGGGTGCTTTGCATATGCAGTGTCAGACAGTGTCCCAAACTCCAGGAGACCAGTTTCTCGCAGCACCAGAACAATCGGACCTGAGGATGGAGCCGTGATGGTGAAGTGCTTCGGGGTGCACCCCTGAGACGAAGTCAGGAAAATGTGGAAAGGGGGGACAAGTTGAGGATTTTCTGAGAGGCTGTGTATCCTATTCATTATTTCTTATTCTTATGCTCACAACGAATTCCCACTCAGAGCGGCAACGCTCTAGGTTTCTAATGTTGGCAACAAGGAGGATTAGGTTCAGTGGCGCCGCGGCACCCCAGGGCAGGCGCGAGGCACGCTCTTGATGTTCTGTGGAAACGTTTAAGGTTGTCTTTCGATGTTTGGGATCTACGCCGGATGAAGTTATTCTCATTAAAATCACCACTGTTATTATTGTCATTGCTACTGTTATTATTGCTATTGTGATTGTTGTTATGCTTGTTATTGTTATTGTGAATGACTTCGTATTGTTAGTATTGCGGCCATTGCTATGCTTGGTATTCTTGCCATTGCTGTTATTGTTGTTATTCTTGTTTTTTGTTGTTACCGTCATTTTGGTTTACTGATCGTTGGAAGTTCTTCACATATATATATATATGTTGCGAAATTAATACTGAAATTCATCAACAATGAATGAAAAACGACATTCACTCCGATCCCGCTTCCGGGGCTACTCATTCCAGGCTTCTCGGAGTTACTAGCCAAGCACTGAGCAAAGCTAGAGGTTTTGTGAATGTTCTGGTGTAGTTGATGTTATGCAGTGATTCAAGATGTTGCAGGTAGGCCAGTGCAACCACCGCCCTTCTATGCCAAGACCCGAGAAGGCGAGCGCTACTTCTCTGCCTGATCCCCATGAGGTTGCCACCTCCTATCTCATCATCGTCGGAGACCTGGCGCCCCCCGTGGCAGCCTGAGGAGCCTGAACCACCTGAAGCCCTAACCCTAATTCCGATCCAGGGCAGTGAGTATCCGAAATTTTAGGGGTGCAACTGCAAGGTTCTGTTTGGAGCTGGGGGACTGCGGAAACATGCGGAAACTAGCCTTGACGCGCATGATAAACCCAGCTCCCCTCCGCGGTGTCATAAAACCTGAGGCTAAACTTTGAACGCTCCTAAACTCCAATCAGTAAGCCCGAAACCCTAGACTCTAAACCCAAGGCTTTGGAGACGCTGGGGTTCCATGTGCGCCGATGGGAGGTTATCTGCCTCGGGTGCGCCCGCCTTCTTCTGTTTGGCGTTTTCAGCGAGGTCGTAGGGCTCTCAGGATTTAGGTGGTTTAGGGCTTGCTTAGGCTTGGGGTGTCGGGGGGTTCCTGGAGGGTCGAAGAAGACTCCGTACTCGGTGCACGTCCTGAAGCTCTCCGGTGATTAAATGGTTTATATTGGAGTAGACATAGATGTATACATATATACATATGTATGTGACATGTATGTATATGTATTTTCGGTCTAGCTAGGGCTTATGCGAGGGATCGATGGGGATTATGAGTGCTGATGTCAACGAGCGCCCCACCAAAAAGCGCTGTCTAAATGCAAGAAGAAGTGTGGGCGGGGAGGGTGAGACCCCTAAATCCCTAAACTCCCGAGACCCTATAAACCCTAAATAGACCCTGCAAGCCGTAATTATCATCCCCAAACAAACCCAAATAAGCCCGATGCACGCCCCCGGAGGTTCCTAGTGGCAGCCAGCCTGGCCTGCTTCCGGAACCTCAGCGGCCTCAAGTTCACCGCGGCGCGGAACTCAAGGGGAAAGGAGTTTGGGGGTTTGGGGTTTGGGGTTGGAGGGGTTGGGTGTATTTAGGGCCGAGACTTTTTAAGCTTAGCCTATATACGGGGTTTCTTATCGTGGTGTAAGGTATATTCCGCCTTAGTTAAGGGGTATGGGGTTCTCGGGCAAAAGGGAGGGAGGGCAAGGCGGTGGTGGTTTTGCTGAAAGAATCTGGCGTTGTGTTGCTTTAACGACCTTGAACCTTGAATGACACAGTATGGGGGGTTTCCTGAGCGAAGTGGAGGCATCATGCACTAGGGCTCAGGGTATTTTTTGTCTTATGGCATGCATTCATGAAATTCATGTGAGCCTTTGGTTGGGAGAGAAAGGAGCCCGTCTTGCTCGTGAGTTTTCATGAGATGTACAGGATCTCCATATCATGTTCATGGCGTATTCTGGGGCGTGTTGATGATGACAGCGGCCAATGGCAGAGCCAAAACAGAGATCTTCTGGTTCCAGTCAAGGACTCAAGTTAGTTCCCAGAATAGATATGGACACCCGATTGTCTAACGATGCTGTTGCCCACCGCCGGCCACGCCCAAAGCAGGCGAGGACGTAGGTGTGGGCGCAGGTTTTGTCGGCAGGGGGTGGGGCGGGTGGGTTTTGGGGGCTTAACAAGGAACACAACAAGAGCAGCAGCAAGAACAGCAGCAAGAACGACATCAACATCAAGAAGAAGAGGAAGAAGAAGAACTTCAAGAATAAGAATAATAATAAGAAATAAGAAACAGAAAGAGAAGCAGAATAACAAGAAGAAGAGTAAGAATAAGAAGAATAATAATGAGAAGCAGAAGAAGAATAAGAAGAAGAAGAAGACGAGTCATAATAAGAAGAATAATAAGAAGCAGAAGAAGAATAATAATAAGAAGAAGAATAAGACGAGGAAGAAGAAAAAGGAGGAGGAGAAGAAGCATAACCACTATACGGCAGAAAAGAGGAACGCACAGCTTTTTGTTGTGCAGTTTCTTCCCACCCTCTCTCTCTCCCTCTTTCCCTCTCCCTCTGGCCCAGTTGCGTGCACATGCAAGTACAGTAACAATAGCAACGACAAGCAGAACAAAAAAGGCGCACAGAGATGACAGTGCAGTTCCCATCAAAGCACACACCGCCATGGTACGACCTGGTGTTTGGGCTTGTCTAACACGCGCTGGATCCTTACTTGTACGAAAAACGTGGTACTGACAACAGAGCCTCCTGCACCTGGATCCGCACGAGAAACATGGTGCTCTCGATGCTTCTTTCTACATCTTGGGACACGCTGCCACATAGAATAACCGTCAATATGAATTATGGTAGCTTCACTGGAAGTTCCTTAGCACCCCCACACTCGAAAACCTAAGCCTTCAACCCGACACCCTTAAGCCTAAACTCAATTGGCTGGAGGCCTGTGCTTTGGGCATCGTCCTTTGGACCACGGTGCTCATCACGCTGTACACGCTCCGGCCAAACGAGGCGATGGCTTCTTTGATTTTTTTCCCATGTGTCCCGACTGTTACGGATCCCTGCAGGATTTCAATCCGTGCGGCCACGGCTCTGACAAGGCCATGCGAAACAATCTTGTGCTGAAGGTGACTGTCTGGCGCTTTCCACCGCTGTTTGGGTCTTGCGTTCCAAAGGCCTCCTCCTAAGAAACCATCCCCCTCCCCTCCCCGATTTTCCTTCTCATGCGAGAGAGCCCTTCAAAAAGCCCAACACCCCGAAAACTGCCCCCCCCCCCCCCCCCCAAAACCCCACAACCCCAAGTCGTAGCCCCAAGTAAAGCCCCCAAAAGCCCTGCGCCGAAGGCCCTTCCCTGCCACGGCGCGGACTTCGAGCCCGTGGTGCTCGGCCATCCCCTGGCCCTCGGCAAGGCCAACAGCTCCCGTTTTTTTCGTTGCATCTTGTTCTTATTGTGATTTTTTGTCCGTGGGGGGGGGGGTTGGATGGGGTTGGGGCGGAGTTGGGGGGGTCTTCAAAGAGGCTCTGGAGGGTTCTGGGGTTTACGATGTTGGAGGGTCTAGGGAGGTTGTTCAGAAAGGGTTTCCCGCGTTGGGTGTTTATTGTATCCTTTTGGGTTTGGGGGTGTGGGTTTATCGGGTTTAGGGCTTGCAGGAGCTTACAGGGTTTACAGAGTTGGCAGTACAACCTTTTCTGCTAGCAGCCAAAAAGGAATACCCGGGCAGGGAGACCCCCATCGGCTTGCCCTTCTCGAGTGTGTGCTGTTGGCATTCGCAATGCCTTTCAGCGGTCATGACCACGTTAGCTCTTCATGTCTGTCCATGTGCCATACGTGGGGGTTTTAGGGGGTTCTAGCCCGGATTTTATGTGGTGTCACCTTGGAAATATGGTCTCAGTCTACTTAAACCCTAAACCCTATAACCCTACACCCTAAGGTAGTTTGTGTCATCAGGCGCTTAGATGCAGATGCCTGGCTCTGAAGGTACCGCACGTTCCTTTGGGTACTTCTCATTCTGGGCCGCACTCGACCCCAACTATAGCTAGTGTGGCGATTGTTGTTCTTGTCGTTGTTATGATTACTATGGCTACTCTGACGATGGCTGTCATTGCTATCATATTGGTACTGCTATTCTACTGTATACATTAGTGCCGTTTTTCGATTGTACCAGAATATGAGATTGCAAAAGCCGAAGCAAACGAACCCTGGACCAAACCGCAGCCTTTCGAGCATGGCAGACTGCCAAGGCCAGAAGGGTCAGAAGGGGCACTGCAACACTTTTGAAAGGTTGTAGGGTTGAATGCTTTAGGGAATTTAGAGCTTCAAGTTTCAGAAGATTTCACAAGTTCAGGGCTCCGATTATGCGCGTTGAGCTGGTTGCAGCGATCGGTCGAGATTTGTTGGGCTACTTTTAGGCTTGCTTGCATATTTCCGGGGGCCGGCCCAAGAAGTGTCGGCTTCCTGCCGGGATGTTCATGTTCTGTTTCCCATGCTCGGCCTTTGGACAGGGTTGTCGGGTGTGCAGTTTGATGGGATCAATATCAGTATCAACCAGTGAACCGAACTTGCATCACTCATAGCAATGCGAATTGAAAAGTGAAAACGTTTAGAAAGCTGCCGAACATCAATACAGCAAGCATCGACTGCAGCTCGACGAATTCCCAGGAAGCCGCCAACCCGCTAAGTGGGTTAGGGATGTTAGGGCGGTTTAGGCCGTAAAGGGGTTTAGGGTATGGTGTTTCAGGTTTAGGGTTTGGGGGTTCGCGGAACTCCCATGCCGAGGCTGATGCCGACGGGAGGCCTAGGTGCCCGCGTTGCCATCTACGGTAGTGGGGCGGATTTTCAGTCCTTGCAGCTTTGAGGGTGTGTCCCATAAAGTGCGTGCTGGTCTTCTGGACCGAGTCAGGTGCGAAGCTTCTTGTGCGGCGGTTTACGCCGGCAGAGGCCCGGCACACTCCGGAAGCAGAGAAGTTTCCGCCTGGTTGCCTCACCTCCTTAGACTTCCCGACTTCCCGCAAGGCGCCAGCTTCGGCTGCAAGCAGCGAGCTCAAGGCCCAAGGATTCCAGTTTTCATTTGGGTATCTTTTTGTCGGGCTGTTCACCAGAACGACGAACCATCGAATACACTGCACACCCGCAGGGCGACCGAAAGAAGAAAGCGAAGAGCCAGACCGCTGATCAGCCCAATCCTCGTTAGAAAATGTCGAAATATCAGCCCGTGGGCCGCGGGCCCATGGTTCTCTCCATGTTTCAGCGTGTTTCAGCCGGCTTGGGTTGAACTGTGACCAATGACAAATGCTGACAGCTGCTAGGGTGCGTCTAGCTTCTTTGTCAAGGCGAGTCGAGGTTGCGCCCGCCTTCGCTCGGGTGTTCAAAGGCTTGGGTCTTGGCACTGCAGATGTCTGCAAGCTCTACAGGCTCTGCATGTGCTCCCTCGTCACAGAGCTTCACGCCTTCCTGTTGTAGGAGGCAGACAGGACGCCGGCCTGAGGTTGCCGAAGAGTTTTCGGATGTTTTCGGAATGCCGCAAAGCTGGTTGCAAGCCATGCGATGCGCTTTCGCCGAGTTTTTTCTTCGCCCCCATGCCTCTTTGTCGCGACGTGCCGATGTGCCTCTGCGCTCTCGAGCCTGAGGTGGCCCCAAGCGAAGGGAGTCGGACCTGCCGGTGCCGGGCTCGGGCGCACAAACTTCAGAGAAGTAGAAGGGTGCAATGTCGCAGTGGAAGCAGATTAGACACGCGCACATGTAGCAGTAATCCAGCAACATGAGCGTTATATACAATACACGCATGCGACACCTCTCTTCGAAATCTTATTGAACTCGCTATTTCATGTAGTTGATCAGTTGGACAATGATTCCCATGAGATGCTAGTAGGTGGTTGCTAACACTTGACAACTTTGAGAGGGGCCTCGTTGGGCTGAATTGAATTGAGTAAGCTTTCAAAAGAATCTTAGTGGAGACTGACAAGATCGCGTTCGGTGATGTGGCATACAGAGCTTCTTTTAGCACAGAGAAAAGAGACAAGCGTGCAGGATTTCTTTCAACTCTATGTATATTGACCAAGACTCTTAGATACACATGTTTGTTGTGCGTGGGTGGCCCTCGTATGAAACAGCAGTTTTTGGGTACTCCTCCATGAACCAGAAAATATCTATCTACATATATAAAGATACATATACGTATGTATGTATATGCAACTACAATCTCATATTCATATGTATGGCACTTCGAAGGCCTTGAAAGAGAGCATGTCTCAAGTGCCCTGCTCTCAAGGTGCAGGAGGATGAGGGCATCGAAGAGGTGCCCGGAGCCGGGGAGGCCCGCAGGATGTTCAGAGCGAAAGAAGAGATCCTCCTTTGGTTTGGGGCTGTAGGTTTATGACCTTAGGAAGGTTAAGTTTCAGGGTTTGGGGTGGCTTGAGGGGGACCCGCCCTTAAAGCTGTCCGAACGCCCAAGATCTGCAGGCAACCGCGGCGCCGGTGCCTGGTGGTGCCTGGCTCGCCTCCCTGGGTGCTGGGGATGAGGCGCCCCTTACACAAGACCCTAAACTTTGCCCCAAGCTCTTCAAACCCAAAGCGCTTTTGATGAGTTGGGCTCAGATAGGGAATTCGGTTTCAGACCCAGTCGTGGACTGCGGTTTCTCGGGTCCCTGGATTTCGATGAGCTCCAGTGTCCTTGAGAAATCTCCGCGGCTGCGAGACGTCAAGAGCAGCGTAAGCATTGGCGGCCGGCTACGCAGCACAAGGAGGCAGACTTGAACTCTTAAGGATCTTGAAAACTCGCCTGGTAAAGGTGAGCCCCGGCATCTCGAAAGCCAGCAAAAAGACCCTGTTCACACGCTTGAACGCTTGAAAACACCACTTCAGGAAAAATCGTTTCCATGTTCTCAAAAGACGGCCTTCCACCTTAGCCCTTAAATCCTTCTCGGAATCTCTCGGAAATGCTGCGGGTCTACTTGGCTTCCGGGGAGCTGCTGGAAGTGGACACCCAGGAGGTGGCAAAGACCTCAGAGACCTGGCCTCCCTCGGTGCTCTCACTGCGCCTCGTTTGTGCTAGCGAAATGCGAAGCTGTCGTCGCTGTTGGAGGTCTGCACGTGGTCTCTCGCTTTTCGAGGTCTGCACTGGCATATCTGAGACCTTAGGGTTCTTTTGGCTTAGTCTTTACCAAGGTATTTTCAAAAAAACACTAGAAATCCGAATAAATACATACAAGAGCTATTGTATACAAAACCATCCATCACGTTCACTAGGGTCTGAGAACTGGGCTCTCGCAATGTGCTTTCGGGTTTTAGACTTCAGGAGAGTTCACTTAGTGTTTGCGGTTGAAAAAGGGAGTAGCAATTTGGGGGTCTACGTGGTTGCTGTAAGCTATCACCCATTCTTTTGACCTTCACGAGTATGTGTCGCCAAGGCAGCTGGGGATTTAAGGAGCTTGTGCTTCATTCCAACCCAAAACCCTGAACCATAAAACTTAAGCCCTAAAAACTAAAGCCGAAATCCTAGACCGTAAACCTTGAAGCTTAAATCCTAAACCCTGAACCCTAAACCCTAAATCCTGAAGCCTAAACCCTAAACCCAAACCCTAAACCCAATTAACATCACTTCTTGCTGTGTCGTCTTCGCAAAGCCGACGCGAGTATGTAGCTGAATGTAGCTGCTCAGAAATCATGATGCACAGGAGTTTTGCTAGTCTTGAATACGTGTAATTCTTCAACATGCTGTGCTGCAATTGCAAAAGCATCGAAATGGCACCAGGCCGGAGATGAAACATCTCTTGTTTCTGAGAAAGCCCTGTGGTGATTCTTTTCTGGCTGTAGAAGAATCAGTTTAGTTGTCTTAATATGCCCTGTGGTGATTCATTCCTGGCAGGAAATCAATCAGTCCAGGTGTCGCAGCAAGCCCCGTGCGAACTTGTGCACAAGAATAGTGATTTTGATTTTAGTATGGAAATGAGGTTTAATATTCATTCTTACATTAATTGCATTAGTAATGATATCGAGGTCGGAATTGAATCGGTCCAGGTGTCTGACAAAGCTTTGCCAGGTGTCAAATACGTCCTGTGGTGATTCATGTCGGGTCGGAAATGAATCAGTCCAAATGTCTGAAAGGGTTGCGGTGATTTGTTCCCGGCCGGACATGAATCGTCCTGCGGTGAGAATCACCACTGAGCTTATTCAGACACCTGGACTGATTCGTTTCCGACCCGAAATGAATCACCACAGGGCGTATTTCACACCTCCCAGGACTTATTCAGACACTTGGACTGATTCATGTCCGACCTTGATATCATCAGCAATATTTCCAGTACTAGTGCCAGGAAGATAAGCATGAAGCTTAATATTCATGTCAATATTCAGATCAGAATTGTTACTCATTTTCATGAATCAGCACGGTTGTTTTGAACGAACATTGCATAGACGACGCGTCCAGCGTGGATGGCGGAACCTTCCGCGAAAGTTAGACAAGGCCTGGTCATTTGTAGCCGTACAGCATTTGTTCCGAAACTTTCTGGGCTCAGTATAAGATAACATATTAGATAGCGCTATGCTATTTAGCTAATCGTAATATACTGTTCTTTACGAAGCCTGGTTAAATAACCCTAATTTTTCCCGGCCCGAAGTGAATCAGCACAGTGCTTTTAAGACGAACGGACTGGTTCTTTTCTGGCCCGAAATGATTCACCTCGCGACGTATTTGACACACGGCACAACCTTATGAGGACAGCAGGACTGATTCATTTCCGACCTGAGTTTGGCATTTGTAAGTCAATAATGTTGCTATCTCTGCTATCACGACTGCACATATGAATACTGATATTAATGTCAATATGAAGCTAATGTCAATATGAAATGATTTAGCACGAAGCTTCCTGACACTTGGGTTGTTTCATTTCCATTCATTTCGACACCTGGCAGAGCTTTCTAAAACACCTGGACTGAGTCGTATTATCATTACTAGTACCATAATAATCAGAATGAATATTAATATTCATTTCAATATAAAGCATTAAGTTATTCTGTTGCATATATAAATAGCACAAACCTTGCTGCGACACCACCTTGCAGGGCTCACTAAGACACCTGGACTGGTTCATTTCGGCCCCGCGGAATCAACATCAGTATTAACACTACCCTTTCTAGTAACATAAGAATGACTACTAATACTCAAATTAGTGTCAATATTAACATCAAACACAATATTCATCTTCGTGAACTTCGCACAGGCCTGGACTGATTCATTTCCGCCCAGGAATGAATCACCATAGGGCTTGTTCAGACACCTGGACTGATTCATTCCCGACCCGAGATGAAGCATCACAGGGCCGACCATAATATCAATGTGACCAGTCACTCTATTCTTAGTACTAGTATCTATATTGCTATTACTATTTGTATGAGTACTAGTCGATACACATTTTAATCTTAATGCAACTATTGATAGTAATATACTAGCATTAAATGTCGTCTAGTACCACTACTATTAATTTTAACGCTACGCGACCCGCCTCGGCCCGGCCCAGCGCATCCGCGTGAGCGTGGTGATTCCGCAGCGCCCAAGTCGCTGGACCCCAAGCAATAAGGGTTGGGTTTAGGGTTTAGGGTTCCGGGTTTATGGTTTATGGTTTGGGGTTTAGGGTTGAGGGTTAGTTTAGGATTGAGGGCTTAGGGCTCAAGGTTCACGCTTTGGGGTTTAGGGTTTTTTTGGGTTTAGGGTTGAAGAGACGGCTCGGCTTGGATTGATCGTAGGGTTGAGCCAGGCCCGTCAGGGGGGGTAGGGGGGGTGGGGGGGGAAGGGGGGCGGAGGGGGGTGTGGGGGGGGGGGGGGGGGGGGGGGGGGGGGGGGGGGGGGGGGGGGGGGGGGGGGGGGGGGGGGTTTGTTGAAGGTTTGAGGGTTGAGTGCTTCGGGCTTTAGGTTTAAGGTTTAAGGTTTAGTAATGCATCCCGGCCATGCTCACACCAATCGAGCCTCGAAAGCCCGCTCACCAATAGTGGCTTTGGGCGGGGTAAAGGGGGAGGGGGGCGCCGGGGGAGAGGGCAGGGGGTGGGTGCTAGCGGGGAAAAGGCGGGGGGCTTTTCTGGGAGGGGCTTCAACTGCCTCTGGTCCTGGCGAACTGTCCGCGCGGACCCCGGTTTACTAGGGGGGGTACCCATTTGGGGCAAAAAAAGGGGTCCGAAAATTGGTTTTGGGTGTTTGGAGGGGGGTGCCTGTTCTCACAACCTATACACCTCCGGCCCGAGGCCTCGGCGGATTCTACGGTGTGAATACTAATATTAAAGTTGCTATTAATGCCAGTATCAATATGAATTTGAATTGTGGATTGGTATTGACTTCAATATGAATATTGTTACCGGTTCTAATACGCACAGTAATATTAATACGATATAGAGAAATAAATAGATAAATATAAATAAATAAAGAAGTAAAAAATATATATGTATATATATTTATATTCAGGAATAAGAAAAAACTTTCATGACTTTACTCAGGTATCATTATTTTTGTTGAACAAATCGAATATTCGTAATATTCATATATGTGAATTAGACAAATAATGATCGCATTCATAGTAGTCATTAATATTGATGAAATTCTTAAAACTGTTAATATTTATGATGTTCTTACTGCGCAAAATACGAACATCAAAACTCATAAAGGCACACTTCTATTTATTGTTATTCGCAACAATCAGCAGTACAACTAGACGTCAACAAGCAGCCTGCAGCAAAACAACGACGCATTATGCCGAGATGCACCAGTAAGCAAGAAACAACCACACATTAAGCCCAGATGCACCAATAAGCAAAGAACTACACCTTAATCCAAGATGCACCAACAAGCAAAACAACTGCACATTAAGCCAACGTGCACCAATAAGCAAAACAGATACATGTTCAGCCAAGACACACCAGTACGCAAAACTGCAACACATTTCGCCCGAACGCACGAACAAGCAAAACAAGCAAAACAACCGCATATTAAGCCGAGAACTAGAAGCTTTCGTTGTTGATGTTGAGGACATACCAGTGTTTACACAGGACCCGTGAAGCGCACAGGGCCGCGCAGGGCCCGTAAAACCTTAACCTTTCCTTTTGAAAGTTGCGCACACACTAGAAGGGCTCTTTCGTCTTGGATGTTGACAACGCTGTAGGGTTTTTAAAAGCCTTTCGTCTTCGATGTTAAGACCTGCCGTTGTTAAAGTTGTGCACACGCTAAAGGGTTTACAAAACAAAACTTTCGGATTGACGTTGCAGACGCACCAGGGTTTACATGACGCTTTCCGCTTTTGATGTTGAAAAACACAGTAGGGTTCACAAAATCCTATGGGCTTTTAATGTTAAGAGCACACCAAGGTTTACAAACACCCTTCGTTTTTAAAGGTGTGCACGCACTATGGGGTTTACAAAAACACTTTCGGTGTGAACGTTCCAGGCGCACCAGGGTTTACAAAAAACCTTTCGCTTTTGATGTTGAAAGCACACTAGGGTTTACAAAAACCCTTTCGTTTTGGATGTTGCACGGTAGGCTTTTCAAAACCTTTCGTTTTCGATGTTTGCAAAAACCTTTTGTTGCTAAAGTTGTGCACACACTAAAGGATTAACAAAAGGTTTTGGCGTTGCTGGCGCACCCGGGTTTACATGACACTGTTCGCTTTTGATGTTGAGAACACAGTAGGGTTTACAAAAAATCTTTCGTTCTCGATGTTGAGAACACAGTAAGGTGTACAAAATTTTTTGGCTCTTATTATTAAGGGCACACCAAGGTTTACATAAACACTTTTGGTTTTGACGTTGCAGGCGCACCGTTTACAAAACATTTCGTTTTCGATGTTGAGAACACAGCAGGGTTCACAAAAGACCTCTCGTCTACGATGTTGAGAACACAGTAGGGTTCATAAAGTCATTTTTGTTTGGTAAGTTTTGCACACACTATAGGGTTCACAAAAAAGCTTTTTGGTTTGACGCTGCAGGCACACAAGGGCTGGCAAAAGCCGTTGGGAGCACAGGATGGTGTACACAAAAGCTTTCGTTGCGATTTGCCAATTCGGAACATACTCCTACAAAAAACGTAAGGGTACACTGCTCGCGATTTGTGATTTCGAGACATGTTCTTGAACAAATGAAGGCGGCTCTGCTTGCGATTTGTCAAACTGGAACATACTTCCACAACAAAAAACGTAGGGGGACAGTGCTTGCGATTTATGATTTGGAGACATTTTCTCGGAAAAAATCAGGGGACACTGCTCGTGATTGTCAATTTGGAACATGCTTTGACAACGAAGAAGTAAGGGTACACTGCTTGCGATTCGTCAATGCGGAACATACTTTTACAACAGTAAGAGTAAGGGGGCACTGCTTGCTATTTATGATTTCGAGGCATTCTCTTGAAACAGATAAGGGGGGACACTGCGAGCTTTGATTTCGAGACATTTTCTTGAAAAGGTCTTCTACAACAAAAACGTAAAGAGGCACTGCTTGCGATTTGTCATATTTGAACATATTGTTACAGCAAAAGAACGTAAGTAGACAGTGCTTGCGATCGATGAACTCGAGACATTTTCAGGGGACCCTGCTTGCGAATTGTCAATTTGGAACATACTTATACAACAAAAAAGTAAGATACACCGCTTGCGATTTGTCCATTTGGAACATACTGTTACAGCAAAAGACGCAAGGGGACACTGCTTGCGAGTTATGGTTTCGAGACATTTTCTTGTAACAGACAAGGGAGGACACTGCTTGAGATTTGTGAATTTGGAACATACAGTACTTCTACAAACAAAATGTAAGGGGACACTGCTTGCGATTTGTCAAGTTGGAGCATACTTTTACAACGAAAAACGTAAGGGGACACTGCTTGTGATTTATGGTTTCGAGACATGTTCTTGTCACAGACAAGGGGGACGCTGCTTGCGATTTGTCAAGTGGGAACATACTTCTACCACAAGAAATGTAAGGGGACACTGTTTGCGAGTTATGATTCAGAGATATGTTCTTGAGAAAAATAAGGGCGAGACTGCTTTTGATTTGTGGAATGGGAACATACTTTTACAACAAAAACGCAAGGGGACAGTGCTTGCGATTTATGATTTCGAGACATTTTCTTGAAAAAAAACAGGAGGACAGTGCTTGCGATTTGTCAATGCGGCACATACTTTTACAACAAAAAGTAAGGGTACACCGCTTGCGCGTTATGAGTTCGAGACATTTTCTCGAAAAAAAGAGGGTGACACTGCTTGCGATCTGTCAATTTGGATCCTTCTTTTACAGCAAAAAAAGTAAAGGGACAGTGCTTGCGATTTTTGATTTCGAGACATTTTCTAGTTCCAACGGATAGAGTAAGGGACACTGCTTGCGATATATGATTTCGAGACATGTCATTGAAAGAATCAGGGAGGCACTGCTTGCGATTTGTCAATTTAGAAAATGCTTCTACGGCAAAACACGTAAGGGGACACTGCTTGCGATTTGCCCATTTGGAACATACTTGTACAGCAAAAAAAGTAAGGGGACAGTGCTTGCGAGTTGTGACTTCCAGACATTTTCTTGAAAAAGACAAGGGGGGCACTGCTTGCGATTTGTCAATTTGGAACATACTTTTGCAAGAAAAAACGCGAGGGTACAGTGCTTGCGACGTATGATTTCGCTACATGTTCTTGAACAAAAATGAAGGCGACACTGCTTGCGATTTGTCAATTGGGCACATACTTTTACAACAAAAAACGTAAGGGGTCAGTGCTTGTTATGGTTTCGGGACATTATCTTGAAAAAACAAATCAGGGGGAGACTGCTTGCGATTTGCCAATTTGGGACATACTTCTACAACAAAAAATCGGAAGGGGACACTGCTTGCGATTTATGACTCCGATGCATTTTCTTGAAGATTTCAAATAATTCAAACCATTTAAGTTATTCAAGTTACTTTTCAGGCTCCAGATTCTCCACAGTTCAAATAAGCCAAACATATGGGATTCTCGGGAAGCCAGGCCATTTGGATAACTTTCAATAGTTTAAACAAGTAAATTCCGGGATTTGAACTATTCAAAACTATTTCGGGGGCCCCAGAAATTAAACAATTTAAGTGATTTATTTCCTGGATTTAAGTTGTATACATGATGTGAAGGCCCTAGAATTCAAGTAATGTAAGTCATTGGCCAAGGGCTCTGCATCAAACATTTGGTGCTTTTGCTGGGGTTGGTCGGATCAAATTTTGACCAGGGGCTCTGCGTCAAAATTTGGTGCAATCCGAACCCCCCTCTTCCCTGTAGAAAAATTTAATCATGTAAATAGTATAAATAGTTTCAATATCTTAGCAAATGTAAATCCTGAAAGGGGCTGTCTCCTTCCATTCAAATTCTGGGCCCACCGAAATAATCTAAATAAATTCAGTCCTGAGTTGTTTCAATTCGTAGCCTGCCAAAATGACAGAGATAATAAATGTAATAGAAATACAACTTGTGTTTTTTTGATAAACTGATTTGTTTGTATTATTCTTATATTCTGTTCAATCTCCAGACGAAAAAGAATTTAAAACTCTCTTGTGCTTTTATTCTGAATTTCTAAAAGAGAGAAATTTCATAAACAACAAAAATAGTAGAAGTACTAGAAACATGAAAAATGTTGATTTTGCTGTATTTGAATTTCTATTCTGAGCTAAAAACACAAGCAAGAATGAAAACACTGGAAACAAATATGGATTCCATTTATTTAATGTAGTAAAACTATTTAAAGTCTGTAAACACTTTAAATGATTTGAATTATTCAAATTCTGGGGCCACTGAAATATTTACAAAAATCTAAAACCTCACATAATTTTGATAATTCAATCCCTTAAATATTTAGATTTTCGAGCCTCCAGAATTCATAATTTACAGAATTTAAACATGAATGGAGTACTCCAGAAGCCAGACCATTTAAATCATTTAAATAGTTCAAATACTTAAGTCCCTGATGTAAATTGGTTAAATTATTTCGGGAGGCCCAGAATCTAAATAATTTAAACCATTCAACTCCCAGATTTTTGTATTTTAGTTATTTAGTGGGCCCCAGAATTTAAGCAATCTCCCTCCGGGTGTTGAATTAAAATTTGTTAAATGATTTACACCATTTAAATGGCTCGGCGTCTGGAGGATCCGGTTTTATTTAAGTGATTCAAATTTACTTAAGTTCTTAAGTTTTTGTGGAGCATCCAGATCTTAAATAATGTGAAAAATTTAAATAAATGGAGTCCTCCAGAAGCCAGACCATTTTAAATAATTTCAATATTTATTAAATCCCTGGTTTAAATTATTTAAATTATTTGGGGGGCCCCCGAATTTAAATCATGTAACTCCATTGTTTTTTTTATGTGAATTCTTGGGCTTCCAAAATAATTTAACTTTTCTAATCTCCAAAATAATTTAACTTTTCTAATAAATGTTTAAAAGAAAACGAGTGGCAACATAGTACATAAGGTCCCCCTCTCTCTTATATATTTCTACATATATGTATATAGTATACAGTATACATCAATACGTACACACACATATACAGTATACATCAATAAGTACACACACACACATATAAATAAATAATTAAATAAATAAATAAATAAATAAATAAATATGTACCGACATCTGAATTTACATCTGTATCTACATACATGGATATCTCCACATACGGGAGGGATGGAGGCTGAGCGACGCAGAGCTTTGCAAAGATGGCAGCGCGGTGGTGTTGGAGCGACTTGAGTGTCAGTTCTGGTGGCATGCTGCGTTCGTGGCAGTTTCGTTGCAGATCGCTGTTAGCTCAGGAAGCGGCACCTGCAGCAACTGTGTGGGCAGCCGAGATTCAAGTTACGGCTGCTGTGCAGTGGAACGATTCTGGAGGACTCGGAAGTGCTGGCCAGCTCACTCGACTTGCAACTGGTGGTGTTGCCTTTCTGCTTATCCCGGGAAGCCCAGTGTCGGGAGCTCATGCAGGCGATTTTCGTAAATTCCACTGAGGAGGTCGAGGCGATACTGCAAAGACCACAAGACCCGAACCTAAAACCAGATTCGCAAGACGCCCAAGACGCTGCCTTACACCTTGCTCTGCAGCTCCGGCGCTCGGACATCGTGCAGCTCTTGCTCGAGGCCTGGGCCGACGTGGACAAGCCGGATGGACGCGGGTCAAGCCCTGTTTTCAAGGCGGTTGATATCCACCACTTGGAGGCCCTACGTGCTCTCTTGGCTGCTCGGGCTGATGCTGACAAGGCCAACTCCATGGGACAGACGCCTCTTCTCCAAGCAGCCGCGAACGGCCTCACCGAAGCAGCCAGTCTACTTGTGCAAGCTGGTGCAGACAAAGAGCTCAACGTGAATGGGAGAACGCCTCTACACACGGCTGTTCAAGGGGGCCACTCAGGCGTGGTGCGCGTGCTGCTCGAAGCCCGCAGCGATCTGAACTCGGTGGACCGGCATGGGTGCACACCGCTCCGGATGGCAGCCGAGGTCGGTGACCTCGTTGCCATGCGGCTTCTCTTGGATGCCAAGGCAGACGTGGACAAAGGTGACTTCAACAGCCTCAGCCCTCTGCTTGTCGTGTTGGGAAACTTGGAAGGCCAAGGCGGCCGCCTGGAAGGCCACGGCCGCCTACGCCTGGTGCGCGTTCTCATGGAGGCATCCGCGGATGTTAACAAGGCGAGGAAACCAAGCTTCCCCGACACATCAATATGTGCATATATGTATATGTACACATACATATATATTCTAAACATCTATACATGTAAAAGGAGATATGTTTATTGCCGATCTAGCCGTCTAGCAACTAGTCTCGTGTGCATTTTTGAATCGGATAATCAAGGCCACGGTCCGAGCCGAACCCTGAGAGCCTGGCACTTCGCAAAGAAACACTAGGCAGGCTACAGTGATGCTGCTTAGCTTGTTTGACAGGCTGATGCTACCGGGCGGACACCTGTTTTGGTCGCGTGCCTCCGTGGCTGCGTTGAGATCACGAAGCTACTTGTAGAAGCGGGTGCCACTTTGCACAAGGCCGAGAGTTTTAAAATTCAAGCCTCTACCCACGCTACGGGACGTTAAGCGATGCCTTCCACGCTTCTCAGGCGTGGGTCAAGGAACCTTCGGGTGACACGGTCGGAAGCGCCCATCCGGAGATTGTACACCTGCTGTCAGAGGTCGGAAGTCCTTAGTAGTCCTCAGTTTGTGAGTACAGACCGTAGCTACTGATAGCCGTTGTAGGCTATTGCCCCCTTCGGCATGGCCCCCAGGCAGCTGCAAACGGCAGCGTGGAAACGGCACGTCTGCTCGTTGAGGCAGGCGCCGACAAGGACGAGCTCAACAGCTATGGAAAGACCCCTCTTTACATGGCAGCCCTCTGTGGCCACCCAGACGTCACGAAGCTCCTGCTCGAGGCCCAAGCAGATCCGAACAAGGTGGCAGATGATGGTTCAACACCCCTTCGGATGGCAGCGGACTCTTGGATATATGAGAAATAAAACAAAACGAAGTATACATATGTACAAAAAATATATACATATACATGATGAAGGTGCTTCCTCTAGGTGGTCTACAAGAAAGGGCTTGGAGAGTCCAGTGAGAGACGCAGCCTCCTGCCAGAAAGCGAGATTTCTCGTTTGAGCGCAGCTCAAGGAATTGGGGGACCTGGAAACGACGCAGCGGCTGCTGGAGGCCGGGGCTGACACGGACCGGGCCGACAACGCGGGCTTGACGCCTCTGCTCGCGGCCTGCATCCATGGCAAGGTCGAGGCAGGGGCATCAGGGGAAACTCTTTGGAGAGCAACTACAACAAGGGGAGTCAAATTCTTCTGGGGAGTATTCCGATTTGCCCTCCGGGTGCCCTCGAAGGTGGCCCGGGCTTTGGTGGCTGCCGGCGCGGACGCGAAGGCCAGATCCATGGCGTGCTGACAGTTCCCGCAGAGTGTAAAGACGTCAACAAAGTTCCACAAGTGATTCTCAAGTGACTTTCCATTGGAGCCGGGCAGTCATTGAAACAGCTCTCTAGTCATCGAAAATTGGGTTCTTGAAAAGGAAGTTATATTAAGTTACCATGATAAGGAAGCCACATTATCACGAAAGCTAGCTCTGTGGAGCTGGCGGGAGTTGTCGTTTACCCATGCACTGGTATTCACCTTGCTAAGAAGCTTCCAGGGAAAAAAAGGGTTCCACACCTTAACAGGTCCGAAACCCAAGACTTAAGGTGGGGGTTGGGGGGGGGGGGGCCCCCCCCCCCCCCCCACCTCACCATGAAGCATTTTTGAAGGATAAGGTGCCGGCGCCCCCCCCCCCCCCCCCCCCTCCTTTAAGGTGGTTGCGTGTGGGATAAGGTAGGGGGGGGGGGGGCCCCCCCCCTACCACCTTCAGGTCCCCCCCCCCCCCCCCACAAGGTCCCCCCCCACCCCACCCCAAGGTCCTCCCCCGCCCCCCGCAGTCACCATGCTCTGAAGGTCGTCTGCGGTACTTTGCAGAGGTCGTACTGACCAGAGCGTCCCTGTACCTAAACTTCGTTTGCGACACGGGGTTCCAGCGGGGGAAGCAAGGAGGCTGAAGGAGTTTAGGGCTTCAGATTTCGAGTTTAGGCCACCTGAAGCATGTGCCTGAAATACGGAAAAAGCTGCGCCGGCGGCTCCAAGTCCTGCCGACTCGCTGCATGCCACCCCCCTGCGGTGACTAGCTTTCGTAGCCCCTTCTCAAGTCTGCATTATCTGAGATATAAACCCATTGTGGTAACTTGGTTTAAGTTCCTTAGCACCCAGCAGAGGCCATCGAGGCTAACAGCGACAACGAGGTGCAGCACCTGGAATCGGTGGGCAACCTGGAAGGTGGGAAAAGATCGCAAAAAGGGTGACTCTTAGAGGCCCTTTTGGGGGTTTCAGAAGGCTCAAGCTTCATGGTGGGAGTCGTGGATAGAGCTTGTCTTGTGCAGAATCGTGTGGAGCGAAGGCGTTCGGATGCTCATGGAAGCGGAGGCGGACGATGCTGCGAAGTTGGAGATTCGTTGGCTTAGTGCAATCCGCCTGCCATCTCATGCTCCCAAGATCTGAAAGCGGCTTGAGGGTCTAGCTTTGGACCTTGGGCGTGTTGCTAGCAGGGGGTGATGAAAAAAAGGATGTTCTAGATTCCAGAGGAGCTGCTGGGGGATGGCTGTTCCCGGACGGTACTTCCCAAGCTATCCGACAGCCCTTTCGAGCCTTTTCGAGCCCTTTCGAGCCCTTTCAAGCCTTTCGGTCAGGCCGGAGAAGCCCGGGCCAGCAAGCGCCGAAAGTGAGTGCAAAAAGTGGGGGGTGCGGACTTTGCATCCTGGGGCATGTCGAGAAGAGAGTTGGGTTTCCCAAAATAGGGGTCGTAGTACGTTATATTATCACTGTAGTAAATTCTGGTATCTTATCGTACATTCTAGAATGTCTTCTGTGCGGTTTTTGAGGGGACCCCGGGGTTGGGAACTGTCTTGCGCCAGGCGGAGGAATCAGCAGCTCCGGCTCCCGCAGCAGAGCTTGTGGGCTCCCCAGGGTCAACGCCAGCGCGTCGGGGGGTACCTTGGACCTTTGGGGACCTCGAGTCGCCCTAAACCTTGGGCCAAAGTTTTGGGGACTCTTGTCGGCCAGGATTGGCTGGCCTCGCTGAAAGCCAAGCGGGCGCCAACCAGCGAGGCGAGCATCCGGAAACTGTTTGGCCCAGAAGTCTACTCTGACAAAAACAAACTAAACTCGTAGATCATAATGTTGACCTCCCAGAAAGCAACCCCCTCTCTCCCCTCCCCCCGCCCATTAATCGGTGCCGAATTTTACTAATTGCAGAGGCCGCTTGTAGCGGCCCACTGTGCTTGTTGCTGTTTTCTCCTTGCAGAGTCATCACCACAATAGTAAGCATCACCATCTTAACCTCCAGAATCATTTCAGACATGATAGCATGATTCCTCGTCCTTAGGAGCCACTGAGTCCTTGTAAATTGGTTACGCAACATAGCCTGTGAGAATGGGAGGCGCCCAGCAAAGCCGCCAAGCGGCCGAAGAGGCAACTCCTTCACCGCCTGTGTTGCGGTGCGCTATAGGTGTGCATATTCTTGTTGTGCTCACGTAGGTTTCTTCTCGAGTGTCCTTCGGCTTCTGGATTTTTCTTCGGCTGTCTCCGAGTTCTTCGCGTGACGTTTTGATGTCCAGATGCACAGGAAGGACGACGGTCGAGCATTGGATATTCCGCCGTTCTGGCGTGAGGGCCTCAGTCATCCCTACTACGGCAATCCTCAGAGAGTCCCAAACTTTAAACCTCAAACCCCAAGCGAGTTTTTGTGCCCAGGGACCGCCTCGGAAGAGGAGCTTAGCGAGGCGCTGGCGGCGCTCCGCGAGCGGATGCTTCCCAGGAGCCGCCAGGGCTTGCGGCTCGGTCAAGCGGCAGGCATGTTTTGACGGTCGGAGGTCCTAAGGCCTCGAAGCCCTCACAAAAACACGCTTCTTAGAAGCCCTCAAAGCCCTTAAACATCCTTAAGCCCTTAACCCCCCGAACCTGGTTCCAATTGTCAGGATTCGCAAGATGGCCAAAGATGCACGCAGGGAAGACCAGCCGGGGCCCTCAGGTTATCTCTGGGTGCAAAAGAGTGCGTCTTGCGTTTCAGCTGTTCCTGAGTGTGTAAGGCTCTGAAGTTTGAAATCGGAATCAGAACCTCCGAAAGTCAAGAACTGCCCCAACCGGGAATGAAATCTTACGTGGCCCTTACCTGCACTCTGAGCCTTTCTTGCTCCTGAAGAAGCCTTCAAGCTTTCAAACGCTGCACAACGACTACAATCCTCACCACAATCCTCCACCTGCGTGTTAGGGCCACGGTTAGGAATAAGAGTATCTTTCCACAAGACCCCCCCCCCCCTCAAAAAGAAACTGAAAAAAAGAAAAAGGTTAAACACCCTCACCAGATCCCAAGAATTCCGGACATCCCCAAAACCCAAAACCCCAAGGCCCCCCGCCCCTCCCCCCCCCCTCCCAAAGGAAAAGTGCCCAAGCCCCCACGGCCCCACCGCTGCCCTCCGAACTCCGAGGAAGCGCGGGGGCCACCTGAAACCCCGGACCGCCGCGCTCGGACGCGTGTGAGAGAAAGGGGGGGCGGCAGCACAGCATGGAGCTGGATCTTTGTCGGGTGTTTCTTGCGGGCACATCTGGGCACTTCATTCGTCAGCTTTAGCTCTCTCTCTCTCTCTTGAGGAAGATCGGGGTTTTTGATACTTGGCCATGATGGTGTTGAAAGGCTGTGTCTGGGTGCAGCGTAGATTGCCTTCTGCGGATTCGGGAGCCCTGGAAGTTGGAAGATGTTGGAAGCCTCTAGGCGCTGCCGGTCTTCATCTTTGCTTTCACCTGCCAGCAGAACATCTTCACGATCTGCAATGAGGCAGCGATGGCCGATGGAAGGTTCCGGAAAGTCACGGCGTGGCCGCGGCTAACTACACGCAGGATTTCCGAAGGCTTAGCTATATGACAGTATATTAATGTATATTTTGTTTTCGTTTTTGGGCAGCATGGTCCCCTGCAAAATTCTACCTCTTGTTGGTTTCGTCTGGGGAACCGGAGACGTAGGCCACGGCAAACACTGGAAAAACTTGGCCAGGTCCAGAACTCCACCTGCCGTCGCATCGATGGGATCATTGCAGCTGCGGCTGGGTTCTCGGGGGCTCATTCGGGGAACGAGACCGCAGCGTCTCTATGATGTGACCCCAAAACCTAGGACTTTGTGACTCTGATGTCGGTGATTTGGCCCATAAAGGTCCAACTGTTGTGCTGTTCATCTGGGTCATGCGTGCCCAAGACATCTTGGGTCGCACAGCGTCTGTGCCGCTGTGACAGTATGAAAACGCTCTATTGTCATCACGCTCCTCCGTTGCTTGCGGCTGCGCACACAATGAACGGATCCCTCTTGGGTTTAGGTCAGTTTGCGGTTGAATTTTGGCAGGGGCCCTCTGACAGACCCCGGAATGCTCGCTGGTTGGTTTGGGGGTGGGCAGTAGCTGCGACGCTCCTTGTGCCTTGGCCCTGGATCCCAAATCCCTCTAAGCTCTAAGCCCTCTAAGCCCTCTAAGTTCTATAAGACCTACTTAAGCCCCATAATCCTCTTAAGCCAAGAGCCCCACACCGAAAACCTCGGAGTTTCATGGCTCAGTTCACGATGGCCGGGTCTGCGTTTTGCATCGCTGCGCTGCTGGGAATTTTGGCAGCAGATTTGGTTCGTAGGGTTTAGGGGGCACCCGAGTGTATCCAAGAAGGCTGCATCTTTTTTGGGCAGGGAAGGGGGGGGGGATGCGAAAATCAGGGTCCATATTCGAGAGATTTCGAGATTTCAAGCGGGCTCCACGACTTTTCGGGGTATAAAGGCCCGAGAGCCCAGTACTCGTACCTCGCATATCGGGATCCTTATTTTGGTTTTAGGTATATTCCTTGATGAGGGGGCACTGGGCACTCTCAAGCCCCAAGAGATCGCAAGGCTATTGGACCTTCGGCAATGAGATCGCTTCGGATGTGCTGAAGGCAGAGAGTGACGTTTTGTCCGTAAGAACCGCCCCCCCAAACATAGGGCTGCAAAACCGCCCTACCATTGGGGAACCCCCCCCCCCCTTCCCCATGTATGTCCCAGGCCTACCCAAAGAGCTATCTCGTGGCGGCCACTCGCCTCCTCTACTCCTTCGTGGCGATCTTCTCCTTCCCGCTGCAGGAGTCTTCCCTGGAGTCGAAAAAAAATCCTCAAAAGCTAATTAGGCCTCATGAGCCCGTGGCATCTCACTGGAAGTGCCTCTCCAGATCCACCCTTCCCGGAACTCGGCCATCGCGCTGATGGACCTAGTGCGGCCCTCGGCCAGTGGAGGCTGGGAGATTTTGGAGGGCTCCCGAATAGGGGGGGTGGCAGCTTAAGAGAAGGGGGAACAGCCCCGAAAGCCCAGTTTTTTTAAAAACAAATCCTTGGGAGGTTCTGCTCGCTGGGCCGCGGTCACCGTCCTGGAGCTCCTGCTGGTTGTCTGGAGTTTCTTGGGGAGGTTTTGTCTCCAAGATTCAGGGCTCTCGGAAACACAGACCTAAACTCCCTAGCCTTCCCAAACTTCCTAAATCCTCAGGAGCTGGCGGCCTCACTGGCGGTTGCCATCACAGTCCTCGACCTTGGGAACATCCTTGGCGTCGTGGGCGCGACAGGGTCGACGATGGTTTCGTGCGCCAGCAACTCTCCAGTTGAGCCCTTAGTGAACCAGGTTCGGCGAGAGTCGGGAGACATCACATTACCCTGTTTCTTTTGTGTGCCGCATCTAGCCACATAGCGACAGAGCGGAACTTGCAGGTGCAACTGCAAAGCCCTTGCACACCCCGATGGAGTCAAACCAGAAAGTCGCTTCCTCGAGTAGTTCACACATTGCTGATATCACTCCCATGAAGGTACATTCTGCCGGGGCTGGTTTACGTCCAGGCCTTGCCGAACTTGCCAGCCTGGAGCTTCACTTCTTTGACAAAGGGGTTTAGGAACGTTTAGGATGCACGCGCACATGCATGCTTTTTCAGCATCACGCTCCCGATGAGATGTATCATATGATGTGTCATGATGCAAAGAGATGTTCTTTCGTATTTAGGGGTCCATATGGAGCAAAGTGCCGTTATCTCTTGCAGGCCTTTCCTCACTTTCACGCCAAGCGGGTGCTTGCGTTTGGCATGCTCCTGCTGGGCCGGGCCGTGATGTTGCTTTCTTCAGAGGGCTTTCGGCTTCGGGTGGTGTTGCAATGAGGTTGTGGGATTAGGTCTAGCCTTCGTAGATGCCTGATGCGCCTTCAGCGACTTCCTTATCGGGGTTTCGAGCCCGCAGAGTCCGAAGGCTTAGCTTGGAAGTGGCCGCCACAAGCATCCTCGGAGGCTGCGTCATCATGCCGACTTGCCTGACCCTGCTCCTCCTCTGAGTCGGCATGTCAAGAATTCGAGTTGGCAGGTTTGTGCGACTACCCTCATGAGACTTTAAATATCGAGAAGCTGAGAGGGGTTCGGGATGGTTCGGGTTTAGCATCGAAGTCACACGACCTACAGCAGCACAACGGCAACGGCACAGAGCTGCCTGCGTGCATCTTTTTGCCGGAGCTCCCGCGAGGTCGGAGTTATGTTTTGCAATTCTTACTGTAGAACGACGAGGGCCATACTGTCAACAACGACACACGATGCTAATCAACCCCGCTGCGCAAAGTTTTCAATCTGTGAGCGTGCAAGTGCCGGATGATTCTGTGGTTGTTTTGCGAAAGAGGAGACAGGTGGATGTGGGCAACTCACTGAGAAAGAGGCGCGAGACTGAGCATGCGTGTCCAGCGTGGGTCATATGAGAGATATGGCGCACTCTGCATCCCAAAATTTTGAAAGCCCAAAATTGAGATCCCCCCTTCATTCCTTTGCCCTTCCTTCCTGCCTTGCTTGCTCTGCAGCTTGGGATCGACACCAGACCGGCAGGAGACCGCTGTCGGTGCTCTGTTTTCGTGAGTCCTTCCACAATTTGCCGTCTTCATTGATGGCGTGCTGCTCGCGGCCACAAGACGGCGAAATCGAAACGGTTCAGGCCGAGACCATTCTTGAGACCTCCAAGATCGATGTGCAGCTCCCTGAAGGATCGGGGTGGAGGGATGGGGGGGGGGAGGGGGATCATTCTACCTTGCATGCATTCCATCCATGCCCTTCGCACGGCGAACTAAGTGACCCAGTCGTGCCTTCAGGCGAAGCCGGTTTCCCTGACTTCAAGGAGCTTTCCAAGCATGTGCGCCTGTGGCTAGCACCATATTCACCGTAGGCAACCTCATGCCGAGAGCGAGCGAGTGAATGCGAGGGTATGCGAGTGTATGCAAATGTGTGTTATAAGGTACAGCATGGAGGCCCAGATGGAGAAGCAGGAGGCAGAGATCGAGAGGCAAGGGGCCGAGATCCAAAAGCAGGCGGACGAGATCAAGGACCTGAAAGAAAGGTGCGAGCACCTTGGCTCGTCAAGGTATGCACGTGGAATCTGACACGGGGCTTTTCGACATTTTCTAAGGACTGCCATGACTCTTGCAAAGGAGGCTACGCCCTTGCTTGAGTGGGGTTGCCTGACGCCCCAACAGAAGCTCATGGTGCAGCTGCTGGTTGTCTTATTCTTTTCGGTCATCGCAGTGCCGCTTCCCCTGTTGATTCCCATCAACGATCCGAACGAGGGTGCGCTCAAGAACATGACATTCTTCTATGGCTACAATATCTTCGTCATCGTCTATTACCTGCCTGGCCACTCGGCATGCACGGTACAAGCCGAAACTGAGACCCTCAATGCTGGGTGTGCTCAAGAATTCTCAAGAAGTTCTGCATGTCAATCAATCTCAGCGCTGTGTTGAGACAACTCAGGTCAATACAGGCGGCTGCAGCTGCTGCTTGAGCTTCCCAGTCAGAAAAGTCTGGGTGGCGAGATGATGCTGAAGAGGTCCGCAACGGAGTCCAGTGCACTGAGCTACCTGCAAAAAGCAACTTATTCAGATTGGGCCGTCAGGGCTGTCTTCTACCTCTTGGTCATCATCGGCTGGTGCACTGGATATTTCCTGTGCGCACTTCCCTGGGGCACGGACTTGGTCTACTCGTACAACATGCTCTACGGAGCTCCTCCAACCTTTGCCATGGTCGACTGGATGTTCCTGGTTGTCGCTGGTCGCAGATTTTGGAACGTCAAGACCCTGGTGCTCGTTTTCGTGTACAACTTCCTTACATTGGCCCCCGTGCTGGTCTTGTGCGGTGTCGTGTTCGCCAGTGCCTTCTTCAACACGCCCGTCACGGAAGTGTGCGCCGCTCTGGTGTCCTGGATCGTAATGGAAGCCGTTGGGTTCGTCTCGGACAAGGCGCCCTCTGAAGAGCCGACGTCGCATGTTGAGAGGTGTTGAAGGTGTCGGCTCTCTCTCGCTCTCTCTCGCTCTCTCTCGCTCGCGCTCTCTCAAGTGTAGGCGCTGAAAATCCTCGTCCCTTGGGCGGGCTATAGCCTTGACCACTACTATCAGGCTGGGAAGCTCAGCCGAATGCTTTCGCTTCGCGTTAGGTTTCATCACTGGTAAACCCTAATCTACTTTGATCTGCTATGTTATCTAGCGTGCACGACTATCATGGCTTATATGCAGCTTGTGGTGTTGTTTTGATTTGTTTTGCACAGTGATTTGCACATATTTGCGTTGCAGGTGGGCAACGCCTTGGTTTTCTCCTCTGTGCTCACCTTCTCCGAGGCACGGGTCGCCGAATCCCCATGCCACATCCAAGCCTCAGAGTTTTTGAGCTCAGATCCTGCGTCTTGCGCTCGCCCCTTTAAAAAGGTCATCCTATTTCCAAGCACCAACTCTTGGTGGGCGCTGGTCGGGGTTGTGCTTGTCGACACGCTCGGCTCGATGCTGCAGCTGCGTGTCCTATGGAAGTGCGTCGTCACAGATGTTCAGAATGGGGTGGGCACCAGCCAAGAAACAAAAGAGGCTCTTTGGTCGCAATGCGAGATTGATGTGGCACGCTTTTGGCCTGTGGTGGTGGCGCTGCCTCCACTCGTTTGGCTGATGGACGACCGCAATCCGAACCGGCAGTACTACTACCTCTTCGAATGCACCACCTCGGAGCACATGAACATCACTGTCGTCTGCATCCTTGTAAAGTTGGCCTGGACGTGTTGCCTGACGGGTCTGGACGTCTTCCTGTGCACTCAATGGGGAATTGGCCCCCAGCGAGCCCAGGCGATGCTGAAGATGTACGACAAGCACTGGGTCATGATGACTGCCACGTTCGCCTTGACCGGTGCCATTTTCACAAGCTGTTGGCTGGTAAAGCACGATGGACTAAGGCTTCTGGAAGTTCTTAGCGAGTGCTGAGAAAGCGTGTTTTAGGTTTCACCGTTTTAACAGATTCTGAGAGGCCACTCGCGGTCTCACTATATTTTTGAAGATGGTGGCAAATGGAGCTTCAAAACTTCACTGTCGCCCCCTCCCGTCTTGGACTCCAGGGGTCCCGGACCGTTTCGGGGGCATTTACAAGGAGTGGGGCATCGGCACCCTCGCATGCTCCGCCAGTGCATGTCCTTGCTTGTTCCAGCAGGCTTCCATTCAGCCTGGGTCACTGCGCAGAAAAGAACTTGCTGCAGGGTGCGGGAGGAGTGCAGCATTGGAGCCCAGGTTTCAGAGCCGACCTTGCGCATAGCCCTCATGCGAGTGCCACCTTGCTGTCATCTGTTTTTCGCGAGCGAAAGCCTAGTGCGCGTCCTTCCCATCTCTACGAAGTCGAGGCACGGCGAGGTTCTGCGAGGTTCTGCGCTACACCATTCTGTAGCAACTGTAGCATAGTTGTGGAGCCAAAGCGAGTCAGCTCGCCAGGCCACTGATGTCATCTGATGTCATTCGCTCATCAGGTCCAACGCAAGACACGATCAAGCTAGGCAGCTAGGCAGCCCTCCCTTCTCCTTGCCTTTTCTTTTCTTCTTTTTATTCTTTTGCTTCCTCCTTTCGTGGGCTGCCAGTTCTGAAGCTGGGGGGGGGTGCGGGGGAGGGGGCAGGCAAAGTTGGGAGTTCGCAGAAGTTACAAAGTCAAGCGTATCACCGCTGCTTTGAGGCTGCATCATCATGCCGACTTGGCTGACGAGTTCGTGCAGCGGGGTCGACTTTTTTGAGTTCGCATCGCCTTGCTAAGTGACCCCGCTGCGTTAAGTTTCAACAGGTGGGCCAGCGGTGATTCCGTGGTTGTTTTGTGCAAGAAGACCGGCATGTGGATTCGACGAAAAGGCATGGAGGCATGTGGGCATGGGTGGTGAGATCGCATCTGCATGTAAACGTCGTAAGCGGTATGCCTTCAGGTTATGCAAGAAGCCCCTCGGAGGAACTCTTAGGCAAAGTGGCACCAAGAGCACCATCGGGCGAACAAACCGTTGAGCGTGCCACGGAGACTCCCGCTACTCGGGAGTGGTCCCATCTGCAGCCACAAGAGACTCAAAACATGCAGCAGAACAAGAACCTTCAAACAACCCCCCTAAACAGATCGAACAGAAACTTTGAGAGATGTTGAAGACTTGAGTATGAGCCCGAGCTCAAACTTTAACAGATCGGGCCAATACCCCGTTGCTTACCTTATCTTACCTTACTCGCGCACTGCGTAGATGGCCGTCCTTGCAATGGCCCTCGCGAGCTAAAGAAGGCTGGAGACTGCAGAGTTTCAGAAAGTTTCAGAAGCCGTTGTTGCGGTCCTCTCGCAAGCAGTCAAATAACATATCAAAGCTCAGGTCTTTTTTGTGCTTTTAAGTGAATCTTCTGAGGCAGAAGATCTGGCTGTGCCTGTTTTTGTCCCCGTGCCAGGGCACAGATGGACTCCCAGCGTCGGCCGGCGCCGCGGCCCAGGCCCGGGCAGGAACGTGGCGGAACGTGGCAGAGAGCCGTTTAAACAGAGCCGTACATTGAGCTGACGTCACTACGTTTTCTTTCCTTGCTCACCAGAACTCCAAGGACAGGCAATGGACTGGTAATGACAAGTCGCCCACGGTGGCGGTCGGGTTGTTTCGCTCCCATTCCAAAAAAGTAAAAAATGACTTGGTCCAGAGTCCAGAGAGGACGAGAGAGGAGCAGTCTTGCCAGGCCGTTGGAAAGCACCACCGTCCTCCTGGAGCCCCCAGGCGGCCGGGGTTGTTTGACATCCGGGATGCAAGATGATGCAACCCCCCCCCCCCCCGCCAGCTTGCAGTGAGCGTTCGGAAAGATGTTCTGAGATGTTTTATATGATGTTCTGAAGCAGGTGTCCCTGGGACACGCACGCCCTCGCCGGGCAACCTCAGCGGCCTTAGTGGCTCGCGCCGGAGCAGCAAGGCCGGGCCCCACCGTGGGCGCTCCTCAACGTGTCCTGACAGTTTCGCAAACATCTTGTCCAGACCTCCGTGGCATCTTCGACTTCGCAGAAGAGCCCTGCGCAGCAGGGTACCGTTGCAAAGCAGAGCTGCCTGTACCTGGGGCTCAATTGGGATGCACTGCGCGGACCTCCCCCCTCCATCCAAGGTTCTGGCCCAAGGCCACCGGAAAGTCTGACCTAAGGCTAGGGGTGTTTAGCGTCTATTTCGGGTTAGGTTTTAGGGTTTACAGGTTAGGGTTTAGGGTTGAGGCATGACAAATGCAACCCAGGTGCGGCACAACGGTGCTGTTTCCGCCCGGTGTGCTCAGTCGAACATGCTGGCTGGGGCCCCAGCGATGGTGGTCGCGAGAACCAAGACTCTTTGTTCAGTGCGTGGGCCATTCGAATTCTCTGAAAGATCTTCTGCACCTGGTTTCAGGACACCCCCCAAAATTGGCCATACTTTTCACCATGGTGCTTAACCCAGATCCTAAGCCCTAAGTCCGACGCCAAAGCCGACCCTTTAACAACCAAAAGGAACTGCGGCCGGCAGCTGGTCGCCGACGGTTTCGGCGCCGGCGCCGAGATGCCCAGTGCGAAGCTGGAAGGCCCTGGGCTGAGAGAGTTGGGTTTGTTTAGAAGCACATGCGTGTTGTATACATATATATATATATACACATACATGTGTATATGTATACTTGTATACATGTATACGTGCCTACACTGCTACTGAAACCCATTCTGCCGACTCTGCCTACGCCGAGTCCGGGTCTCGCCGCAGCTCGCGTCGCAGCCCTTGGTGCCCTCGACGCCTTCTCAGCTCCAGCGGCCACCAGGCAGAGGGGTCTGGGGGGGGCTTAGGAGAGGGGGTTTGGGGTTTGGGGTTGAGGGTTTAGGGGGAGCTGAAGAGAGGACTCGCGCAAAAGAGCCCAGAACCATCCAGTATTCATTGATGCTTCCGTGGGGGAGTTTCACATCTGAATCCACAAGCTCTTAACCGTCGGACTGCAACCACCTGTTAAGCATGGCGAGAACTCGGCCTCTGAAGCGGGGCCGAGGGCTGCATTCTGAGCAGCAAGCTTCTGGTGAGCAAACCGGTGCTTGGGATCACCCCATGTCACATTTGTCCATGCGTGAGCAATTTCACATGTCGCTACGCGTAAAACAGCAAGCGAAGCCGAAAACACAAGCTGCAGAGGTGCCGGGAAGTGTGTCTTGGAGTCTTGGAGAGGTTCTTGCCGGAAAGATTCGGTCTCGGCTGTGACAGTCTTGACAGCTGGGGAAGTTTAAGCACGAAACCCACAAGCGAAGAGCTTTGCAATCAGGACACGAACAGCTCCTAGGACCACTAGGGTTCCTTCTTGTGCAGGCAATGTACTTGCGGCAGGGGTCAATCTTGCGGGCAGTGTGTCCATGTAGAATCTGCGGGAATCCCACATGGGGCCCCCGTCGCCGGGTCACGGAGTGTCTACGTAGTCTCCGGGGATCTTATAGATCACCATCACATACCATCAGGTACCATCCGTCTCATTGTTCGAGATCTCCTTGGTTCGCTCGCAGATTGTGTGCATCCGACATCCTGGCGAGGCTTGCCGCCCACAATGCCGGAGCTACCACCGCAGGGGCCCCCAAGTCAGAGTCGTACGGTGTCGGGCATTCTAGGCACTTCGGTACAGTTGGAGAAGCCCTAAGCTTCCCCCTTTCCCCACTGAGGACGAAGACCTACAGCAACCAGGCCAGGCTACCGACTCCTTTTTGCAAGCTTTTGGCAAAGCAGCCCGCAGCCTTGACTCTCCAAACCATCTCAAACCCGACTGAGGCCATTTAACCCTTGCTGACTCTCTACTGTAGGAGGTGAAGTTTGCGGGTCTGCGGGGAGCTGCTTGGAAGCCTGAAACGCTTGCCTTCCCGCAGGCCGAAGCCGCCTCCCAAGGCGGTGGCTTCGCCTTTGGGGCGCTCTTCTTCGCCTGGGGGCCTGGAAAAGAGGGGTTTAGGGCTTGGGGTTTTGGGTCTAGGGTTTAGGGCTAAGGAGGTTCAAGGCGTGGCTTAACGGGTTTTAACGGGTGCTAGACTCTACACGGGGCTTGAAAAGACAGGGCTTTACAATTTTTAAAGGATTTAGAGGGTTTGGGGTCGAAAGGGTGTTGAGGCTTAGGGTTTGGGGTTCGAAGGGGTTTCAGGGCTAGGACTCAGGACTTAGGATTGTAAGTTTGCTTACTTCAGGAGTTGCAGAACTCTGGCTTGGAAAGTTGTTGGACGTTCAGGGCCGGTAGTGAGAATTTGCGCTTGACGAGCACATGGGAGAATCCGAAGCCCTCCGAAGCCCTTGAGGTGGTGGGCTTGCTGCTGGCCTCCTTGCTGGCCAATGCAGCCATGTACCAAAACTGGTTCGGCACAGGCGGCAAAAACCCTAAAGTGAAAGAAGCGCTAGGTGCGGCTTAGACTCTACTGGCTCTAGCAGCGCTGTATATGAGTCCTCTTCGCAGCCCGCCTGCTGTACCCTAAGCGCCCCAAGCTTCTTTGCCACTCTCCTCCTCACTCCACAGTTAAGCCCTACTTAAGCCGCCCTCTACCCCCTTACCGAAGCCCAAGTTATATCCCTTATAATCCTCAACAAATCCCTTACGACCTTTATCAACCCCTGATGTCCCTCAATAGCCCTTAGATCCTCCCCACGGAGAGGCGGCGTCCAGGCGCCCAGCGCCGAGCACACGGCTCCGATTCCGCAGCTTGGCCCCCGAGGGTATTTAGGGATCCCCTCCCCTGCCTTGGGTCAAAAGGGAAGTTGGGGGTTTAGGGGTTTAGCGGGTTCGGAGGTTTTTTAGGGTGTTTAGGGGATTTTACGGGTTTAGGGTGGGTCCTGGTCAGTCAGGCGTTAGGGTTTCCGGGCTTTGACTCCAATATGGTTTCGGGAATGAGGGAATCAACTAGGGCTTAGAGTTTTGACAAAGTGGCGGAATCTTCGTCAAGTGGGTTTTTTCGTGTAGAGGGTACCATGTGCAGGACACAATTCGGGTCCCGTTTGTTTAGGGCTCTCCGACAAAAACGGAAGATTTGAAAACCCTCAGAGTTCTTGCAAGGAGTTCTTGCAAGGCGCGATATTGCAGTGCCTTGCAGCATAGTGTATAGTCATCCCCGTCGTCAGCCATGATGTGCATGTCAGGCACATTGTGCCCACCCCCCCTCCCAGCTACGCAGGTTCGATCGGAGCCACTTGGACGACACCCGTGGCGTGGACACTGATGGCGGGGACTCTCTCTCGCCTCACAGACTCACAGATGTCAGTTCAATGCCAGAATGCCATGGGAGGTCAAATCAAGTGAGGTGTGCTGAGGTGTGCTGAGGTGTGCTGAGGTGTGCTGAGGTGTGCTGAGGTGTGCTGAGGTGTGCTGAGGTGTGCTGAGGTGTGCTGAGGTGTGCTGAGGTGTGCTGCATGTCTGGTTTCACGGTTTCACTACTATGCACTGCTATGGGGTCTGTCGCCAGGGGATGGGGTCCCAGACCATCATGACTTCTGCCCGGGCAAGAAGAAGGCAGGGTCCGGAAGAGCAGCGCGCTCTTTCTTTTGCCTTGTGAGTGGGTTGTGACATCATGACTTTCAAAGACACACTCACAAGAGAGTTTGGGGGACTCAGGAGGGCGGCCAGTCACGCAGAGGGCTCGGCTTTTCCTTTGGCTTTTGGTGTGAAACGCATCCTTCTCAAAAGCTCTGCAGCCACCAGGGCCTTCACCTTCGGAAAGTCTGAAGCCCTGTAGACTTCCTAAGGCTGAGCTCCGTCTCCAACACCCAAAAAAACCCTGGCCCTGCACTTCCTCAACTGCCCCCAAAAGACTTTGGAGCCCTAGGCTGGATCTCCGGTCGGGCCTCCGACTTTGATGGGGATGGATGCGAGGCCCACTTGTGCTCCTGAAAAGGGCTTTCTGGGCGGCCCCGTGGCGCGGAGCTACGGAGTGTGAAAGGGAGCTTTGCGCAGCTCTGAAACTTGAGGACGGGGTCGAGGACCAGGACCGGGACAACGACGGAATCGAGGACAAGATGGACAGGCCCCCTACAAAAGGATGCTCTCCGCTTTATCCCTGAAAGAGTGGGTGTTCTGCTGGGCAGATGCTCGAAGAGAACCACTGAGGGGCACAGGAGGGCCCCCTCTTCTCGTATGTGAGAGTGCCAGGTGTCCTTTCTCCCCTCAGCAGTACAACTTCGTGCCAGGCTCTTGGATGTTTGGCGGTACGGACAGAACTCGTGTGACTTATCAGCTAACGACTAACGAGTCTAACAGAATCTCGAATGATTTCGTGTGCGCGATTCGGCTGGTAGAGCACGTTTCGAGCACGTTTCTGACCAGTCCATGGCCTCTCGCATTTGTGGTTTTGATTCCTAGGAGCCCTTTGTGAGTGGCTACAACTAATTCTTAAGGTCAAACTCTCTCAATGACTTTGACGGCGACGGCTGCAAAGATGGTGTTGAGGACACACAGCTGCGGCATATTTGGCGTAAATAAAACTATCATCCTGAGCATTGTCGTCATGACCATGGGGCCATTTTCCATAATTCCATCCTTGTCTCGAATCGAAGGGTTTCGAGGGGCCTTCATCAGGGATCCCCTTACATGACGCCCAGGCCATGGAGTGCATGTTATGGGGCCGAACTGGAATAGAAAGCAATGAATTCACATGGGCCGTCCCACATGGTCGTTACAAACGCAGTATGGGTGTCATGCCACATGCCCTCGCCAGTCTGCATGCTGAAGCTTGATTCCTTCCGCGCAGTTCGGTAGTCGGCGTTAGGCCATTGCCGCCGCCAGGATCAAGATGACGACGGCGACGGCGTTGCCAATGACGAGGACGAATGCAAGAGGCGAGCTGCATGAGCCTCCCATGACCATGATCATCTGACACCTCACTCAGCACTGCTGTCGTTCAGCCAGTCCCAAGAGTCACATGACACCTTTTCGGTCAAGGGCTCTTTGGGTGATGTTAGCGAAGGTTCAGCAACATGTCTCCAGCATTGAACAACACCCCCCGTTTGGTTTAGCTGTGCAGAACCCGGCCGGGCGAGTCCTCGGACCGCGGGGGCTGCTCGCGGGCGCAGCGTGCGCCGCACGCCTCAAAAGGGGTCAGTCTTCGGCCACAGGATTCGACCATGACCTTTCTAGATGTTCCTCTCTGAAATTGGAAGGAAGGGAATTGACTGGTTCTTGATTCCGCGATTCGGAGAGGCTTCTCCGAAACCCAAGCTTCAGCTAAGGCGGCATGAAGACACCCAGAATTCCCAGAATGCTGACAGAGACAAGGTGGGGAGCAGAACGAAACAATTGCGATGGCTTGTAAAACGGCCCCATCGAGCGTTTCGCATCTGTTGCCTTTTCTGTGCCTTTCTGTGCGCCTCTTGCGGCGCACAGGCGCAAGATGCGCCGCAGTCCGTCATCTCGGAGCTCCTGGGCACACACGGGCGGTTTTGGTTGAAAATGTAGTTTTTTTCCCTCCAAGTGTATGGTTGTCGTTGAACATCTAGGTATTTTTCTCAAAGGCAATAGTTTCGGGTTGAAAATGCAGTCTGTTTTGCTCAAAGTGTATGGTTTTTTGGCAACATTTTCAAACAACAACTATACAGTTTTAGACAAGCACTTACATTTCTCAATCTAAAACCTTACATTTCGAGAAAGTTTCAGAAAACACATGCAGCTCAAGCAAAAACGTGCCTTCTCAGTGTCAGTTTTCGCCCGGGGGATTTGGAGGCTTTGCATGTCGGTGATTGTTGGTGTCCCTACAGCCCTGCAGTGTGCCCCACGACCTGATTCCCAAAACACCCTCTAAGCAGGCCCTTTTGTTGAGCTCCTCAGACATCCTACACTGAAATCTTCAACGCCAAGGTGGGTGGACAAAATCAGGACGTCAGCTCGGAGGGCTCGGTCCGCGTCCGACAGCTTAACGCCTCAAGCCCCCTTATCTTAAGAACTCCAAGTTCCACATTATTCTACTTCTCTTGAGGTAACCAAAACAGAACGTGGATTGCCCCCCGTTCCCCTCCTGAGCCCCTTCTGAGTGCCCCCCCTTCCTTTGCGCTGAGCTGACAGGAGCGCCTGGATCGAGGCGAGGGCTCTGCACGGACGGGGGGGCTGGGGGGAGGGGCCTCTAGGGCGGGTGGACCTTTCCCACTGAAGATATGTTAAGATGCTATCAGCGATCATCCTCACGTAGCACCCCGCGGCCGCGGCAGAGCAACGCAGTAGCGCAATGCAGTAGAGCCATGCAGTGAGCAATGCAGTGCATCCTCCGGAACCTCGTGGAAGGTGAATCGCTTCAACTTTAGAGCAAGGGCATCCCTCCACCCACAGGCGTTTTCGTTCAAGAGATGAGTAGGTGCTCCTGGGCGTGATCATCACGCCCATCCTCACCAGCGCCAAGGACAACAGGGCTGTCAGGTGCTGGGTCTAAGAGACAGAGCAAGACGTGTGGAGCAAGTTCTGCGAGCTGAAGGAGCTGCTCGAGTGGCTCCGAGAGCCTCGGCCCCAGCATATATGAGCATGAGCTCCAGAACCCAGAGCACCTCCCAGCATTGCTTTTCTGAGATTTTCTGCCTAGAAATGAACCGCGAACAGCTGATCAGGCAGCGCGGCCACCCATACCTCCTTCCACACGCACAGTGCGATTTGTGTGATGACGAACCTCCCTGGGCCTGCGTGAGAAATGCCTCGCTGAAGATTCGGCCGCTGTGGCTTCTAAGGTCCTTGCTTCCGCCCAGGCCTCCCACACCTTCGAAGCCGGGCTCGGAGGACGGGTTCTCGGAGGACGGGTTTGTAGGGCTTTTTGCTCTCTCTTTTTTTGTGGGGGGGGGGGGGGGGGGGAGGTGGGGCGGGCCGGGATGGGAGGATTCCCAAACCCCTCTTCACCACCGCATGCACGTAAAGTTGAGAGCTACGCGAGGTCTCCGGCCAAGCACAGGCGACAAGGCCTGGCTGTGTGGGCAGTTGAAGCTATGAAGGAGATAAGTCTGCCATATTGTAGGCTGAGTCTGTTCTGGGCGTTTTTGAACCTCTGGTCACTCTGGTCTGTTGTGTTTCGTGGTTCGTGCCCTTTTCATCCTTGCATCCCGGGAGCCTGCTGTGGCACGTCAAGGTCGCTGTTGCTCCGCGGCGTCCTGTATGCCCTTTTCTTCTGTACCGCCGGGCGCACAGTGCAACACCTGGAATCCCAGAATCATCCTCTGCATGAAACCTTCCAAGTCGCATTTAGGCATCTGCGTCAAGTCGCTCCGCAGTATACTGCTTAGTTTAACGCGCCTGACGACGCGGACTGGTCTCCGTTGTTGCGTGTGCTCAAGACAGATGTAATAAATTCAATAAATCATGCTGCGACCCCTTGCGGCCGTTTGCTGTTGCACCAAGCATGGGGGCAGTCATCAGTATCGGAGGACTAACGATCTGTCCTCAGGGCCCTATGCCTTGAACTGGCGTTTGACCCGATATTGTCATACAGGTATAGTATACATACATCTCTTTATGTACATATATTCATGCTAGATATATACAGCAATAAATATGCATACGCGCACAAACAGATCAACATATATGACAGCATACGATGATGAGATCGCCTGTTACTCTCTATATGTATTTCTATATATATATATATATATATTTATATTTATATGTATGTACGCACTTGTTTTTTCAAAAACCCTCGAGCGTGTCCTCGAGCCCAGCAGGTCTACGCCTGGAGACAGTTCCGAAGTGGGAACCTCTCGTTGGGCGTCGCGGGCTGACGTCATGCAGGCCCTGGGGCATCAAGACAGTCGGCCTGTCCTGTACGTGGGATTGTTTTTCGTTTGTTTGAGGTGCTCTTTCTTTTGAAGACCTATTTGGGGACCTGGGGCGATGTTGCAGGATGGAGCAGGTTCGTAGAGGCACCGTCCTGAGCAGTCACCAAATTTTGCCGGTGCCAACCTGCATCTCAGGTTGCGGCATCTCGGCTCTCAATGCCCAACTCTTGTGCACTCAAGATCACTCAAGGCTCCAAAGCCTCAAAATACCCTCGTGCGGGCTGTGGCCCCAGAGCGCAGGCCTTTGCTGAGAGGGGCTGACCCGGGGATCCTGGAGTGCTGATGGCCACAAGGCCGCCGAGACCCTGCGCTGCTGCCTCAAATTGCGGGGGCACACTGTAAGATCTGTAAGTCATGTCTTCCCTTTTTTATCCCTTTAGGCAACTGTGCATGATTGAACGAGTTCTTGGACACAAGCGGTCGCATCTTGCAGCACAGGCTCGGGCATTGATTCCTCAAGCCCCCTCCGCATGTTTTCACCCTGTCGGCGTTAGTCGATCCTGACGCCTTTGCGCCAAGTGCGCCAAGTGCACGCTTTTCTTATTGCGCACGTCGGTGATATGCTTCTCCGTGCCTTCCTCTTTCTAGGGGGTCCTCCTTCTTGGAGGCCCCCCTTCCGGAAGGTTCCCCCCCTTCGAAGAGGATGTTTGAGGTGCTTAGTGTCCTTTCGAGTGCGGGGTTTGTGCTTCTCCGGAATGTGTGCAGAAACTTTGCTGTCGTCCGTCGTGCGGCTGCTTAGCTATGTTCATCTAGCCGACCATGAGTGTCGCTGGAGGCATAGGAGTTTCTCGAGATCGAGACCCAAAGACAAATAGGGTTGAGCTGAGGGGTGCCAAGTGAGCATCTTCTTAGTAGCAAGTCATGGACATCAGTAGATTAGAGTAGGTCCGGGTGTCGACATCAATCCGGCACAGAGGTCGCTGCCTGGCGACGTTTAAAGGCGGCAATGAAAGGAAGCGGCAGCACATGCGGAGCTACGGAGGTCCCTTTGCAAGTAACATGAGTAACATGAGTAACATGTAGCAGTCTCTGAGGGATCTGATGGACTTTCTTTGCCTTTTTTGAGTGACATCTGAAAGCAGTCATCGAGTCATCGAAGCACTCCCAAAGCTCTCGCACAAATGATGCCTAGGCCTAGTTCATGAAAATGGGCTCTATTCCCAGGGTCCTGAGTACAGGGAAAAGAGCGGCAAGCAGTCTGCAGACCCATTGGGAACGCCTTTCGGAAGTGTCTCTGAGTCAGCCATGGAGTCAGATGAGGACTTTCGTGGAGAGGCCAGCTCCCGTGCGTGGCAAACCCCTAACGACCTAAAGACACCATCACACGCAGCACAACGGCCCGAAATTCTCCACACCCTTCAGCCCCGCAGCTGCCCCCAAGATTGACGGGATTGAGGGAAGTGCCCTCCGGTGGCTGCTCGCAACGCCTTCCCATTTCCCTAAACCCTGAACCCTGACCTGTCCGGTAGAGGCGGAGCAGCTTTTGGGCCTCTTCCGCGAGGCGGGTGTCCATTTTTTTGTGTACTTTTTAGCGCTCTTTCTCTGGATTCTCTCTTTCTCTGAATTCTCTCTCTCTCTCTCTCTCTTTCTCTCTGTCCCTCTTTCTCTCTTTCTCTCTTCTCTCTCTTCTCTCTCTCTCTCTCTCTCTCTCTCTCGCTCTCAGTCCCTCTCTCCCTCTCTCCTCGAAGCACTCGCTGGCTGCAGTGTTGCTATCTGCCTGAAAGCTGTGGGAATCAACGGTCGCGCAAGGAGTGGTCCGTTGCTGGACCCAAAGCCCCAAAGCCCCAAAGCCCGAAATGTCCCCAAATCCTCAGACTGCAGCGGCTCCATGAGGTGTTGGCACAGGAGCTGGTATCGGTGAAGGCCCGGTCTAGCAGAGTCTAGCAGGCTGCTGAATCATGGACATGTTTTGTCATTGGGGATCAACTGCCCTTGAGACATTTTCGCTGGTGCCGCGCAGCCAAGAGTTTGGCAGGAACCTGCAGTCATGGCCAGCACTTTCTTATATCAAAACCAAGTCTGTTTTCACTTGCAGGGTGGGGGACTGTTGGACGGTTTGTGTTTTAAGAACAGTAGGGCATCTGTCGCCACTGCCATGGGCATTGGGCCTGCGAAGATCGAGAGTCATGAGGAGCTCGGGAGGTCAAACCCTTCGTAAACACAGACTCATCCTGACCCGAGGCAGGCTTTACAGTGGCCAGATGGTTGAACAACCTACGACTGCTACGACTAGCCCCGAAATCTTCCGAACACAAAAAGGACCTTGAAGAGGGAAGACGCGTGGTGGTCCTGGTGTTCCTTGGCCAGTCAACTCAAAGGGATTCCCGACATGTTCGGAAACCACCAAGGTGCCCACCAGCAAAGAGTGAGAGGGTGGCCAAGCGGTCGTTTTTTTTTTGATGGGGGGGGGGGGGGGGCCTTCTGAGCAATGCGTGGAGCATCGTGGAGCCTGAGTCCTTTGAAACGGCTCGTACATCCCACCACCCAATCCCTGACACAGTCTCAACAGCTAGCCGAACTGTGCCTGGCCTAACTGAATCTGTACCTTAGGAGGATCTAGGCCAAACTCTTCCTACACCATCCTAAGCCTCAGCCTTTATCCCGTTAAATCTTGAAGCCCTGAACCCTGTCGAAGTCTCAGGCACGGTTTGGCTTCCTGCGCGCTCCAAGCGTGCACGGAAGGGGGCGAAACCAGCAGCTTTGGCCAAATCCCAGGTTGCAGAAGGGACTCCTTTTGCAGGATGTAAAGCTGGGCATCCAGAGGCCAGGTTCTTGCGTTCTTGCCGCAAAAAACCTCGTGAAAAGCCGGTTGGTCTCTTCTGTGTCACTTGTGTGTTTCTCGTCTTGTCAGCCAGATGGAGGACGTTTCTTGGGAGACATTGCGCTGAAAGCCTGCGTAACATGATATGATATGATATGCCTACAGGCCTTGAAGACTATACCGGTCCCAACGCTGTGTTGAAAGCAAGGCTTCCTATGCGATCACTGCGACAGTGAGGAAGCTGGGCAGCACAAAAACTCCCATTTGGGTTGAGGATCTGAAATGCAGGCGCTTTGTTGGTACCTAAGCTGCCAGAAATAGATGGCATGGGATGCCACCGAGAGCCAAGAAGGGTCCAGCTGGCAGCTTGGCTTAAGATCTGTGGTAGATGGGCCGAAACTCATGAGATGGAGGGTTGTGGAAGTCCTGGTCGCAGCCGCTGCGGCCCTGCTGCTTAGTCTGAAGGGCTGTGCCGAGGAGATTGAGAGAGGGGACACCTTCTGGCACGACGGCGTGTTGTGGTGCATTTGCCCAGCAAGTTCGCCACGTGATTGTACGATGAGCTGCTCGGGTGCTCCATCCCGGGGGTGGGCCCCATGGTGTTGCCCAAATGATCCAAATGCGACAATCACAACCAACACGACTGCCACGACCACAACCTCCACCTGGGCCACGGTGGTACCCTGATGTAGATGTCATCTGGCAGGACGCGCCGGGCGTGTGACGCGATCTCACCTTGTCTCACTGCATTCGACAGGATTAAGCAGCATTCACTAGGTACCTGGGTAGCCCTGGAACAAGACATCGTCACAGTCGCAGGGCGAAGAACACCTTCGCTGCGACTTCCAGAGGAGCCGTGGAAGAGTGTGACAAAAAAGGTCGTGTTCGGCCCATGAAGTCCCACTAAGCGCATCAACAAGCTCTTCTTGATTCTTCTTTAGCCACCCTTACCGTCCCCCTCATCTCCGAAATCTCTGCCTTTACTGAGGTTGAGCACCCGCGGATCGTGCTGCTTCGGCCGCCCTAAGAAGACTTTCGACTTTGCGATATTCTGTGGTTCCCAAGTTGAACCTGCTTTGATAAACCGGCAAGAGCGGCTCAGAGTCTGTGGGCCTCAAGCCTCTAAATGAGAGCCTAGCAGCGCGACACTAGTTTTGCGGCTGTTGGGGTCTGCGAGAAGCTAAAGCTCGCAAGCCTCCCAAAGAGCCAGCTGCTCAGCTCCTCCCCCCTCATTAAGTAGCAGACTCGAATAGATCTTGAGGCCTCAAACTGTGATGTGGATCTTCATGAAATAGAGAGTAGATTCGGGTAGATGAATCAACGGGTACCAGGGGGCTCTTCTGGGATCCCAGGTTTGTTAGCATCGCGGAGCTCCTGAAGAGACCCCACATCATGTGCCTCGGATGGTTCTGGAATCACTTGAAACCGGGCTTAAGGGGAAAGGGAAGGTGCCTTAGGCCCCCACGACTCCTTGCCTCTGCCTTCAACTTGAGCCAAGGTCGGTCTGTTTCTTTTGTTTTTTTTCTCTTCCTCCGTCTTCAGGGACCTTTTTTACGACCTCAATCCCTAGACTCCCAAGCTCCTAAGCCCCCCCCACCCTGAGAGGAAGTGCCTGGGCTTGAAGCTGGAGGAAGCGACGAGCCGGGATGGATTGGAGACCGCACTTGGGATCTGCAAGGTCTCCTTTCCCTTTTTGTAAAATAGCCCTATAAACCCTCAACAGCGTAAACGCTTCAACCCGCAAACAAGACAGAAAGCCCCACAAGCATCCCAAACCTAAAAAGCTAGACAATACCGATGCCCAGGTCTCGACCAGCTGTGGGCGCCTTGGCCGGGAGAAGAGATTGGAGCCGGGGGGGAGGGGGGGTGCCGGGGCTCTCTCGCGCTTTTTGCTTGCCTGCAATGCCCCGTGCTTTGGAGTGTGTGCTGCCGCTAGGCCGCTAGGCCGCCGCTAGGCCGCTAGGCCGCTAGGCCTCAGTTGTTACGAAGCCCCCTCCCTTCAAACGCTAAACTGCCTAAGCCCTAAGGTACACCAACGTGGACGTCGGCCCGGTGCTGGGCCTGGATGGCATTCGGACGCTGAATCCGGGGCCCGAGTCTTCCGTCACGCCGGTGTGCCCTGGTGTGCTGTTGGGCTTCTCAGGAGCTCCTAGAATCCACGAACGGGCTTCAGGTTTGGCCGGAAATGGTAGGAACCTGGACCTTCAGTTTGGTCGACAAAGCGGTGCCCCAGACTTGCTTTCCTGCGACTGCGCAAGCGCAACTTCTTTGGTGAAGGCCTGCGCACGAGCCTCCTCATGAGGTACCTTTGGCACACCCTTATCGAGCATTTGTCTCCGAATTACAACTGCATGGCCTTCAACTACGACTGGCGGAGGCCAGGGTCGGTGTAGCTCCCTCAAGGCTACAGGCCCTAAACCAGAGGTCTTCCTCAGGTTTAGAGTTCACTGGGCTTATGGATGACCCTTGGGTTGCGGTAGCCTGCCTGTACCTTCAACACCTCTGTGCAAAATCCATCAGCTGCATGGAAGTATCACAATAGAACAAATAAATGCAGATAAAACACAGAAGTTTGCAACACATCAATATGCGCTTGTACTTATCCAAAAATTGCGTAAGAAAACATACATGATACATACATGGTACCCCCAAAAACCCCACGTTTAGGCTTAGGACCTTGGAACCTTTTAGAACACCATAGGTTTTAGGGTTCTAACCCTAAAGGGTTTAGGGTTTAGGTTGAAATGCCTAAACCTTAAACTATGGGCTTAGGCTTAAATGCATTAATCTTGAACCATCAACCTTTAAACCTTAACCCAAGAGGGTTTAAAGGTTAAGGCTTAGGTTGAATTTCCGGCTTAAGTTTCACTGCCTAAACCTTAAACCTGCAGGGTTTAAAAGTTCAGGGTTTGTGTTTAATCTTCGTCTTAGGTTTAGATCCTTACATCTTAAACCCTAAGTCTTTAAGCCTTTACCCTACAGGGCTTAAAGGTCAAGGGTTTAGGTTTAATTTGAAGGTGTCGGGTTTTAAGGCTAAACCCGAAATCCTATAGGCTTTCAGGATTCAGAATCCTTAGACAGTACACCTGTAAACAAAACTTTCTACTTTCAGGGCCTATAGGTTGAAGACCTCGGAACCTTTTAGTACACTATAGGGTTTAGGGTTCTAACCTTACAGGGTTTAGGGTTTAGGTTGAAATGCTTAATCCTTAAACCCTGAAGGTTTAAACTCTATGGACTTAGGCTGAAATGCATTAATCTTGAACCATAAACCTTGAAACCTTAACCCTGTAGGGTTGAAAGGTTAAGGCTTAGTTTCAAGCTTGATTCGTGCCCAAGAGATTCATTCCAAGAGGACGACACGACTAGCTAGCACTGCCAAAGGCATAGTAATGAATGCCCTAACCTTAAACCCTTAAGGTTTAAACTCTATGGGCTTGGGTTTAAATACCTTAATCTTGAACCATTAACCTTTCAACCTTAGCCCTATAGGGTTTAAAGGTTAAGGCTTAGTTTCAAGCTTGATTAGCGCCCAAGAGGTTCATCATGTTGAATCCTCCAAGAGGACGACACGGATATATAGAACTGCCCAAGGCATGGTAATGAAGATGCTCTACTGGCAGGAGACACATTTGTCTTCCAACGGCGTCATAGCCTTGAAGAGGCACCATGTTGAAGCCTGTCATATGAAACATCGATGCTCGCTGATTTGCTTCTTAGACGTGGGGTTTGGGAGGGGGGGGGGGGGGGGAGGTAGCATATATATATATACACACACACATAGACTTATACATAAAAAAACACACATATATATATACACATATAGAAATATATATATATATATATATATAACAACGAAACAAAACAATGCAAAAATCAATGGTAGCCCCCCCAAAGATCCATACTTTTGCGCTTCGTTTTACGTCTTTGTTAAGTTTTCTCTTCTGTTGTATGTTTTCCTTTTTGTTTTTTGTTAAATCTATGTGTGCTAAATCTATGTGTTTCTATTGTTATTTTTTTGAAATATTGAATTTCAATAAGGGTCAGCATTCTTGAAACCCTTATTGAAATATTGAATTTCAATAAGGGTGGTATTAATGACCACCCTTAATTCAATAAGGGCGGAACTAAGAACTAAGAACTAAGATTGCCAGGGACTCCTGATCCGAGTTCTTAGTTCCTGGTACCGCCCTTATTGAAATTCAATATTTCAATAAGGGCTTCAAGAAGAGGTAACCTGGAACTAAGAATCCAGACCCAGAGTCTCTGAGAATCTTAGTTCTTGGTTCTTAGTTCCACCCTTATTGAAGTTCAAAGACTCAATAAGGGCTTCAAAAATGCCGACCCTTATTGAAAGTCAATATTTCAATAGGGGTTTCAATAAGAGGTAACCCAGGAACTAAGCATCCAGACCCAGAGTGTCTGTAGTTCTTAGTTCTTAGTTCTTAGTTCTTAGTTCTTAGTTCTTAGTTCTTAGTTCTTAGTTCTTAGTTCTTAGTTCTTAGTTCTTAGTTCCACCCTTATTGAAATTTGATATTTCAATAAGGGTTTCAATACGAGGTAGCCTTCAATCTTTGAACCAAGACAGCAAAAAGGATTGCCCCTCGCTCCCCCTCGCTCCCCCTCCTCTCTGCTCCGCTCCGCTGCGCTCTCTGGTTGTCTTGTAAGGGCTTGTTCAAGGCTTATCTTTAAAACCTTATCGGTTAAGGGATTAGGGTTCGAAAGAGAAGGCCCGGAACTCTATAGGGTTTAAGGCTATAATCCCTAAGCCTTTTTGCCTATAGGGTTGAGGCTCAGACCTTAAACCCTAAACCTTTTAATCATACATAGGGTTTCAAGGTTAAGCTATTCGACTTATGTCCTTAACCATAACCCCTTAAACCTGAAGGTTTAAAGGTTTAGGGTTTAAGGTTTAGGCATTTAAAACTAAGCCGGCAAGTAAACCTACACCCTTAACCTTAAAGCCCTGGGGTTAAGGGGGTTAAGGTTGAGAGGCTAAGGGTTTCAGATTAAGCAGTCAAACCTAAGGCCATAGAGTTTAAACCCGAAGTGTTTAAGGCTTGGGCATTTACACGTTGACCCTAAACCCTGTAGGTTCAGAACCCGAAAACCCTGTAGGGCTCTAAAAGGTTCAAGGGTGTTAAGCCGATATTCAAGCATTGCCTATCTAAACCTTAAATCCCATAGGGTTATGCCTATGTTTGTAGGGCTTGCCTCCTGTGGAAATGCAGAGAGAACACAGTACAAGTACTCAGAGCATGTATGTATATAGGGTAAATGTATTGTAAATCCGATGGCACGTCTCGAATCATGAGACTAGGAAGTATTCGAGCGCATAGGGTGATGCAAAAAGTCATTTATAGTAAGTGTGGGGGACGTGAAAAATGCTGTGAGCAAATATCCTATCCCGCTCACCACACTTCATGTTTCCCACAGTCCAAAGCAACTAGGTATCAAGTCCGTACTATTTGAGTTTCACATTTAAAGGTCATGGCCGGGCTTCGTTCGTGAGTCAATCGAATTTTCACAAGTACATGAACTGGCCATATCCCAAGACATTTTTTGTATGGGAATTACATCTGTTTAACCGTATGTTAAAGACCACGCCGTATCAATTCCTCCTCTGTCCCCTATTCGTAAAGAATTTTTTTTGGAATCTTAAATTCTAAGGCCACACCCTGAGAAATCCTCATCCGAGCTTCGTTTGTAATTCAACTTAATGGATTAGAACTTTATCAGAGGCCACACCTCGAAGACATTACGCTCACGCACTGCTCTCCTGCTGCTAGATGGGCCTAAACCCGAACCCCTAAACCCTAGACCCTCAACCCTAGACCCCAAACCCTATTCTTGTTATTACTCATACAGAAGACATAAAAACCTGGATCTTTTTTTTTTTTTTTTTGGGCGGGGGGGTAGCTATATAGCAAATAAATATAAGCATAAATGAATAAATAAATAGCGAAATAAATAAATGCATATATACATAAATAGATCAATCTATATATAAATATGTAGGTGTGTATGCATATGTATATGTATATGTACATATACGTATGCTAAAAAGATGTATGGAAACACAAGGAACATGTTCGCATTTACAAATGTAACTGTGCGAATATATGAACTGTAGATATTGAACTGTCTAGATATACAGACGCACATACAAAGAAAGTTATATGTAAATGTGAAGAAAAAAACATATTCATATTTTTCATATAAATTACACATTTGCAAGTCTTTTTATGCATAAACATGCAATTTAATGTCGCAAAACCATAAGCTGTAGAATCGTATTCAAGAATGGAATGTGTGGCAAGAAACGAAATCTATGAGCATGAGCCCCCCCCCCCCCCCCCCTCTCCGCACTACCCCTGCCCCCATGGAACTTTTCAATCACCTGCCTTCCTAAAATAGGTATCTCCGAGATTTCACAACAAACCCACAACCCAAAACAGTCGCATCCAAGCCTGTATCGCACAAAACCCGAAATGCAACAGCAAAGTATCTACAATCCCCTTCCGTCTTGCAATCGGCATCTCACGAACTATGAATCACCAACAGCCCAAAGTATCTACAATCCTCTTCCTTCTACAGTGTATGCTCGCCCAGAGCCCTTGCAAGCACGCAACATCTTGCTTGTTGTTTGTTGTATTCGCTTTACAAGTTCACCGTCTCGAGCGCCGAAGTTCGTTTGGTGCATCGGTTGTCCCAGTAAGTGTCCTTCATTCCTTCTCCATATGGTTGGTAACTAAACACTGTAAAGGTTTCACACCTCAGTGATATAGTTCATCTCCGTCATTTTAGTCAAATGAAGGAAGTTATTTACATGTTTCACTTGGGGGAACCATCAGTGTTGGTATTATGGAGAAGTATGGGTTCATGAGTCTGAGTCTTGTATTTGCTTTCCACACCAGACATGTGTATAATCATTGACATCATAGCCTCACTCAGAATATTGCTTTCCGCCACTTTACTAGCTTCACCACTACGCGCGTTGAGGCTAACCTATTCAGGGGTTGATTGTGCAGATACATGTCTTACATGTCACCCCCCCCCCCCCAAGCACGTCAGCAATGAGAACAATTTGATTGACCTAGCTGGACGTAATATTGAAAATTGCGCCAAATGAGTTTCAGTGCTCAAAGTGGAAAGCTAGCATCGCCATCTGCACTCTAAATGTTACGAAAACACACTAAACGGCAGTTCAATACTGTAACTCATGTACATACTGCATAACTGACCCCCGGTTTTGTTAATCAATAGCAAAGTTGTTTTCTTCGGCGAGGTAATCATACTTAGCCAATAATTGAATTTTGGACTATTTGGGTTTTTATGTTTTGTAGGAATAGTAAAGTGCAGCCTTTGTACTTATTGATCATAGAAGAAGTAAGTAAACTACTGGAATTACTAAATGTATTGTAAGAGCATGCTTCTATACGTAATATTGCAGATTTTCTTGATCTACAGCATGTTCAAGTTCAAGGCGAGTTGTTGTCACAATTCAAGTAGTGAAACAACTAGCCCTGATAATGCTGTTTGCGTGGAATCTCGTGTTGACTCCTCCATTGGGAAGAATAGAGCATGAGATTAATACTTCTAGTCCAACTGGCAAAATCCCAGTAATGCTTTGAAATTCATATGAGCACAAGGCCGGCTATGTAAGATCATGATTGAATAGGCTCTACTGCGGATTTGAACGACCTATGTTTAGGTTACAGGCCAGCTGCTATCATAGCTCACTTAAGAACCAATTAGAACCTGATGATCGTAGTTGTGCAGAACTTGATTGTGAATCGCCACTTGGGGAGAGCCAAATCCACAACATCATTGGGTTTCTTCGGTATGCAGCTGACTAATGGTGTAACTATTCTAGCTCATGATTCCACAAGTTCTATTGCGGAACTTAATGACCTACGTTTAAGTTTAGGCCTTGTTGATATCAGAATTCACTTAGGGTTGAATTTGCTTCAGGCGATGATGTTTGTGCTACTTTGAACCCACAATTGGGAGGGCCGAATATAGGTAAGAACCTCGCCATGTTGAACGCATAAATTTTCTTTCGGTCGAATGTGCATTTCTCAAATGATGTGTATCCTTAGATGGCCGGCAGTTTCATGCATAAACTGGTCTCCAGCAATATGGGAGGGAGTAATAAGATTGAGAGGAAGTTGCTAAAGTTCTACTTTAGTAACTTATGGACAAGAATTCAAGAATTAATTATAATTTAAGAGCCTCCGGCTCAAGCCGCCGACCCCGCTGGAGCATAGTTGAGAGGTCTAAACCCGCTCGCATGGTTCGAAGATCATCCCAGCCTGCTCGGCAGAGTTCTGTGAAACGGGGGGGTTAGGGGGCAAGCCAAAAAGATGGCGGGGGGGGGAGGGGGTGGGGGGGGGTAGGGGGGGGGGGGGTGTGGGGGGGGGGTGTGGGGGGGGGGGGGGCTAAGGCGGGGTGGCCAGGGGAAGGGGTGGGGGGGGGGGTGGGGGGGGGGTGGGGGGGGGGGGGGGGTAAAGGAGGGAAAGAGGGAGGTTTTCACCTCCTTTTCCCATCCAACACGCCGCCAGGGTCGGCGGATAGCATGAACTTTCTCTTCGCATCTAGATGCAATACTCTTTTGCCACATAACAAAAGTCAATGAGTTTTCCTAGCATCTAGATGCAATACGCTGTGCCACGCATGCTGTTTTGTATGTGTATGTATGTATACATATATATAGAGCAAGAAGAACAACCAGGATTCCATACATGCAGACATGAGTATGAATGTGAGTATTCACTTCACTTCAAATAAAGACGCAAAAACATACATAGACCTTTATATATATATATATCGTTTCCTGCATATATATATATATATATACATATATATATGACATGTACAGACATACATATACACACGTATGGAGCATTGTATATCGAGAAATACATGTGCGAATAGTCCCTGCAATCATGTGAAAGGAGTACGTAAATCTCAAAAGCTAGAATGCGAAATAGTTCACATGCATATGAGCCCTTTTCTAGCTATCTACCAATCTATCTAGAGGCATAAACAGATACTGCGCCGCCCGAACGGTGACTTAAAACAGTCGTTTGCCTTTCCTGCTCAGCTTTGCGTGGGGGGCGGGATTCGAGTGGATGGGTGGGTGGGTGGCAGCGCCGTGAGGTGGGGAGATCTGCTTTACGTCGATGAGCTGCAAACGCAGTTCGAGTGCCTGGGCAATGCGCATAAATCCACTTGAATCCGCTTAAATCAGCTTAAATGCGTTTTTTCTTTCAATTTTGTTCACAGGCCCTCCTGGAGACTGCCTCTCCGGATAGCACTCCCAAGCCACGAAGATGTTTGAGTTTGCTGGGTTGTGTGTGTAAAGAATGTAGAGAAGGAGATTGTCCCAGCTTGCCGTCCAATGCCGGCAAGTGTAAAAGCCTCAGTTTGTCAGCTCCTTCCGGACCCGCTGGGGTAGAATTTCAGTTTTTCAGCTCCCTCCGGACCCTTTGGGGTAGAATTGCTGGTGTTGCTTTTTGGCATCCGGGCTAGTTGTGTGATGTGCTGACTCTTTCTGACGGAGTTCCGCTGCCCTGGTGGCTGTTGCGTGAAGTCGAGGCAGACCATCGAGCGAGCGGTCAGGATCGCAGGCGCGCGGAAAGCTCGAGCCCCGAGCAGACGCATCTGAGCACCTTTCATCCCCAGCTCGGGGCCTCAAGACAAGTTGACGATGCTAATATCCCTCACAGACTTCCTGTTTTTTTTTTCGGAGCAACATGAATTGTTGCGCCCTGAGAAGTTCTGGACGTCTCAACAGACCCAACAACTTCCTGACGGGTCAGAGCGCCTTCGCAGGAGGGCGTCCCGTCACCTTGGTCGGCCACTCGATGGGCGCGCAGGCAAGAGAACGGGGGGAAGAAGGGGGAGGGAAGAACTTCTCGGCTTTTGCGCAGTAGATTCTCAGTAGATTCTCGCAGTAAAAGAGATCTCCCCTTCTTTTCTCCAAAGAGTCGCTCTCCTGGTGAGGTGATCAACTACATGCTGGGCGTGAAGGGCCCCAACTGGACGGAGAAGCACGTCTCCGATACGGTCCTCGTGGGGCCCGCGAACATGGGCTCCCTGGCATTGCCCCCTTCCTGCCCCCCCCTTCTGCTTGGAAGGAAGAAGAAGAAGATGTTTCCCCTTTCGTAGAAACGAGAAGGGGGCGGATGTCGGCCCTGCCCAGGCTCCCCGTCGGTCTTCGCCGCGTACGCGAACGGCCCCAGTCAGGCGAGAGAGGGGACGGTGCAGTCCTTTGTAAACCCCACCACCCCTTGACCTCCCGAATTCCATTGGGTCCCAAAGCCCCAAAGTTCCCTGAAGTGCCTAAAGCCTCAACCGCCTTCCCCGTCCACTGCCCCGCGGCCACAGGTGGCGCACAGCACCGTCATCCCCTTGGCCGCTGCTGGGCTGCCAGGGGGATGGGTCACGGGGGGCCAAGAAGCCGTTTTGTTTTCAACTATGTTCCCCGGTCTTCTCGTCAGTAGTCAACCGGCATTAACTACTAGGATGCATGCTTATCGTGAATTAAAAATTGGTCATTGCTTCGTTCAACTTCTAGGCAAAATTTCTTCGGATTGAGTCTTAACAGGTCCTTTTTCGCCTGAGCCCTAAACCCCAAACCACCACTTCACTCCCTAAGCTCCTCCTCAAAACCCACGAGAAGGACATCGCGGAAGTTAGAATCCGTGATGTGGCTTCGACCTGGCCGGGGCTGCCGCCCGGCACCATGCGAGTCAATAACGGGTACAGGGGGTTGATTCTATGGGGATTCTCTACCTTAGAAAGGCCCCTTGTCACGAAAGCTAGCTCCTTGGAGCGTGCCGAGTTGCTGTTTCCCAGTCAATCTCTCAAGTGTTCAGGTGGATCAAAGAAGGACCGCGGGGCTATGTGGGGCTTGTGGGTATGAAAATCAATGAGTTAATCCCCGCCGAGGATGTAAGGGGCGGCCCCGTGGCAACTCCCCACCCCCCTCCACGTTCATCAAGGCTACATGCGATTCGATCGATTTTCGGGAGGGGGAGACCCCAGTCCCCAAGAAGAGTTTTGGAACTTGCTTTTTTGGCGGAATGCTCAATACCAGCAGCTCATCGGATGTTTTTCGTGAGCACCCCAATCCCTGATTGTTCAGTGGCGGTTTCCATGCCGCTGCGAGATTTGAAGAGTTGAGCCCGCTGGTGTGGAGCCAGTGGTGGCGCGGGAACTGAGGCTGGCAGTGATGCCCACGCGGCTGGCTGGCTTTGACGTGCTCCTCGGATTCTCAGCACGTGATCGGGGTGGGGTGGATGTCCCTCCAGCCCCCGAGTCAAGTCGACAGGTTTGAAGCTAAGCCCCTGGCCATCCGCAAGAACGTGCGGGAGTACCACGCTGGGGACCGGCCGCAAGCTGCTAGGAGGGTCCAGAAAGCCCTGCAAGGCCCAGCACCGCATCTGTGCCAATTTTTAGGTGCAAAGACTGATTGGATTAGACTTTGGACTTGTCTTGTAGATTCTTTCAGAGTCTGGAATCGCAGTCCCAGCGAGCCGTAGGACTGCATCCCCTTCCTCGAAGACGTCCAAACGCGCCGTGGCTTGAAACGAGGGGTCCTCTGCAGTGAAGCAAAGGTAGCCACCGCCCTCAACGCCCCAAACCCAAACCTCCAACCTGGAAGGGTGTAATTCTACTGCTTGAAGCCGCCGTGAACGAGCTCATATCTCTACATGAAGGTGTGAGGACACAGATCCACTGGGCATCTATGATGAGGACCACTTGGGTGTCTCCCGACTCGTGGCCTCTGCTTGAAATCGTTAAGATGTCAAAAGATTCCTAACTTGCCATCGCTGTCAAGACGTGTTGGTTCTTAACCCCCTTGCTTATGCCACCGGCATAAGCAAAAGCAGAAACCCGTGCAAAGCCACAGCCAGAACTCTCTCTATGGTTCCTGAAGCGCAGCTTCTATAGATTGTTTGGGAAGTCGTTCGGGCAACGTTCTTAAAGCTACCGGCTCCCAGGATCCGTCCTAGACCCCCATACTGTGTATACTGCACATGCGCAGCAGCCTTTCTTGGAGGACCAGTCCTTGCACGAGAGGATGCGGCGGTGTCTGGAAGACTTAAACCTGGTCGATGCCAAGCGTGTTTGGGAAGCAGGACCCATGAAGCACTGCCACAAATGGCTTTTGCCTTTCAGAATTTCACGCGGTCCCGTATCCAGACCCCTCTGAAGGCGCTTGGAATGCTTGGAGGCTTGGACCGAGCCCGCTGGGCAGGCCCCCTCTTCCATCCTCTTCCCCCGTCCCCGGGCCCCCCCCCCCCCCCCCTAGAGAGAGAAAAGGAGTGCGGTGTTTCTTGTGCCTCTGAGTTATGCCTTTTGTGCCTTTTGCGCCTTTTGTGTTTTGCATGATTGAGAGGGCGCGAAGCCGTAAGAATCCCGGGGCAATCACTTGCATGGCCGCAAGCAGGGTGTTAAAAGAGAAAAACTTTCGTTTCCTGCTATCGGCGCACGCGCCACCCGCCATACGCCGCCACCCCCACATGCTGGAGTGGTAGCAGTGTCATACGAGCATGAGATCTTCTTACAGCTATGCGAGAAGACGATAGATCGTGCCCAAGACCCAAAGCCCGAAACCCTAATTGAATGCCAGGGCCGTGTTTTTTTCCGCTGTTCCCCTGAACGCAGGATTCCCCCTGGCAGCGCGGATGCGGCGTGGGATTGAGCAACCCGGGCCTTTCACGGGTTTCCAACAAATAAGGCTGTTTTCAAGGGGTGTCCGGCACTATTTGGGTTCCTATTTTCACAAAGATCATCTTTGGGGTAAGGAGTATCCCTATTTTAGGAAGTACACGCGTTTTGTCGGTTCTTCATCCTCAACACGCCAAGGCCCGGAAGCCGCTGGGTACTGAAATGTGTGTGGAAGTACAGCCTAATCCAGACAGTATTGAGGCGCTTGCAAAGGCATACAAATGCAAAGACGACCCAGGGCCTTGAGGGCTTCGGCTAGGGGCTTGGTGGATTCAAGGAGCCTCAATCCTATCCCCTGCAAGCGTATGCCGGATATGTATGTATGCATGTAGGTATATACACATATCCAGAAAGAGATTATGAGATATATTCTCTCTATATACGTATCTACAATTACATGTAATTGTTATACCTACATATATATATATATATATATATATATATACATATATATATATATATTATTACCTAAGTCCTTAAGTAGCGCCTCCCCTCAAATAGATCTTATGTAATCCCACAGAGTCCCTTATTGCCCTTCCTTCCTGATCTGCAGGCAGAAGATCATGCCCAACCTCAAACCTCCCCTTGGTTGCCGCGTTCACGCCCCTCTGAAGCAGGGACCGGGGCGTTCTGGCTCCTTCAGATGTTTAGCCTTTTTCAGTTGGCCCCTCCTCCAAAACCTCCATTGTCCATGGTTTTCTGAAAATCTCTGACCCAACACCCTAAACACAATAAACCCTTGAGGTCGCTAGCTTGACGAACACTGAAGGCTGAAGCACCGCTGTGGACACCTCCACCCCCGAGCCGAGGTTGTCTATTGCGCTGATGTCAAGACGCTCAGCCGCTCGGAAGAAGCTTCCTGAAAGACACCATGGCTCCGAGGTTCGGAGGAGCCGAACTCGCAAGCTGCCACTCCCAATCCCTAAGCCGCCACCCCCCCCCCCCCCCCCCCCCAACCCCCACCCCCATCTTTCATCCGCGAGACCTCCGAGGCGTCATGACTTTTCATGAGAACCTCCTGCGGAAGGCTGGCCATGCGCAATGGGAACCTCGGCCTTTGGCATCATCTTCCCTACTCGTTTCTGGCCTAGATGTTGGATTTGGGAGTGAGGGCTCCGGGTGTCGGGTATACTCCCATCGTATTGCCGGGGTTTAGGGTGCAGGGTATATTCCTATTGTTTGTCCCGAGATTTAGGGGTTGCTTTCTTGTTTGGAGTCCTTCTTTTTTGGTTTAGGTGCTGCAGCTCAGTGGGCCATGATGCTAGTTTTTTTGCAAGATTGTCTGCCTGCCCGTGCTTCTGCTAATGTTCATTGCAAATCAAAAAAAACATGTGATTTTCAACGGGGAGAACTTGCCTGGAAAACATGAAGGCCAGCACGGAGGCAAATCAACCGATTCGATAACGCAGGCGCTGACAGGGAGAGGCTCAAGGGCCTTCCTGTTTGATGATCAATGGCCCCACGTCTTCCTGGTGTTTTTTGCGTGCTGTTTTGTGCTCATGTTTCGTGATCTGGACCCCTGGGGCTGCTGCTGCAATCCGTAGAGCTGACAAGGAACCTGGGGATGACACGATCATCGCCTCGAGCGTGGAACGCATGTGCGACCTGTGGAAGGAGAAGGGCGTGCAGGCAGGGCCGCCATGCGAAAGGACTCCTTGCGCCCGCTTTCTCTTTTGAACCTTCTTCGTCTGCAGCAAACGTGAAAACAGGGAGGGGCGTTGAAGAGAAAAGTGCAGGCTTGAGAGTGATTGCGAAGCCTTAAACTTTCAGCTCGCAGGTTCGCAAGTACCGCGCTCAAAAGACTCATCACAAGAACTTGATCTCGTGCAAGTTCATGATGCACGTCATCGATGAGCCTTGGGAGTCGGATTTTCATCACCGCCATGTTGCTCTTATTTTTGCGGTCTATACTTGTATGGTTTACCGCAAAGAAACCCAACTCCAAACCCTGAAAATGGCTTGGAGGTTCATGGGGTTGTTTTACGTGGGGGTTATAGGTGGGAGAACTATAAGATATCCTTCGTCATCACCATGTTTGGGGGGGAGGGGGGGTCTTAACCCTGCAAGCACCCATGACCCTCGCAACCATACCCCCTACAAACCCTAAACCCCAAACCTCTTAAACCCTATCCTAGAACCGATAACCCTAAAGCCATGAACCTTCAAGCGAAAAAGTGCGAGGACGTGATGGACATGGCAGAAGGGAATTGTGAAACCTCCGAGATGAGTGCCTCGCGAGATCAATTTGGCGGACTGGCCATGTAGATGTTCAGGGAAGTAACGGTTCCGGGTTTAGGGTTTTCCCGAAATGGCCTGTAATCAGATCAAGGCCCCAGTGAACCCTACACCCTTTTTGGGGTGTGCTGGTCCTGACTGCTGACAGGTTGTTCAGGGTTTGGGGCTTGGTGTTTTTGGACACACTTTAAGAAGTTCAGGGTGCTTCACCTCCAGGGTGTCGAGGCTTTGGGTTTACAGTTTCGGGGTGGATCTCCTGTGTGCCAGCTTCGGCCCAGGCGTTGACTCGGAGGAGACCGGGGACAGTGAATTGGGGTGGTGCGGTGTTGCTGAATAGCTTTATGTTTATGGATGAGCCCAAGTGATGAGAAAATCTCAACAGCGCTTGTGCATCACGCTCCGTGAACGCTCTCGGGCATGAGGCAACGGATGCTCCCTCCCAACTTCCCGGTTCCACTCGCCGCCTCTACATTCAAAACGACCCCTCTTCCTTTTAGCCCATCTTCTTTCGTGAGCCCCATGCATCTCGTTTCTGATCATCTGGCCCCGAACACTCTGCAGCATAGCTTCGGATTGTCTTGCGGGGAGCTTCGGCATGGTGTAGTCCTTGGAGTGAGCTTTCGCTTGTCGGTTTAGCAAGTTTGCAGTTCTTTAAGGGATCCAGGGTATCCAGGGTCTAGGATTAAGCCCTTGACGAACACTCACAGAGCCATCCTTGAGGGGTTGAAGTGGAAAGCTGAAGTGAAGCTCTTCGTAGTTTGCTGGAGAATCCAGGAAGTTCCGCTAGAAGTATTCATCCGCGACATCCCGAGAGCGGGGACGGGGACGACCTGCGCCGACGGTTCCCGAGCAAGAACATATCACATTCCGGACCCCACCCAGAGTCCACCTTGCAGTGCCTGGCAGCATGATTGTTTGGAGCCGCACACGTGCAGAAATGTGCAGAAACTTGCAAAAAAAGGAGCGGGAGTTTCACCAAGACTTCTCTTTCTCTGGTAGTCTCACCCAGAGACGGGTTCTCGCTCGGAGCGTCTGAGGATGCAGCGGGGATCCGCGGTAAGCGAAGGATACTCGGATCTGGAGCCTCTGTCAGCGCTAAACGGCCTGAAAGCATGGGTTTTCTTGGCTTAGGATGGTCTCGTTTATGGGGGACAGTTTTTAACAGTGCGTTTATGGTCTCCAAGAAGCAAGCATGATTGTTTTGCCGCTACAGGCCCTGCTCAGCCCAAAACGATGCTCCGAGCGCTCGCGTTTTGCGGTTTCTGTATAGATCTGTATTTGGGTCTCGTTTGCAACAGCCGACACTTTTCCATCGCATGTCGGCAAGGTAATGAATGCCAACGAGAGGTTGGCTGGAACCTCCGTGAGGCTCCCACTCTACAGGAAATGGCCTTGGACACGCGGAGTAGAGCAGGAGTCTAGGCGCGCTAGCGGGGCAAGGTAGGTGGGCCTAAGGCGAAGTCCGCGCCAATGTCTGAACTCAAACTTAGTTAACAGTTCATATGGCTTTATAGTAAACACAATGGCTTCCTATTCTGGTAACTTAATTCCAAGTTCCTTAACGACTTCATATGCAGCTCCGAGCAGCAAGCCCCGAAAGTATGTATGTATGTATGTATGTATGTATGTATGTATGTATGTATGTATCTATGTAGCTATCTATGTATGTATAAATGTATTTACAGATATCACACAGGCAGAAAAGAGCACCGGAATTGGAACCATGTTGGCCCTCGGCAATCCAAGCATGGTTTTTAAAGGAGCGGAAAAAGTAGCCCCAGAAATAGCACAATCAGGAGCAGCAAAAGGGTAGCAGGCACAAAGGAGCACCCAGAAATCGCACAAACAGGATTAGAACATGAAGAAAAGTAGGACTAGAAGTACGGAACAAGCAGCGCCAGAAACAGCGCAAGTTTTGAGACACTGCTCACTCCTAGTAGGGTGCAGGACATCCCGTATGTAATGTTGACAGATTTGTACTTGTCGATATGTACATAACCCACCACCACCTGATGGGCACTGAAGCGATCATCTGGGGCTGGTGATTCGGCACTCCAGGGGCATTTTGCTTCTAGGCGGTTACGGTCGAACTTTACAGAAAGGAAACCTACAAGAGCCGTTCAGAGTGCAAGTTTCTGGAATCGCTAGTTGAAACAAGATAGTTGGAATCCTTGTGAGGCTCTGTGAGGAAGGGAGTTGAAAGGAGAGGGTTCAGAGGTTTTTAACCATCATTTGCGAAGCTCAATTTCCCACATTGGCTTACCTCTGACTGGCTCTGACTGGCTCAGCCTTTTGCTCCCTCTGTTTGGCCGAGATCAATGTATTCAGGCGTTCCATGAAGCGAAGTCTCGCCGATTTAGAAGATACTTTACCACTCAATATGTCCTCATCGGTTCACTGCGCCTGCCCTTTAAATTACTGCGGTCCTTGCAAATCGCAAGGTGTCCAGAAGCGATACTTTTTGATCGCAAAGGACAACGTGCGATTAAGCTGCCGTCCCGAATACCCATGCATCTACTAGCGATGCGGCCCACCGAAGATGACTGGAAACCGTCCGGTTCCTTTTTCGCTGGTAGGCTCCTTAAATGCGTATATAAGCATCCCAGCGGGCTATTTCCTGCATGTTCAAAGTGAGATGCGAAACATAGAAGCGAACAGAGCGCGAACAAGCCCAACCCTCAGAACAGAAACCAACTCCCTCAAGCAAGCTTCCCGGCGGCAACAAAGAAAATTGGATTTTCTTGTGGACGAGAGTTTCAAATAATGTATTTGTGTATGGTCTTGTTTAAGAACACCTCTTATCGCAAGGCTAGACGGTACATGCAGCAGTCCCTCTAAGTGGCACTTCTAGGGGATTTTCTCGGGCTGAGTGTGTTTATCTTTTACTTTTCCCACCAGGTCTGAGTCGCGGTTGCTGGTTAGAGCGGCAGGTTTGGAGTTCAATTTGCTTACACAGGGTTTCACGTTAATTTTCCCTATTTTTGAAACCCCCAGTTTAAGTTGCACGAGCTTTGCGGAAGGCCATGGTGCTGCAGCAGCTCAGCGAGCTACGTGAGGCTTGTGCCAGGGATTTGGCGCGTTAACCTCATTCACCGCATTTTTTCGTCGTGCGGTCCTCTTCGGGCATCTTCAACTAACGTCCATCACCAACGGGTTCTCTAGCAAGGAGCCTCTCTTAAAGTCTTGGACATCGTGTTAACCGCCTCAAATTTTGGATGCCCAGCCGTTAGGCAGTCGTGAAACCTATACGCTGCTAAATTCATTTTATGCTGGCTGCCCGCTTCTCATCCCATACACCTTGATGTCACCGCTTTGATTCACCTCTTCGAGTGGATACAGAATGCCCCAAGCGGAGAAGGAGCTGGAGCCACGCATTGAGGATCTCGAGAAGCGACTTCGCGGGTCAGGCGCGGCCTTCCCTGCACGAAACCCGAAAAGCCCGAAACTAGCCGAACTAGCCCCAGGCCTTGACGTCTGTCAGAGTCTCGGGATGGTCGTTCAAGATCTCGTCATTTCTGAGGCTGAGGAGAATCGAGGGGTTTTGGTGATTAGGGTGTTTTCGCGGAAGTATAGGATTGGGAAGAAAATGTCAATGAAGAGCCAAGGATCTGCCAGCAGCACACAAATTTCCCACACCCTGAGCCTGAAACCTCCAAACCCAAAGCCCTAACCCTGTAAGACTCTATAGACCCTATAGACAGACCCTCTAGCTAGTCTAGACTGGCAATGGCAGGATGAACCGCTTTTTCAGGTGGGGCCGTCCAAAGCGACGGCAGCCCGCGGCGACGCCGGGAGTTGAGGGAAGCCAAGGAGGCCAAGGAGGCAGCTGGTTTTGGGGGGCTTTAGGGGCTTTAGGGGCTTTTAGGGGTGTCAGCGATCCCAAAACCCCAGGCTTTCAGAGTGCTACTGTTCCAGGGTTCTACGGGTGCAGGGGCAGATGGGAGCTGACTTCTTTTTTTACTTATGCTTTTTTGCCTCCATTTTCATTTATATTTTCATTTTTTTTTAAATGTTTTTCCATTGTTTTTTTGGTGGGGGGGGGGGAGTTCGATGTTGCAGGTGTTTTTTGCGGGGGGCAGTTGAGGGTGCTAGCTCTGTTCATAGGAGAGGGCTCGGGAGCGTCGGGTTCAGCGCTTGTTTTTTGGTTGGTCCTAGGACCCTTCTAGTAGGGACCCTAGCACCTAGGAGTTTAGGACCCCAGGACCCTAAAAATTCTTAGCGCCCCAGGAATCAAGGACTTTTCGGACCCTAGGCGTCCAAGGACCCTAGAACCCTACCCTACCCTACCCCAAGCTGTCCAGGCCCTCAGGACCCCTGAACCGCCACAGTCAGACCCAAGGCCCCCGAGTCGCCGTCTGGGACTTCGCTTTCCGAGGACAGGGGGGCGGTCCTGTTTTAGTCTAGTGTAGCGTTTCAGGGGTTGAGGATTGAGGCTTGGGATATAGAATTTTCTGCTCAAGGACTTCTAGAGGGATTCAGGGTCGACGGGAGGGGGGCTGATGGGGGCTTTCTTGAGTCAGGGTGGAGACTTGGATTTTGTGCCCAAGACCTTTCGCCTTGTGACATGCGCGTCTCGACTTCCGGCTCTCACCTGCAGCTTGCTGAAGCCTTGAAAGAAGCTTTTGAGCTCGCGACAGCCAAACCACTCCCCAAGACATGACCCCGAGCTACCAGACAGGAGACCAGCAGACCTCGCCACTGTCTTTTTTGCATTCTTTCTTCTAGATGAATAGGGGGGGGGTTTGAAGCCCACGACGGAAGCGTTTCTTCGAACGGGTCGCCTAGAACTCGGCCCGGGCTTTTCTCACGCCGCAGCGGGGTTCCCCCAACTTTTTCTTATGGACCCATGGCTTGGCCGGCCCATCGTGCAGCGCGCGCCGTGGCCGTAGCTTTATGGATGTCAGGCCGGGACAGGGATGTTTGGTACGCCCCGTACATACGGACTATACTGAATATACCTTACTTCCTTCTCGGATCTCTATAGTGTATTCTAAGGCATATTCCTTCACCAGTTTCACACAGCGCTAGCAACGATCCCCAGAGATTCAGACCTCCAATCTCCAACCTCATACTTTTTAGGTGCTTCTTTCCTGTCAGGGCACCCAAAAAGGGGACCCGAAGGAAAGCAGCAGAGAGGTCCTGGCCTGGCCGTGGAACCTCTGGAGGGCTGTACCTCAGAGTCCTGCTTCGCATGGCAGGCCCCTTTGTCGAGGGTTTGAGGGTTTGAGGCTTTGAGGCTTTGAGGCTTTGAGGGTGCCCTTAGGGCCCTTCGGGTGCTTTTGTTGCCTTTTCGGGGGGGGGGGTCTGGGCATTGGGGACTTTTGGGCTGTGCTAGAGTCTACGGTTGCACCAAGCGGGCTGCTCAACAATGAAACACGAGGTCTTTCGGTCACTTGCGGGATCGGGATCGCCCTGTGTACGGATGACAAAGGGCCGAGGAGCACTTGCCTCAAAGTGACCCTGTCTTGCTAGGTCGGAGCCTTCGGTGTGGATCCAAACGGCGTGGGCCCCAGCCACAAGTCCGGGCACACTGCGGTTCCTCGACTTTCCTTGTACAAGTAAACTCCTACAATAAGCCAAGATCCAATCTCAATAAGGAGCTGCCGAGTGCGGAACAATATCGGGTACTGAGGTGATCGCAGCATCGCCTTGTGCAAAGTTTTAATGTGGGACGCATGCTTTTCCGGGATATACCTGCGCGTGTGGCGTAACTTCGCGAAGCACACGATGGCGCACGTATAGTGGTAGTGACGTGACATCGCGCTGTCGGGCATCTCTATAGTCTTGTGAAAACGGATGAGAGTACGTCTTGATTCTTGCTCTTTCGAACTAGATGTATTCCCCAAACAGTTTACTGTAGGGGTTCCTGTTTCTTTCCATGACTAGCTGGATACCTCGGCCGGCTCCCTGGGCTGCTTGCCTCCGCTTGTCTCCCTTCGTCTCCTTTCATGTGGGTGTCTCCGCTTGTCTCCCTTTCCAAGCTGTCTCCCTTCATGCGGATAACCTCGTCCGGCTCCCTGTTTCTTTTCTGCGCTTGTCTCCGCTATCTCCGCTTGTCTCCCTCTTTGTCTGTAGGTGGCCTCGGTCGGGTCCCTGGGGTCTCCGTTGTCTCCCTTTGTCTCCCTTCATGTGGGTGGGTCGTGGGTTTTGGGCTGCTTGTGCTTGTTCCAGCATCCACCCTGCAAGCGTGGATGTTGGCCCAACGTCCACCCCTCCCTCAATCAAGGGCCCAACATCCACGCTTGAGGGTGGACGTTGGCCCAACATCCACCCCTCAAGCGTGGATGTTGCCCCACGCCCACAAATCAACCCCTCCAGCGTGGTCCAACATGCACCCCTCAAGCGTGGACGTTGGCCCAACATCCAACATCCACCGCTCAAGAGTGGATGTTGGCCCAAACCCTTCAAGCGTGGCCCAACATCCACCCCTCAAGCGTGGATGTTGGCCCAGCACCCACCCCTCAACAAGCATGGATCGTCCACGACTCAAGGTTGGATGTTGCAAAACGTGGATGTTTGCCCAACACCCACCCGTCAAGCGTGCCAACATCCACCCCTCAAGCGTGGATATTACCCCTCGAGCGCGGACGTTGGCCCAACATCCGACCACGGGCCAACATCCACCCTTCAAGCATGGACATTGGCCCAACATCCGCCTCTCAAGCGTGGACGTTCGTGACGCTGGCCCAACATCCACCCCTCCTTCGAGGATGTCGGCCCAGCGTCCACCCCTCAAGCATGGACATTGGCCCAACATCCACCCCTCGAGCGTGGATATTTGCTCAACCCACCTAAACCTGACCCTAAACCCGAAACTCCACAAAGGAAATCAAACAGGGCGCAGCCTAAACCAACTCAAAAGCCCTGTTTGATTGCCTTTGGAGTTTCGGGTTTAGGGTCAGGTTTAAGGGGATAGGGGCTTGGAATGGGGTTTTACTGCCGTTTCTCAGGTAAAAAACCCTATCTAGGCCAGATAGTTTTTTTTTTTGGGCGGGGGGGGTTCGGCTGTTTGTTGAGCTGGTTTAGCCTGCACCCTGTTTGATTGCCTTTGGAGTTTCGAGTTTGGGGTCAGGTTTAAGGGTTTAGGGGCTTGGAATGGGGTTTTGCTGCACTTTTTCAGCTTAAGGACCCTATCTGGCCCAGATAGTGTTTTCCGGCTCTGGGCTGCTTGGAATTGGGGGGCTTGTTTAGCTATTTGGCCAGATGGACTCATGAAACCCCTATCTTTTCAGGGTTTCGGGCAAGGTTTGGGGTATAGGGTCTAGGTTGCTGACCCAGATCGGCTTGACATTGGGGTTTGGGCTGCAGATAGGGTTGTGTTGCCAAAGTGTACTCTTGGAAATATCTGTACCAGAAGTGTGTCTGCGCAGGCACAGGCCCGCTTGACTGCCATGGTCAGGGATGCGCAGCCACAGGCACCGGCTGCCACAGCGAGTGCCTCGAAACCAAAGAGGAGGCTTGTTTCGTCCGAGAACTTTTGAGGAGATTCGATGAAATTCGTGTACGACAAGGGCGACCCTACTTGGGAAACACCGAATTGGGGAGTGTAGGTTTTGGGCTTTGGGATTCAGTGTTCAGGAAACCCAAACTTACGGGAACTTATTTTGGTTAGTCAGCTTCGCGGGGGAGTTTCGTCCTCCCTTCCCATGCAATGCCGGCGATGGTGGGCACAAAGCCCTGCGATTTCAGTAAACTTGACACCCCTGAACCCTAGGTCCCTTGAAAACCGAAACTGAAGGTGCGAGTGCCGGCACCTGGATTTGGTGGAAAGGCAGCGCTGGGACTCGGCCTCTGGCTTCCGCTACCCAAAGAGGCCGAGGGGGATTGGCTGAAAGCTTAGGATGTGGGGTTTGGGGTTTAGGGTTTTAGATTTTAGGATGGTTTAGGGCAGGGATATTCATCCACCCCACCCTCAAGGCACACACCAAACTGCGGGCCCCTCCTCATTCAACCTTCATTATTAATCGATGACCTACTTTAGTGGAAGTATAGAATGCTAGAGGGTCGGGGTGATAAAATCAGGGGGGATAACTCCGTGAGCTTGTTTGGATGTTGGGAGGTTTTTCCCAACTTCCTAGAGTTCATGTTGGCATTCTGGCATCCTTCAGCACATTCAGCACCCTAGATGAAGTTGTTGATACTCAGAGACGAAGGCTAGAATCGCGTGTACCATCAGCCTTCCTGTCCTATGTAGCGCCGCCCTACTACTGGGCAGATTGTTACCCTGCCCTTAGTGCAGTGTTTGTTTTGATGTCATTTGCTCTTCTTTGTTTTCGAGCCACGCGATGCATTCTGAACTTCTAGCTGACTAGCTGTTCGTCCGCCCTATCCCTTGCACTGAAGTGTATGGGGGTGTTGATCCTCAGCGATTTAAGCTGGACTGGGGTGTGTGTGTGTATATATGTCTGTCTGTCTGTCTGTCTGTCTGTCTATCTGTCTGTCTGTCTGTCTGTCTGTCTGTCTGTCTGTCTGTCTGTCTGTCTGTCTGTCTGTCTGTCTGTCTGTGTGTGTGTGTGTGTCTCTGTGTGTGTATATATGTCTGTCTCTCCGTGTGTGTGTGTGTGTGTGTGTGTGTCTCTGTGTGTCCAAGAGAAAGTGTGACTGCATAGCTCCAGTTCAGCGTTTCTGCTGGTAACGATATTGCTGATGCAGCCTTGAAGCAGACGGTTGTCCGCGCCTGAGCATCATGAACCTAGTTGCTTGGACAGTCGTCACCGCTTTTAATGCATACTTATCTATCTGTCTATCTATCTCGCCTGGAGTGTGTTTTTTCGACACGATGCTGGATCGAAACCCCGCCTCCCTCTCTCGCCTCTCCCAATAACCCCATGAGCCACTAAGCCCTCAACCCTAAACCCTAAACCCCATAAGCACCCTGAAAGGCCGAGTTTGGTCGTCACCACAAGCCGCGAAGCTGGGCTTGTCTCTGCTGAGGGTGGTGTCAACCAACGATAGAACTCAATGTGCTAAGGTTTAATGAAGGTCTTAAGGCTTAAGGGTCTATGAACGGATCTGTGCAGATGAAGACGAACTTGTCAGGAAGTCGTACCTTGGCACTAGGAGCCCAGTTTGGGCCGATATTGCTGTGTTTTCCCTTCAAACGAGCCCACACTTTGGATCCAATCCCTCATGCCAAACACCAAACCCTTGAACCCTTGAACCCCTTGAACCCCTTGAACCCCTTGAACCCTTTGAACCCTTTGAACCCCTTGGGAGCCCGTTGAACCCCTTGGGAGCCCCCAATGTTTCCCTGCCGAGGATGGGCAGCGCTGCGCTTCCACCTGGGCCTTCAACGCCGTCCGACTTCTGCTTCCTGGCAAGCGGAGCTTGCGAGGTTCCATCACTCCCCATGAACACATCTTCCCTCGCAGAGTCTATACAACCAACCAACACCCAAAACCCTAAAGCCCCAAAGCCCCAAACCACTAAAACCCTAAAATCTAGACAAAACACTAAACCGCCCGATTCCCGAAACGACAAAGCCTCCAAGCAGCTTGATCGGCTTTCGTCTCAGGTTTCGACAGGCCCGAGAGTCCTGCGACTCTTACTGGATAAGAGAACTCACCAGGGAGAAGCTCCAGCGCCGGCTGGTGCCATGGACTAAAGCAGACTCAACACAAAGAGAAGCCTAGCCCCGACGAAGGAGATTGGCTTTTTTCTATCATGCTCCTGCTCTCGGCGTGTGTTCACTGTTGAAGAGTCACAGTGTTCGCGCTTGGCTGAGGTGACAGGCGCGCACGTCGTAGTCAAGACCCACGAATGGAAAGGCTCACAAGAAGCTTTCGATGATTTAAAGAAGATGCTCACTCACATCGTCGTGAGCGTCCGCGAAGGCTTTCCATTTGCACCCTGTAAGCTTTGCTTCTAGAGACATTGGTATCTGATCCTAACGGATTCAATCATGGCGAACTCGGAACGCTGCGCGCAGAGGCTTCCCAAGAGAGGAGAAGTGGCTAAAGATCGCCACTCACGTTCTCCACTTTGATGCCTGGCAGACCTAACGCACAACATGACTTGTGGCATTGCTACAATAGGGACCCGGCAAAGGACCGAAGTCGTTTGACCGAAAAATCCCGAAGCAGGTTGGAGCTCACCCCACAGAACCCCAAGCCCTTTTCTCCTCTTGCTGCAGAGGAAGAGCTGGTGGCTTACAATAAGGAGGACCCAGAAGATGTGACGCAGACGCCCAGCCAACGATGTGGGTACAGTATCTGCGCTCGGGTTTGTTCGGGGTTCGGGGCCTTTCTTGGGGTCTCATTTGTGGATTTAGATTTGTATATCTACAGCTGTAAACACTCGAAGAAATATCCATATATATATATATACAGACATAGATATGTGAACACAAAGCGCTGTATCATGCTTTGGGTGCTCCGGACAACGGTTCTGTCTCGAGGATTGGGGCTCTGACAGTTCTCAGCAGGCTCGCGGATCACTTGGGTTTGCGTGCCTCAGCTGCAGGTGTTCAACCCCGAGACTTCGGAAAGCCTTCCAGACTCTAAGCAGTGCCCTACAGTCAATGAAGTCCAAGCATGCTAAAGGCGTATCAAGCCCAAAGCCGCAAGATTATCGGGCCCTCTTTTCAAGCCCCAGCCGTCTCGGCAAGGGCAGAGCCTGTCGAAGTCGCTCCACAGGCCTGACTCCTCACGACATTCGCCTCGTGGACTACGAGCTCATGACGCTGCCGCTGCCACAAGGTCCCTGGGCCTCGGGTCGACAAAAACATTCCTTAGATTTGATGTGACGGGCCTTTCCAAGAGCCAGAATTTTGTTGCAACTTCTTGCAACTTCTCTTGCCTTTCTCGGAAAAGGCTTCTGCAACCAGACAACGAAGCTGTGGCCATTTCATGGCCGGCGCGGGGGCCGACCGATGCCCTCAGCGCCGCCTGAAAACCCCTGAAAGCCCCTGAGAGCCCTTTGCGCGATCTTTGGTCACCCGAAGCGACACACGCTTCTTGCTTTTTACAGAAGTATGCTACCACTGTAGGAGAGTAGATAGGGGGGGTTGTGCTCCCACATTAGGTTCAGGCTGTTCTCGGGCCGATGCCCGCTTTTGAGTAGTTTGATCTCGGAAGTCCGTGGCTTCCCATGGCCGGCTCAAAGATAGCGGCACCTGGCAGACTCGGCAGACTCGGCAGACTCGGCAGACGGCCTGAAGAAAAGGGGTTTGCGGCCAAGGTTGTGGGGCCTTTGGGAACTTCCATTCGCTGTCTTCTTTTCACATGCAACGCGATCGACCCAGAAGCCAGCCCAGCCAACCTCCACATTGACATAAACGCTGAGCTTTCCAAACACCTTCACTCTCCTGAAATCACAAGCACTCCCTCACCTCCTCAGCCTCCGCCCGTACATAACTCCCGCCAAAACCCCTAAAGTTTAACGTGCTCAGGCGGCCAGCCGCTGCTTCCATCGAGGTGATGCCCCTGTGGTGCCAGGCGGGAGCCGCAAACCCAAGTACCCTCGTGAACTCACACCGAGCTCTCCAAGTGGCCGGGAAAGGTGTGCGGAGCGGCGGAACTGTGCCGCCAGGACTCCCATTCGTGAAATACGGATAAATACGGTACACGAAGCTGTCCAAATAAGAGGAAAGGTGCGGAGCAGTGCCAGATGATGCCGGGATTCTCTTCTGAATCTTATAATCCCTTCCCCCTAATATTAAAGGCCCCCCAGCCTCCCCCCGCCCCTTGTATAAAAACCCCCGAAAGGGTTGTTAGTATTTGGGCGGGTTCTTATCCTTATTGTAGCATGCTGCTCAGCAGCCCAGCCTGAGCCTAGACAGCTGCGTGCTGCGAAATGACTGGGAGGGAAGGGAGGGCTGGGAGGGAAGGGAGGGAAGGGAGCTTCAGGATGTTGGTTGGCTTGAGGGTTTAGGGAAACCTTAAGCCCTAAAGGTGTAGGTTCATGTTTCACCCCCCCCCCCCCCTTCTCTCTGTAGAGGTTCTTCTAGGGGCAGGCACGGGATCGGGATTTTGGGCCAGGTTTTTTTTTATATTAGGGGGGGGGGGGTTTATCAATATTCGGGGGAAGGGATAACCTCGGTGGAGTCGCTGCCTTCCGAAAATGGGACATCTTGGTGGGGGTTGTATTCAGGATGGAAGGCGGCTTGAAATTTCAGCGTGGAGCCAGATTCTTGAGCTTATCCTTGTGTCGCAGGCGAAATGGCACTGGCGGCCAGGAGACCGCCGCTGCTACTGCATGTTACCTGGTTACTCTAAACCCAATCGCCTAATCCCTAATCATAAAACCCTTTATTCACCATGTGCACTGGATACGGCCCATAAGCCCTGTAAACCCATTCAGCCCTCTATCTCTACAAACCCAAACCACGTAAGCCCCGTAAACCTTCGTTGAACCCTATAATCCCTGCCCCCATCGATTGAGAGTCCGAGGCCCCACATCCGATGTCCAAATGCAAACTCCTCTTGGCCCCATAACCCCCCGCAGGCCCCTCACATCGACCGTGGAACCCTCAAGCCAATACTGCAGTCCAGTATATGAAAAAGCTTGCTTGCTATTGTTCTTGAAAAAGATTTGTCAACCTCATTCGGCGAAGGGGGCAGGTAAACTTCCATTTCATCCTAACCACAGCTCAAGCCTAAAGACCGAAACCCCAAAATCCTGAGGCTTTTGCCTACACCCAAGTGACGCTATTACGCCCGGTAAACCCCCACGCCCCATGTATCAGCAGTGTGTCGCAGGATCGCAGCGATGCGGAGCAAGCTGAGGGACGGGCCTTCCACAGAGCCGCGGCCCAGGCTTCTTTACAAAGCGGCTGTGGGTTTTTAGGGGTTTTAGAGGGTTTAGGCCTTATGGAGTCTAAGGTTTGCAGGCTTTACATGCGTTCGTCCTGCACTTAGGCGCCATGCAAATTTGATTTCGCATCACAATCATCATCTGGGCTGCAACTTGGGTTCCCCCATGTGGTGGACTACCCCTGTGTCGGCGATAATCTCTGTGCGAACTAGGCTGTGTTCGCCGCTTCAGTTTCGTTTACGGACTGCCACCTTGTCATTATCAATCAGCAGTGATCCTAAACCCGCCGTGAGCCCAAGGTCCTGGAATGAAGACAGCCCAGTCGCTGGCGGCCTCTCCCTTTTTCTGAGTGGCTGGCTCAGCATTCAGTGGGCCCTTGTCGTCCATGAGAGCCCCTTCAACAGAGAAGTGCCGCACCGTTGCAGTCGGCAGAGGTGGGGCTTCCTCACAGGGGCTGACGACGAGGTGCAACCGTGCGGACTTACCTTCAGAACCCCAAGCTCCAGAGCTGGAATCCGAAGCATCGTCTCAGCTGTCACTCATTTTAGCCATCCGCAGCCTGTTGAAAAGGTATTTTTGGTTTTTTCGATGCGCCTAACCCCAACAGCCCCACGCGCCAGCCCAAAGCCGCAAATGCCATTCTAGAGAGCACGAAAACTTCGTCTGATTTGACCCGAGTCCCCTCCACCTCCCACCAAACACAACAGCACGTAGTGCCTCGCAAGACTGGGATGTTTGCGCCCGGTACCGCCTGCCCCTCAGTCTCCACGGCGTGAGGGTCACGTGATGTCATGTGCTCATGTCTTGGGATTCTGGGGCTCAGGGGTCGGCTGTTGCCTTCTCTGAGGGGTTTGAGGGAGCCAGCGCTTCTTCTTTTTTCAAAGTGCGGGCCATCCACCAGCATGGGGTCGAGAAGGATCCGTCTTTGCAAGTTCGACCAGGGGGGCGGAGGGGGACTTCCTGGAGATGCGCTCTCTCGTTCTTTTTCTTTTCAAAAGCCATTCTTTAGAGTCCCCCCCCGCCCCCTAGTCAGCCCCGTTCGGACCCCTCAGCCTCTCCGCTCCGCTGTCAGGGAGGGCTCCGAGTCTGAGAGCAAGTCGCCGCCTTTGGTGCCCAGGCGTGTTGGGGTCAAACACCCTGAAACACATCCCCCCCTTTTGCCTTTGCGCGCCGAAACCCAAACAAAGAGAGCCCGCCGCTGTCAGGGAAGGCCCGGAAGTGTGGCCTTCGCCACGTGAGGCTGGGGGCCTCTGGTCGCGAGGGGGCTCTTCTTTGGGAGGGGCTTCCGAAAAGAATTTACAACATCTCCCCGAAGCCCTGAACCCTAAGCAAGCAAGCCCTACAGCGTTTCCAGGCCACCACGCAAGCACTGCCGCAGCAGCTCCCAAAGAAGGCCAAAGCTTTGTGCCATTTGTTGTGCTTCTCGGGTGGGCCTCGGAATCCCCGGAAAGTGTGTTTTTGGGGCGCTTGGTGCTTCTTCTTTTGATTGGCCGGCAGGTGGTTTGATGCACGAAGCTAGGAAACGTTGCAAACACAAGCTCCCACAACTCGGAACACCGAAGCGAAGCGTGAAGCACTCACAGAGTTGAGTTGAGGGTGGTGAAGATGAGCTGAGGGAGTGGGGGCTCGCAACAAGCCATCTCCACAGACTGAAGTTCCCCGTGTTTTTACGGCTTGCGGCAAACTCCCTGAAGTGCTCGACATGTTTGAGCCCCCGCCTAAGCCCTCGCGGCAAGTCCCACAAAATTGAGGCTCAGGAAAAGCTCGTGAAAGGCCCGCAAGGGCTGCTCGTAAGCTCATCTCTCTTCCAGGGCACTCTGGCGCTACACGAACCGGTGGCCGAGCTCCGGCCATCGCTTGAAAGCGCCGGGGCCGGAGCGTGTGGGGCACCAAGGCACCAAGAGGAACCTTCAACCGTTCCGTGTTCTCTTTCTTGAGCGGGATTGGGTTCAAGATTCTTAAGCGTTGGGAAGGAGGCCCATGTATCATACTGTGCAGAGAGGTGGTTGTGGTGCTCTTTTCCTCTTGGGCCTTCCTGTTTTCAGGCCTGCGCATCCCTTCTTGGCTGAAAACTTGTCTGTTCCCACGTGCTCGGGTACTTCTGGATTTTTTTCCGAGGAAGGGGTCCGGCAAACCCCACGCGAGCCCCAAAGAAATGAGAGCAAGCCGCAGTCACTGCAGAGCGTCATTCTTTCCCAGGTGCGGCCGTCGCAACTGAGGCAGGGGCCCGGGGTGTGCTTCCGGTAGGAGAGTTAGGTGAGAGTGAGAGTGAAAGAGGGAGTGCGAGTGAGAGAGGGAGATGAGAGAACTGCAGCGTGTTGCTTGTGGAAAGTTTTGATAGGCTGCAGTCCGCTGTCCCGTGATTCTCATCAGATGACAACAGGGCATCGATCCTTCCCTGGCCAGGTGGCACCGGAGGCACTGTCCGCCGACTACCACCAGAAGATCTGTAGCAAGGCTCGGGGAATGTCATGGGTCCGTGGCCTGGGCTACTGGTAAGCAACTTAAGTTCCAATGGCACGGTTGCCTAGTGAGCTACATTGCAGCTACATGGTTTCTCGTTTCTCCATAGTACGGTACCTTACATTCTATGCTCTTAATCCCAAAGCCTGCCTTTGTGAAGATTACCTAGAAGATGCCTATACGAAGATGTCATCACCAGGAACCTACCAAAAAGGTAGGTTTCGGAGATTCGGAGGGAGCTTTCAGGGTTCCTTGTGCCCTCAGAGGTGGCGGCCGCAGCTGCGGCCGCGCGTGTGGTCGCTGAAACAGCCAAAGAGGTGGTCGACCAGGCCTCCTTAGGCTTCTTTATGGGGTATGGTGATTGTATGTTATTGCTTTTTGTATTTGGTACTTGGATTTTTCGGATATTTCGGGTTCCTAGGATCATGATGATCCTTGTGTGTGGGTGTGTGGTGTCTTTTAAATTTCCTGTCTCTGTCCGGGTTGCCCACATCGGCATGACATACACAGTGCTCGCCCAAGAGTTACAAGACTCATAGTATGGATGCCCTCGGACCCACTTTTCAAGCAATGTTTGGAGAGAGAGATGAGAGAGAGATGAGAGAGAGATGAGAGAGAGATGAGAGAGAGATGAGAGAGAGATGAGAGAGAGATGAGAGAGAGAGAGAGAGAGAGAGAGAGAGAGAGATGAGAGAGATAGTGAGAGGCCCAGCTTGGCAGACCCCTTGCGTGCAGCGGTCCCTTGAGAGGCCCGCTCGCAAAGCACTGAGTCCATAGTGTCAGCTCCTCAAAGCAGTGTTTATGCAGGGCTGCGGAAGGACCACTCAGGGCTTTGCATTGGCCGATGCGGCCATTGTGGATGGGCGCTTTGGTTGAGCTTCTGTCCAAACAGCAACTAAAGTCAGTCTGGAGCGAGGCTGGCGGGTGCCTTTTCCATGCAAATTCGTCAGAGGAAGGTGTGAGAACCCTTAAGCGGGACTTTGTGGCATCAAGAGCACAAGCAAAACAACATAAAACAACAAGCTTAGAGCTTGTTTGCAGGCTCCGCTTTGGTTAGGCTTTGGCCTCCACTTGCAGGCCTTGCACGTCTTCCCGTGAGGTGCCGGCTTGTAGGGGTGCGAAGTTCTTTTCTGAAAGACGTGTTGGCCAGTTTCCTCAGCTGCGAAGACCGGCTCAGGAGACTATCCAACATGCCTACCTTGTTTAATTGGTTTGGTTTGTTTGGATTTCTTTGGATTTCTTTGGATTTGGTGCTGCTGGGAACATGAGCTTCTCGCCGCTAGTGATCTTGGCTGCCGGACAACTCATGAGCCCATCACTTCGGAAGCCTGATGGGCTGGTTTGCTCGTCTCGCATTGCCAAGGACGGAAGTGGCCACCAACCCCGGTGCTGCAGTGGCCCGGCTAAGCAGCGGTACCTTATCCAGGGCATCTGGGGTGCAGGGTTGGGGATGGCAAAAGTGGCCAAAGAGTGGCAAAAGGGTTTCGTGTTCAAGGCAATTTTAAAGGGCAGTTGGGGGTTCTGGGCTGCAGAGTACCCCGCAAACCCTAAACCCTGAACCACCTCAACCCACACGAGCCCGCAACCACAAACCCCAAACAAAGCGACCCTAAACAACGCAAAGCCCTTTGGGGTCAAGGGTATGACCACCCCGAGTCGGTGTTGAGCCGGCTCCCTAGAACCTCTCAAGGGTTCAGGGTCACTGAATTGAAGAGACCAGTCCGAAATCGTCTTTGAGTCACGTTTTCCTAGGGTCCAAGGGCCCGACCCTGAGGCAAAAAAACCCCAAAGCCCTTCAAGCTCCTCAAGGCACTTGAGTCCCAAGGGCGTGCCGTCAAGTTCCGAAAGCGTATAAACACCAATCATCCGCAAGGGTGTGCTCTAATTTGACCGCTTACGCAAGGCCGCCTTGGCAAGGGGACCGAGGCTAATGCAGGGTTCACGGGCGGGCCTGCAGATTTTCACATCCCTCCACTGTGGCTGGCACAAAATCAGCCCTGGTCTCGGCACGTCGTGACTGGACGGGGGGCGGGCCAAAAAGCATGGGTAGACCTTTCGAAGGTTTTCCAGATATCTAAACGCCTCAGGCCTCCGGCCTCAGCGGTTGTTTCGGCACCCTAGCGAACTTGACGCCCCATAAATGCCCGATGAAGCTTATGCGGCCCTATACGGCCCAATATCTGACAATAAGACTCCATAAGGCCCTTCGGAAGAGAGGGCGGCCCTGAGAGCCGAACCTCAGAGCCTCCAGGTGAGTGCCACCGTGGTCTCAGCGAGCGCATGGACACCCTCCAGCCACTCACCTTGAACTTTCCGGGTTTCGACGATTCTCGGATGTGCTTCGACCCCTCAATAAACGGTTCCTCAAGAAAAAGTCTAGGTTCAGGGGTTGGGTTTTCCAGGTCTTATTAGGGGGGTATTCCGGATTTGGGGTTTGTGTGAGTTTGTTTGTGCGTGGAGGTCCCGCGAGTGGCCGTTTTACATCTCTCCAGCTCAGAGGTGTGAGAAGCAGCTTGGCGAGTTCTGCCAGAAGTGCCACTGAAGGCGCTGGATGTGGGGTGCACAGTCCACTTTGTGGGGTCTTCTTTTCATTCTCTCTTGGTACTATTGTGATGATTGTTGGAGGTATCCTCCCCGCAACATCATAATACCGTGAGAGTAGAGCTTTCCATGATGGGCCAGCTCGTCTAGGCATTGATCGAAGCTACGAGGTAGGCCCAATGCCATTTCGGCAGTTTAAGAAGGGACACCTCTGCCACTTCTCCCTACTCTTAGGTGTTTGCGGCTTAGAGGTGCTTATGAGTCGGTACATGCCAGTGGCGTGTCTTCTTATTTCTTAGCTTCAAGACGGCTGTCCATTGCTGTCCCATTCCTTATTGCCTTGTTCCTGAAGGCAGCTTGCATGCCTACGCCCCACTGGTTTCGCGCTCTGCTTCGGCCGAAACCTGAGATAAGCGCTTGGAATCTCGGTGTTTGGACCACGGCGGAGCCACGATTATGAAAGGCCATGCTCGGCAAAGCGGCATGCTTCAGTTCCGTGGGGCAAGGTCTTTTTTCTGTCAGGGCAGTCCGCTCTGTTATGACCGCGCCTGACACGAGTTAAAGCCTTTTGAAAGGCCTCCAAATTCATGCCGAAACGTTGAGGAACCCTGCATTCCAATATCCGGCTGCAGGTTCCCCCTGGCAAATCCGGCACCGCACCGCAGGTGCAGGCGCAGTGCTGTCCCAGGAATGTTATATAGAGTTTAGGGTTCAGGGGATGAAGCGCAGCAGAGATAGTGATCCCTAGAAACCCTAGACCCTGCAGCCGAGTCTCTGATTTTTTGCCTCGGCAGGTGCCACTGCTGAGGCCGGGGGCCATGTGTTGTGAGAAGCACCCAAGAAGGCTTCATTCAGTTCTGGGCTTGCCAGGCTAGGCAGCGTCATGACGCTCACTCCTAAACCCTAGACCCTTCTTATTAGCCCTGCCCGGTCTGGAAAGTGCTATGGCGCCCGCGACGAGGTGTTCTCTTGGCCGCTTGATCTCCTGCCCCCTACACTGAGTCCTAGTCCTCAGCCCTCGAAACCCTGTAAACCCCCAAACGATCCGAAAGACCCTGTGGCCAGGCCCATCCCCACTGTCCCAGCCGTGGGTTTTGCGGCGCCGCGCCCGGTGCTTGCTTTCTTAAGCGGCCACGGGTTTATATAGGGTTGGGCGATTCGGGATCAGGATCTTGGCCATGTTTGGGGTTGACAGCGTCTGGCTTTCTTTATGTCTTTGGGCGGTGGGTGGGTTTCACCCTAAACCCGGGCTTTTTGGCTCTTCTCAGGCAAGGATCCGCAACCTAGCGTTTATAGGTAAGGTCTAGGATTTAGGGTTTGCGAGCAAACCAACCCCCCCCAAAAGGAGCTGACGCCAGGTGATCCCACCTGCTTCGCTGGTCAGCCCGCGACTTGTGGCTGTGCCAGCGACCCGGTTTTTTGGGTTCAAAGGGGTTCAGAGGCGTTTTAGGTTTAAAGGGTATTGGGTTAAAGTGTTTGGGGGGGGGGGGGGGTGTAAAGCGTTTGGGGCCTCTCCGGGGCTTCATGGGTATGGTTGGCTTAACGGGCTTTTAGGAGGCCAAGATCGATCGGTGTCTATCGAAGACCCGGTGGAGCTGGGTAGTGTGGATGCTTGTGTTCATCTCACGGCATCCCGGGTTGGGAATTCGCTCTTCGGCCTTTCGGGTGTGCTTTTGGAGACAGGGCATGTCAGAGGGCCTAATAGAGCTTAATCAAGGAGTATACCTTCAATCACATCACAAGGATCCCGCTCCAGTATAGTTTGAGGTATATTCCTTAGCTGAAGGTACTGGGCTCTTTGGGGATGTCAGAGATGACAGAGCTGAGCACTTCAGTCCTTTGGCAAGACGCAGGGGTTGTGGAAGCGCGAAGCTGCGGAGAGAGTTTGTTTTTTCTTCCCAGCTTCTTTGCGAGTCTGAGGCTCGTCTTGACGATTCCTTTCGAGTTCGAGTACCGAGTAGGCTCTCCTTTCATATTGGCGCCTAACCTGAACCTGTTGCTCCTCACAAACTACTCCCGGCTTTGCCCCGGAACCTTAAACCCGCTCTCCATGACTTAAACATCAGGAAACCCTCTACCTGAATCCTCGACCAAGCCCAAAGTCCAGATGCAAGCCTAGAACAGGGGGGGGAATCGATTTGCCCCAGGTCGCGCACACCCACGCCCTGCGTAACTCCTGGAGCCACGCCCTGTGCCTTGGCCTCCAAACCCTTTCGTGGATTTTCCGCCCCACTCAGGTGCCCGTGAAGAACCCGCCAAGGTTCTAGTTCTATGAGGGCTCACATCTTGTGGGGTACGCCATGAAGCCCCTTCCCCCCCACCCCATACAACGAACCACAATCTACAGAACGGCCCATGAAGGGTTGGTTATTCAGGGTTTGGGGCTCAGGCACCACGCCGTGTGGGACGCCTTGTGGAACGCCTGGCCGGCCGGTACGGCGCTGAGTTTGCTAAACGCAAAGGGGAGCCCTATAGTATCACCCTCTATATAACCCCGAAGGCCTAAACATCCCTGAGCACTCTACAAACTTTACCCCCCCCTTCCCGGCAAAAAGAGCAAAACACCCCACGCGGCCCTGCACAGTACGATGGAAGGTTTGTCTGAGCCGAGGTGCCCGGCAGCGGCTTTCAGTCGCTGCTGCCACAGCGTCCGTGATGCCTGCAGCGCAAAATGGGTCTGCGCCGTGTTGTTTTTCTTCCTTGGCAGTGGGCATCAGTGTGCTTGAAGGGTTTCGGGAGGGCTTCGAAGGGTTCAGCTGGACTTCCAGGGTTCCAGAGTCTTTGGCGGGACTCTCTGCAGACTTCTCTGGTGTAGTAAAGGATTCGCCGCAACATGGAGCTTGGCGAAATCTCAGCTGTCCGTCATGGGACTACGAGACAGCTGCTACTGTAGCTAGGACCCGCTCCGGATCCCAGAAGTTTATTTGCTTTCAACAATGGTATTTTGTCCGGCACCCGCTCCGGATCCCGCTTCAGCACCTGCTCTCAAATGCTGGAGACGCCAACGCCGCCTATCCGCTCCGGAACCTCACTGCTCGCAGTTTTGTCGGGAAATCATCGAAGGTTGGTGGGTGATGGTTGTGCACCGCTCCGGAACCTGCTCTAAAACACAAGATCTGGAGACCCTGTCACTGTCCGCCGCGGTGCTGTTGGGTAAATCGCCGGTTGAAGATGAAGGTTTTGTGGCACTTTCAGACTGGCCAACCAGACGTGAGCTGGACAACCGATTAGAAGCAAAGTTTTTTGTAAATGTTCTTGAAACCCCTGGCTGCCCTCGAAGCTACAACGGAAGCCGTCATCCCGGACGCCCGGACTTACATACCGAGTCTTTTGCGGGATTCTGCCGTAGCTCGTGGCGCCTTGGCCCTGTCCTGTCAAGCAACAACCTGCTGCTGGTGCTTGGGCATGGAGGCCTTTGCGTTCACCTGTGGCCTTCTCTGATGGCTGCTGCCCCATGTGTGATGGGCTTGTGGGCACCATGCACTTGCCCTGCGGAGGCCACCGGATCAAGAGGCTCAACTGGCTGCGCAACCTCCTCGCAGTTCGGTGCGATGCCGCCGGCTTGGCTCCCGAAATCGATGGAGAAGCGGGGGGGGGGGCGGAGCCTGTGAAGCCGGCTGCTTGGGCCGGAGGACATTTACTTCCCGGCATAGGCTTGAGCGTTGGCTGTCACCACTGGGATGCGGTCCAGGTCTGTCTCTGCTTCGGCAGCTGACGGCAACACCAGCCATGCCCTGTGAAAGCCCATCTCAGGGCAGGATCATTTCCGCTGCGGGTCTGGGGGCTTCCCCTCTTGGGCCCCCTCGGCCCGCAATGTTTGGGGTGTTAAACTTGGGAGCGTGTCCTGGTTGTCTTTTGGCTTTGTGTTGTGGCATCTTGGGGCGCCGGCTGGGCGATGCTTGAGTTGCCGGGCGGTGCGACTGGTGTTGAACCTCGCCATGGTTCCGAAAGCACCTACGCATTCTATCCCCGGAAGATCGAAAAAACCCAAATGCCTCTTCCAAGTTAAATGAGACATCCCAAGCTGCTTTCTTTGCTGAACTTTGTGTTAATTCCACTCGCGGATTCTGAAGAGATACCCAGCACGAGAAAGATACGGGCAGAAACAGAGAGCAGGTTTCAGGGACTTGCGGAGGGTTCACCACGTGCCCGACAAAAGTGACATGCTACTGCATGTGCTCAAAAGACGGGCCACCGTATTTTCCCGTTCACCTTCCAACCCAGCCCCCGTCGTCACTCCCGTCGTCACTCTCATGCAATACAACCCGAAAGTTCCCCAAAGCCCAGACTCCTTCAACCTCCTACAGACCAACCCCAGCCCGTGCCATGGAGAGACACTCGCGCCACCGGAGGCGGGGAAAGTTTTCCTGGTATTTTGGGGCCGATTCCATGCCGCGGTTTCCGGGACGAATAGGCATATTCCTGAAATCATACTAGGAGCCCTTTCAGAATTTGCAGAACATTCTCGAATCATGGTCGAAGTGCTTTGTAAGCCTACTCAAATTGAGGAAAGGTATCGGGCTCTCTGGCAGTTCTGGTTTGCAATGCCTCGGCTCGCGGTTCTTTCCCTAAACGCCCGAAACCGCGGCTAAGCCCTCTCTGTTGCATTTTTCAACTCAGAGCGCAGGCGATGCTAACAGAGCTTGCCGACAGCACGTGGAAGCGCAATGCGTCTTCTCAGGCCCTGTGGGGATGTCAGCTGCGTTAGGGTTTAGGCCTTTAGGGCTTCGTTTCCAAGGTTGCAGTGAAGTGTGAAACCACCACCACCAGATTGATTCGACGACATTTCCCCAAGGGTATGTTCCCATGATGCCACTCTTTCGACTCTGCTGTGGCTTCCTTTCTAAGCGTGAGGAGACTGGCTTTCAAGAAGGCCACTGAAGCAAACCTAGAGCCAGCAAATGCTTTTCGAAACTTTTTCGGCTGTTTTATGTTAGTGCTGCTATCACTATATTTGTTGTTTAGAGTCTATTGCTACTATGATTGTTATCTTCATTCTTCTCATGATTAGATATCATCTTCATTCTTCTCATGATTAGATGTCGCCATTTACTAAATCTTCGGCCGATGGATTCAGCTGTGGGAGCCTTCAACTCTCTCCCTGCGCTTCTCTCTTTCCCCCGCGCCTCTGTGGACAGGTGCCTGATCTTCCTCGCGTTCTGCAAAGTGGCTTTGCTTGTAAAAAGGGGGCTTAGGGTTTAGATGGGTTTAGGGTTTGAAGGGGGGTTGTTTAGGGTTGAGGCTTCTCCCGAGATGTCTTGGTTCTTGTCAGGCACCGGCGCAGCTGACTGAATTCACTGGCTGGTCTCTTCTGCGTCCGACCTCGCACCTTGGTGGACATCTGACATCTGGGCCGACGCGCGCCACCTGAAAAGACCTGACAACCCAGGTCCGCTTAAACTCCAGAGTCCCCATGGTCCCTTCGACCTTCCTGAGAGCAGTCCCCGAGAGAGATCCCCAGAAGAGAAGCGGTGTAGTCACCAGGAGCAACGTCGTCTCGTACGTCACGGAAGCCAATGAGCTTCTGGAAGTCCGAGCGGGCGTGCCATACCAGGAGCTGGTGCTGACGCTTCGAAGCACAGGTTCCCAAGGGTTCAGCAAACGTATTGTAAAACAGTTGCAAAACTGATGTGAACCTTGAACAGCGTGTAGCGGCTCAGGCTGTAGACTTGTCATGTTGGGGCAGTTATCGTGTTAATCAGTCCTTTTGTCCCGGACAGCCTGAAGTGGGTTAAGTCTAGGTCCTGCCCCCCTGAAGCTGCGCCCTGAAGCAGAGTTGGTGTTGATTCGAGGCATGCGTCCAGCAACCTCGCCACCAACGCTTCCGAGATTCGTGCCAAGTTGGCCGGGCCCTTAAGACTCCCCCATTGAAATCCACAAAAAGTTATCCCCATGTAAAATCCACCTCTTTTGAAACGTACCCTTTTCAAATCCGCCTTTCAAAATTGTCGTTTTGGTTTCCAATTGCTCGGAGCGCCCCGCTTAGGTCTTTGCCACCGCTGCTGTCGACGACGACTGCCTCCCAGGACGCGCCAGCGAGGCCCCAGCCGACACAAAGAGCATTTGACAAAAAGAAATGCGAGAGAGCGAGAGCGAGAGAGAGAGGGAGAGAGAGAGAGAGAGAGAGCGAGAGAGAGAGAGAGAGAGAGAGAAAAAAAAGAGAAAAGAATAGAGAGAGAGAGAGAGAGAAGAAAACGGGGCGGAAAAAACCTAAACTTCTTGAATCGACGTGAACCCTGTTATCCCTCCCCCCCACGGGCATTCTTTGGGAGAGAGAGGTTCCCAACATCGTCCTTCCGCGCGTTCCTGTGCCCACGGCCTTGGACGGTGACACGCCGGGAGTGCTTCTGATCTCAAGAAAAAGCTTCCCAACCGGAGCTCTTTGGAGGATTCCTAAAACTCCCAGAAAGACCCTTAGACTTAGTCCTCAGAGGGTTTGCAGGGTTTGTAGGGCTTAGGGTTTTTTTGGCCTTCTGCCTCGCTGCCGAACCCGGAACTGAACGACGCAGTTGTTTTGTGCGCAGGGTTTCACGTGTATGAGGAACGAATTCTACTTGTGCAGTATGCGCTGGGCTCCCAGCATGTAAAGCATTGTGGCGGTACAAGTCAGACGCCTGCTGTCAGCAAATCCAGGTGGTGTAAGCAAATCCAGGTGATGTAGGCCTGTAGGCCGTCCTGCTCGTGTTGACTCTTCGAAATGGCGTGACGCCTACACTGTTCTAAAGCACATGAACTGAACAAGCCCATGGTAATGATTTTGGTGGACTCGGGCTCACCTGACGATATAGCATGCAGAACCACGACATAGGGTAATGTCACGTTCGAGAATCCCAGGACCCCGGCGGAGACGTACGAAAACCGCTGGGGCAATGCTAGGCTCTGGCCTCAGCATGCTGCGCAGATCTGGAAACACCTAGCCTTGGCCTGTAGGGCTGCAGGCGGCAAGACGTAACGACCAAGAATGTTCAGAGACACTAGCTGGCAGCTGGGTCGAGGGTCGACAATCGTGTAGTGGAGCAGCCTTCAAGACACCGCTTGATGCCAAGACTGGAGGCACACTCCCCCAAAACTCCCGCAGCACACCTCAGCAGCGCCTTCGGGTCACAGGGTCAGCACTGCCCCTGCAAGCATTGCCACGTGCAGGTTTCCCTACAGCGGTGCCTTTAAAGTCTGCTACATGGAGTCTTGGCTGCGCTTGGCTGGTTTGTATTCATGACGCTCCCGCAAAGTTTCCGCACGCTTTGCCGGTCTTGAGTGGCGTGGACTACTATGCCCGGGCGCCCGTTTGCTTTCACAGTTCTACATGCATCTTCTTTCGTGTCCCGCGCCGCCCTCAGTAGTAGGAGCCGGCCGCATCTTTGCATAGAAGTAATTATGTTGCGCTGCAGGGAGGGTCTTGATGTTGTTCAGAGGATGTGTAGAAATTGCACTTCAAACTTCAAACCCAATGTATGGTACACGTGTACGTATGACTCATCTGCTTGCCTTTGTTCCTACCTAACTCCCTTCGTGCCTGTCTACCTAGCTCCTCTACATACACACATAGACATACACCCATACACACATACACACAAAGAACCGACACACACACACAGACATACATACATAGACACACACACACAGATATCTTTACATTGCTTTACATGTGTGTGTATTTATGTATTTATGTATACATGGTATGCATGTATGTGTATATACGCATATGTCCATATTTGTACGTAGATGTACATGTACATATGTATACGTATATGTGCCCTATATATATATATATATGTGCATATGTGTATATGTGCATGTAGATGTATATGTATATGTGTATGTACAGGTATGTGTATGTGTATGTGTATATGTATATGTATCTGTATATGTATATGTATATGTGTATGTATATGTGTATGTACATGTATATGTATATGTAGATGTATATGTATATACAAGGGTATATGTATACGTATATGCATATGTTTATGTATATGTCTTGTACATGTATATGTGTATGTTTATGAATATGTATATGTATATGCATGTGTACATACTTGCGGATACATACATACATACATACATGCACACATACATACGTCATACAACCCTTGTATGTACATGTCTTGTACATGTATATGTATATGTATATGTATATGTTTATGTATATGTATATGTATATGCATGTGTACATACTTGCGGATACATACGTACATACATGCACACATACATCCATCACACAACCCTTGTATGTACATGTCTTGTACATGTATATGTATATGTTTCTGTTTATGTATATGTATATGTATATGCATGTGTACATACTTGCGGATACATACATACATACATGCACACATACATACATCATACAACCCTTGTATGTATATTAGATATACACACATACACACACACACATATATATATATATATATATACATATACATATACATATACATATACATATACATATACATATACATATACACATACATACATACATACATACATACATACATACATACATACATACATACATACACATACACACATGTACCTACCTACGTATACATGTACATGTACTACACGTACATATATATATATGTATATGTATATATGTGTTTACATATATATATATATATTTGTATTTATCAGAGGGTTGTTCTCTTTGGCCGGGTTTTGTGTCATGATTACGAGGGCGATGAGCGAAATCTTGGTCGTTGAATGTGCTCAAGCTCGCGCAAGGGTGAACGCGAGCTTTGCGCATGCAGTTGTTAGGGGATGCTTCAACAAGCCAAATGTTAAGAAAACCTCACGCCCGCACGTGCGCGCGCAAGACGCGCAAGGGTCGTGCAAGGGCGCGCAAGGGCGAAGTACAGGGGTCCTGCTTGGCTTGCATAGAAGAAGGGTCTAGAACAAGCCTCATACGTGTGTATATAAATATAAATATAAATACAGTTATAAATATGAATATAAATGCAAATAGAAGTGTAAATATAAAATGAATATGAATATGAATATAAATGTAAATGTAAATGCAAATATAAACAAAAATACAAAATAGAAACAAGAAACAAATAAACTATATATATATATATAATAAATAAAAAATGAATAAATACATATATATATATATGTATTTCTTTATATATATATATGTGTATATTATACACATGCGCGCGCACACACACACACGCACACACACACACACACACACACACACATCTGCATGTACATATGCATGTACATATACGCGCACACATGCATGCATATGTTACTGGCTCCGAAATCAGGTAACCTGATTCCATCCAGCGATAGCTTCGAGGACCCTAAACCGATGAACCTCATAAAGCCTTCACAAGCCCTAGAAGCCGTATATCTACCACGAAAATAAGGCTGATCAGCCGTCCGAAGCCTAAACCCCAAGTACACCTCAACTTCCTTAACCTAGCTAAGCCCTCTAAGCCCTCTAAGCCCTTTCTTGAGGACCTCTCGGGGTCGGCCGCCTGGCGATTGGCCGCAGCGCCCTTCGATGTGGTGGGCACTGGGGCCAACAGCTTCGAGCCACGGGGGCCGAGATTAGGGTTGGGATTCAGGGTTTTACAGGGTTTTTTATGGGATTTATGGGGTTAGGGATTTAGTTCATAGGGTTGCATCGGGGGCGTTGTATGGGTCTGGGTGGGCTTTGGGGATAATTGTGATGCTTTTCGTTGTGAAGGCAAACGCTTGCTTCAGGTTTAGCAGCTTCGGAGCCGTGCTCCCACAGGTTGGAGATTCGGGGGCCCCTAGAGGCTCATATGACGAAGCTTGCGCTCCACGAGTGTTGGGACAGGATGTCGTGCCAACCCCTAAACTTCCTAAGCCTTAAACCGAAGCCCCTTGAAAGGTCCTAAGCTTCCTAAACCTTGGCAAGGTTCTGGTGCCTGGGCGACGTGACAATTGACTGCCAACTGCAGGCCTCTCGCGGCACTTTTCACAGCTGGAGGTCTTCTAGAAGTAGTATGAGCCTGCAACTAGCACGCCTGTCTGTGGGAGTGTTTCTGAGTTTCTGCTATGACTTCGGGCGCTTGATAAACATCAAGCCACTCTAAACCCTTGAACCCCAAACCAACCTGTTAGCGCCCTAAACCCTGAGCTGTGCAGATTGCCGGCCTCGGCCTCAAGACCAACTGGTACCTCACGGCCCGGGGCCCCAACCGAGATTTGGGAAGGGAGCTGTGCCCAACCACAACGGTTCTTGGGTTGCGCGTTTAGGATGGTTTGGGAAGCGTGTCCAGGTCGTTCCTATGCACAGCGTCTGCGGCGCGGTCGACTTTGCCGGGTCTTTCGATCAGAACGTGTCGACGATCACCTCCGAGGCAGCCTACAATAAAATGGCTGTGGACTAGACTCCTCTCATCCCTGACAGTCCCCAGGCCGGCAGTGAGACATCGGCCACTCACAGCCTGGGCACTCCGGTGACTTCAGGCGCGGGGACCTTCGCCGCCGCTCGGCGAAACAGCCTCTGAGTGCCAGCGGTGCCAGTTACCCCCCCCCCCCCCCACGACAGACACTGGTCTCGAACGCACTGTAAGTAAATAGCGAGCACGATAACCCGAAACTCCACACCGATGACTCCAGGACGAGTGCCGAAAACCAAGAACCATCTTTATTGCATTATATTTTAATTTAAGTTTTTTGTTTTGATTCAAATTCCTGAGGCGAGACCACCCGAAACCAAAAAACAAAGACGAAGTCGAGGAAACACCAAAAAGCTCAACGAGTTCTGAGATTCTCACTGTGTTTTGTTTTGTTTTTGGTTTTCAGGCTGCCGGCTGACCAGAATTTCTGCGAGTGATTTGCATTTTTTTACTTGGGGTGGTGAACTTATCTGATTAGGCGTATTTGTCTGCACAGTACAGTCGCATATGTCTTGCCATATGTACGTACATTGCAACGCAACATATGCTTCACAAGTGCTTTGGGTTTAGTGCCTGATGTATTGGCCTTTGGTTTAAGTAGTATTTTGATGCAGCTTGAGTTGCGAACAGACGGAACAAGTTTCGTTAACATGATTGGTCAGTTCGAAATATTGAACAAATTGCTAATGATATGAGGCTGCAACTTAATCTTAAAAACGGAAAATGGCAAAGCTGTCCTTCATTCTCTTCCAACATTCCCGGCCATTATGGTTGACATCGTTTGTTCAAAGCAGCTCAAATAGTCACATGTCAAACTTGGGGCACCTATATCTAAGGAGTAAAAAGTTTAACCCTGGAAATTCTATTCATGTAGTGAAGGCACTTGCAAATCGCAAGCCGTTTAAAGTCATGAATAAAATCGAACCTAATTGCAACTGAACATGGCTTTCCACTTTATTTTCCCTATGCTCCATAATTAATTGTACAGCCGGACACTGCTGCTCCCTTCCATACGAGGCAGAAAACTGGGTTCGACGACTATGTGTAATATTTGTATGATATATGTATAGATACAATTTCTACACGTCTCCCAGCCATTGCACCGCCTGCTTCAGGTGTGCTTCTGCCCTGGGATCCTTGGCCAGTGTTCAGAACAGTTTGCTGTGCCGAAGCTCCGTCAGACAGCTCAGATTTTCTAGAAACCCACAACTCTCAAAGCTGCAAAGAACTTTGGGGGGGGAGGGGGGGTGGCAGGTACAACGTGGACAGCTCCGGCGCCTCCTGCACGGTGTCCGAGGCCCAACAGACAAAAACCCTCGAAAGCTGAGGGCTGTGGATTGGGTTTCTGCATTTTCGGTTGTGGGTAGTGATCTGGTTAAGCCTAAACGCGAATAACCTTAACTCCCATAAATCCGAAGCCTTTGGATTGAAGCTCCAGTGCCAGGATTTTGTCCAGCTCAGTGGCATCCTCTACGTCACGGAAGCCTTGCCAGTCCAGAATCCGCATCCACAGCCGCGCTGCACAAAGGGAGGGCATGGGGCCTTAGTGGCTCTTAGCAGGGTTTTGAATTCTCCCTTTCTGAACCCCCCAAACACCCCTAGAACCTGCTCGGAAAAACCCCTGAAACGCCCCTAAATCCTCAGTAGGCCCGGGCCCATGATGCGAAAGGCTCCTCTTCACGCTGCGTGTGCTCTGTGGCGGTGCCGGCGAAGGCGGATGCCCAGCCTCCGCAGAGCCCAGGCCGGAAGGTCTTAGCTTCAGACATTTAAGAACCCAAGATCGCCTACAGAAACAGTCGGTTCCGGGCTTTTCAGGTAAAGTAAAATGGTCCCAAGGGTCCGGGGTCCAGGGTTGAGCAGCGAAAAAAACCTAAAGCCAGCCGCGAAATCAGAAACTGCGAGTCAGAAACCAGGAGTTAGAAACGACAAATCAGGAACCAGGACACATCTGTCCGGAAAGCCAGAGCATCAGAAACCCGCTCCCGTTTCCGATTCAGCCGTGTCCTGGCCGATTCAGCTGTTCTGGTTTCCGATATTGCCGGCGACCATCCAGGGTTACACAGCCAGCCAGTGTCCCCGGATGCAGGATCAAGATTGTGGATGCAGCGGCCAGCAACAGCCGCACCTCAGCTGTGGCAGAGACTGACTGGGATCGGAGTCTTCCGGCTTGTTCTACATGAGGCTCACTTTGAAAGGCTCCTTTCTAAGGGGTTGCAATACAAAAAACGTTACCTCTCCGGGACCCTTGCCTGGGAGGGTTGCGCTGTGCGCAACAGGGCCATCAAGGTCAACCCCAAACTCCAAAGGTGCCCCGGGGGGTCTCTCTGTGTGTGTGCGTGCGTGCGTGCGTGCGTGCGCGCGCGCGTGCGTGCGTGCGTGCGTGCGTGCGTGCGTGCGTGCGTGCGTGCGTGCGTGTGTGTGTGTGTGTGCGCTTTTCGTGCCTCCATGACTTGTTCCTTGTGCAATTCGACCGTGTAGTTGAAAATTTAGGGCAATGAAAGGACCCCCCCCCCAGAATGTAGAAGATAATCCTTGAACCCTACTTAAATCCTAAACCCAGAAAGAGAGATTCCAATACCACTTGATACACGAATGTAATGCATGTAGATTAAATCATACTCAGATCCTAGTGACAATTCAAGGTCTATTGTTTAATTCAGGCTTTTGAGGAGGCTCTTTGGGAAGCCAAGGCCCGGCCTTTGATGCTTTGAGTGGCTGCCGCACAGCAGCCCAGTCAGCCAGTTGCCGGGCTGCCCCAAAGAATTGCAGGGTTTTTAGTCTAGGATTTTAGGTTTGGGATGTCAAGGACGCCCTGAAATCCTTCAAATCTCTGAAGTCTTTGAAGTCCCCAAAGCCCTAAGTATGGCCGAGTGGCCCAGGAGGATACGTCTACTCCCCATACTCAATCTTCAACCCCGCACCCTAAAACCCTAAAACTAGGGTTTGGACAGCGGAATTGGAACCGTCCCCAGAAGTCAAACCTACTTCCCTTTGTAAGACCCATACAATATATCTATATATATATATATATACACATATTCCTTTTTCTCTACAGCTTTCTCTGTGCGTATATCTGAGTCTCCATATGTGTAGATATTCACCGAAGAAACCTCAACATACCCCAATAGGTGTCTCTCCCATAGTCTTTTAGGAGAACCCCAAGACGAGAGCCAGGCTACATGTCGCCAGAGAACTGCGAGAGTCCCACTCGCTGCACGCTTCCGCCAGCAGTGGCCAGCAGCACATCGCCCGCCTCGCGGCGGAAACCCGAAGACCACAGGGGGCAAGCCTCTAAACTCTATACCCACTAAACCTGAAAGCCGAATTTAGATCAACCCGCGCCCTCTCTCTCTCTCTCTTTCTCCTGCTCTCTCTTTCTTGAGCGGAGGAGTGGGCCAACCTGAGATTGTTTCCGACCTTCGAGAACAAAGCGCAGCTCCTGGGCCGATGTCAGGTGGTGTGGAGGTACTCTGTTCCGTTCTGCTGCGAGAAAAAGCCTTATCTATGCACCCATAAATCTTCAAGACATATGTCTCTAAATTTATATATTTTCCACATACATACATGACCATGTAAATGTACATACGCATACGTACATATATATATATATATGCATATATATATATATATTTTTTTTAGATATACACACGCATATATATAAATATGTATAGGTAGGTAGATTGGTATACACATCTATACACATCTCTCTGTCTACCAAACTATCTATGCATATATACGTACATATCTATCTGCACAATTAGACTGGGCTCTGTGGGCTCCCCCCCCCCCCGCCCGCCTAAAGACAGGGAATCACCCCAGGCACGGAACATAGTGGCCCGTGGGGACCCTGGCGCGCGATGGAAACATGTCTTAGGGGGAAGCATATGGTGTTTGGCGCTTGAGACGTGCATGTTGCATGATGCCCAGGAAGCCGATGCTCTATGACGTCTGCTTGCACCCCGTCACAGAGATCCATCATTGTGCTTTTTTCGAACTTGCGATGGTAGCCAATTGCCAGATGTTTGAGACAGTGGCGACGGCCGAAAGTGGGCTTTCAGCGTTCTTGTGATGCGAGGCAGCCGTTTCTGGATGCCTGAAACATGGCCGCTGTGCTGTGCTAGGTGTCTCGGGTCCTGCGATCAGTCGGCCAACTGGTTCAAGGCACCAGGGAACTGCTGTGCTTTTAAGGCATTGGTGTCCTCCAGATTTTGGGTGCGCAGTCAGCCAAGTTGCTTCAATAAAGTATCGGCGCTGATTGCTTCAAAAGCTGTTTGGAAGCACTCCCAAGCTTGTCAACAGACTACCGTGCTGGGCATCAACAGACTACAGCAGTGCTGAGGCTGGTAGCATCCAGACCTCGGTGATCCAGGCAGAGGGGTTTGTTCAACAGTGTCATGGAGTTAGGCAAAGTCTCATTTAGTCTCATTTGGGAGTCGTTCGGAAGTTTGGCGCGCTTCCGTACTTTCGCCCCCCCCCCCCCTTCCCGACGCCTCCTCAAAAAAACACAAAAAAGGGACAGATTTGGAGACAGGTGTTGCCGCAGCCCATCGTGGCCAACAAGGCGGGACTTTTCTTGCATTGTTGGCCCGCGGGTCATGGGGGAACTTCGTCCATTAAGGTGTTTTGGGGTTTGGAGGTTTAGGTCATCAAAGTACACACTTACACTTGCACTTGCACTTACACCCTGCACATGCGCACGCACGCACGCCCACACGCACGCACGCCCACACGCACGCACGCCCACACGCACACGGACGCACTCCCACACGGGCACGTACATGCACGCACACATGCGCATGCAAGCGCACACATGCACCCGCATACCCAGCGACACGAAGACCAGAGACGCAGAGGCACAGAGACGTGGAGACGCAGAGACACACGGACACAGAGACACGGAGGCCCACGCCCACGCACGCGCACGCACGCGCACGCACGCGCACGCACGCGCACGCACGCGCACGCGCACGCACACGCACACGCACACCCACAGGCACACCCGCACGCACACGCGCACGCGCACGCGCACACACGCACACGCACACGCACCCACGCACGCACGCACGCACGCACGCACGCACGCACACACACACTCACACTCACACTCACACTCACACTCACACTCACACTCACACTCACACTCACACTCACAGTCACACTCACACTCACACTCACACTCACACACTCATCATTCACTCACTCACCCACACACGCATACACGAACAAACGCACACAGGCACACACGCACACAGGCACACACGCACACAGGCACACACGCACACAGGCACACATGCACACACGCGCACACGCACGCACGCACACACGCACACACGCACACACGCACACACGCACACACGCACGCACGCACGCACACACGCACACACACGCACACACGCACACACGCACACACACGCACACACGCACCCACGCACGCACGCCCGCACGCACGCCCGCACGCCCGCACGCCCGCACGCCCGCCCGCACGCACGCACGCACCCACAGAGACACACACAGAGACACACACAGAGACACACACAGAGACACACACAGAGACACACACAGAGACACACACACAGAGACACACACACACACACACAGACACACACACACACAGAGACACACACAGAGACACACACAGAGAGACACACACACAGAGACACACACAGAGACACACACACACACACAACAAACACACACACACAGACACACCAGACACACAGACACACACAGACACACCAGACACACAGACACACACACACACACACACA